ACAACGACGATGGCGCGAACAACTGGAACAATGACGACAACGATGATGCCGGGGGCAACGGCAACAACGCCAATGGAGACGACGCCAACAACAACGCCGATGGAGACGACGCCAATGGAAACGGAGGAGGCGATGCCGTCCAAGCAGAACAAGCCGCATACGCCAATGCCGACGACGACGTCTTTCACTGGAACTCCAATGTCGGGTTTGACGGAGTCAGTGTCATGCCAATCTCCTGCATCAACTAGTGAGTGCTACTACAACACAACTGAGCCTATTTTATTTATGTGGACTCTTTGCTTATCTATGTTTTTGCCTTCCTTTTTGTGTAGCAACGGCGGACAAATGATCAAGTTTCAGCTGTTTGACTCTGAGAACAGCTACCAATGCCACTTCTCGGAAATCGCAACCTTTGTCGTCTCGATTGCTCACTACATGAGAGGATATTTCAACTATCAGGCTTTGGTCAATGGCAAGGACTTTGAACTGCCGGCTGATGCTGGATATCTGAACGTAAGTCGTGTTTGTGATGATTTGAGTACTGTATTGGTACTGCTGCTGGAACAGTCATCATCTCAGCCATTCTTCTGCTCACCAATGCATACTGCAGTGTGTCATGCTGCAAGAAACAATCCAAAACGATTCTCCCCTCTACGCCAAAATCGGATGCGTCGATCGGGAAACTTTCACCTCCACAAAGTTGCAGCTTCATCTGTACACCGACAACCAATGCTCGCAAAAGTTTGATGACGGCCAAACCAGCCGAAGACATGCATCGAAAGGATACGATATCAATGGCTACAGCTTCCCTACACGAGTCTCCTTCCGCCCTCCATTCTATACCTGTGACAGCTGTTCGCCAAATGAAATCTCAGATACCTTAACAAGGCAAATGGAAACTGGTACGACGATTACTACATTAGCCAAAATGGGCAAAAGAATGGGGGAAACAATGATGATGATGGAAACGATGCCTATCAACAAGCCAATGATGATGTGAATCGAGATGACGACTGGTATTACTATCATTACGACGGTCAAAACTACAACGCCTTTGTCAATGATGATGACTACTACAGCGCAAAAGACGATGACAGCAACAACAACGTCAACCAGTACTACTACCAGTACGATGGCAATGACGGTTACTACAACGATGATGGTGGTGGCCGACGAATGCGACATCGAATGCTGGAGTTGGCCGAGAAGGAAGCGCCCCTTGCTTCAGTCGAAGCAGCCGCCCCCGGTCAATTAGAAGTACGTGCAATCGTTGCAAGGAGAACAGGCCTAGGATGTAGCTTTACGAGGTTAGTGCTAACTTTTGTTTCATCTCCTTAAACAGGCCTACAATGCAGAGTTCTGGGGCGAATACAATGAGCTTCAAGCAAGTCGGTCGCTGTATGAAAACAACTACGATGTTGGAGACTGGAACATGTGCCAGCGTATCTACAAGTATGGGGTTTGGTGTGACGAAGAGTGCCGAGCCCTCGATTTCTTCCGAACGGACCAATGGTCTGCATCGGACATATTCCTACTGTCAATCATGTGCACGTTTGTGACGGCAATGATGCTCCTCGTGGTCGCAAAACGACTGAAAGCACAACAAAAAGCAAAAATATACGGGGAAGAGCAGCCTATGCCCGGTTTGCCACCGCTGGCAATGGCGCTCATATTCTTTGTCATCATGTTCGTGGTTGTGGCATTGGCAAAACTGCGGTTTGTCAACGAAACCCTTGTATTTGCAGTGGTGACCTGCATCCTTTTGTTCATTTACGTGTTGCGTTTGACCCTGTTCGAAAGCCCGCGCCCAGTACTGCTCGCTGCTCCCAGCTACTTCGAGCGCTACGACGAAAAAAATTTCGGACAAGCCTCCTATTGATCTCCCTTTGTCCCCCCTCCACCTCCCTCCTCTCTTCCCCCTTGAATTTTATTTCTGTACGTCTGTAAATGCTAGACAAGATCTTATTCTCCATTTCTAGACCCCCTCTGTTTTCCGGTACTATCCATTGGTTGCAGACAGGGCTCGTAACCTCCGAGCTTGACATGGAAGGGTGAGGATCGATAGACAAGTATGCAAGTCCATCTCCATGGATTCCGCATTGTCCTACTCAAGATAGTACACGTCGTCCCAGGTGCTACGGATCATTGTAGCCAAGGCCTGAGCTCTACGAACCAGGTAGCCTCCCCCCCTTTTTCTCCTTCAATGTACATGTAGATATTTGCCTTTTCGGCTATCTAGCTAGACTAGCTACCGGTAGACCCTCTTTGTGGGATCCTTGCGAAGAATAGAAAAATAATGAATCTCAACAACCAATTACAATAGTTTTGCCACAATTACAGGGACGACAAGGCATGTCCATTTTGGCTCTTGGATAGTTTCGTCCAATATTCTGAGCTACCACCGGTGCTAATAGCATAAAAGCACTCTGTTGTATTCTGCAGCGTTGGAATCAATCTGAAAGTGAACTAATGAGGAATCGCCGAGACAGCGACAAGGGCAAACGAAAGGGGAAGATTCCGGTCCCCGTATCCGTATCCTTGTTCAATCTCTGTCCTCTCTCCTGGGAGAAGCAGGTAGAACAAAACAAGAACAAGAAGGTGTTTCGACCGGAGCACGCACTTGCGCTACTTCATCAAGTTCGTTTGGAGATTGTCATCGCCCCTAGAGGCCGGAATGGGAAGGATCAAGAAAGCAATGATACTGGAGGCGAGGAGAAAGTAATCTTTTCATCGTTGGCTCCAGTGAAAACTGTGAACCCCAGTTGGAACCATTTGGACGAATGCATCGAAGATTACTTGGCATTGGATGGATATTTTGATTCAGAGACGGGTGAGTGCTTATTGGAGGAAAATGTGGTCCAGTCAGCTAGGAGCAGAATACTGGGTACTAACCTGGGTATCTGGTGTGACACAGTATTACTCACACTTGTCTTTGCTTTTGCATTTTGTTTCAAAGGTTTCTATCGTTTCATGAGATTGCGTATTTGGATAGTTCCAGAGGGCCTACCCAATGCAGATAAAGTCGTGGAGGGTGGAGACGACAATAAACAAACCCCTCAATCGGACGAAGAAGACGAGACGAAACAACCTTTGCTGGACATTAGCATCCATCCAACCAAACTAAGACGCTTGGCAACCATGCCAAATTCGTTACCCGTCAATTCGCTTATATTCAACTTTTCGGATGGTTCTATCAGAGCCACAGCTAGGCTTCTTGACCTTGTGGGTGATCAAGACGGATCACATCAAGAGGAGCACTTGAAGGACGAGTTTGCCCGGTTTGGAGATGATGTATTTCGAACCCTGGACCAGGTCACACCCGTCAAGAAAGCCAAAAACGAACCAACGGAAGGGCAGGCTAATAGCAACGGGAACGATCAGAGTATCCTATCTACCAGTGCCAGTGAAGATTCCAACGATGGGAGAATCCTTTCCGCTCTGCGGGAACCAAACGACCAAGCCACTCAGGAGTGCTTGTTTCACAAAGAGCTACTGTCTGGAACGGAGAAGGCGCGTTTTGAAACTCAAGAACCTGAAATTTCATTGAAAGATGCCAATGCAGAGCGACAATACCTGGAGAGACTCATTCAACAGGAAGAGGACGCTCTAGCAGAAGAGGCGCAACTGTTACAGGAGGTAGGCAATACAATATTGATTGTGTCTCTCACTTTAGGCAGGCTGTATCCATTTCCTCAGCTCGTGCATGTTCTGCCATCACAGGAAAAGTCCCAGCTTGGCGCGGCCATTGGAGAAGCGGGGATTATCCAGAACAATCTGCAAAAATTAGCGTCCGAAATTGACTCGGAGTTGCAACTGTGCCGCCAATCCGAGTTCTTTTTGGAGGCTCGGAGGATGAAACTATTGCGCGACTTGCGAACCATATATCCAATATCTTTCCTGGAGGGGGAAGATCGATATTGCATCCGGGATCTTCGAATACCGGCTGATATACATTCCAACGTAGTAGCGGAAGATGAGCTCTCAGCAGCATTTGGATATCTCTGTCACTTGGTGAGTCTGATTAGCAAGTACTTGGCCATTCAGCTGAGACACCGGTTGTTTTGCAATTCTTCTCGCTCGGCCATTCAAGAGGACGGTGGACCAATCTATCCGCTCTTCCAGGGCCGCGTCGTGGAGCGAGAACAGTTGGACCATGGAGTACGATTATTGCAGCGCAACATTGAGTGCATTTTAAAGACACGCGACATTGAGCAAAACCCTGGTGAGCACATTTTGGTCAACGTCAAGAAACTCTTTGATAGCTTTGTGGACGGGAAGGAATGAGGCCAAGGGTTCTATAGAGAAAGCCGAACTGGGTTCGCTTGTATGAAATGCTAGCTGTACAGAAATCGAAGCAGCTGAGGCACCGTGTACTAGTACATCGAAACTAGCTCTATTATAATATTGGTACACTTATCCTTGCTGCCAGTAGGCTTTCCAAGCTTCTTCTTGGGCGTCGCTAGTTGTAGCTGTTGGTTCTTCGCCCTCCTTGGGAAGGGGCAGTTTCAGGCTCTGCTTGCCTTTACCTCGCTTTCCAAGCGGTAGAGGGTTATCGCGCTTCTCTTCTTTGTCATCAGCTTCCGGGTCATCCTGGTCGGGACGGTCTCCTCCTCCGAGGTCCTCGTAGCCACCAAGCTGTTCAATGGTCAAACCAGAGCCCTCTTGTCGTGTGAGCTTTTCTCGCTTGTACCTTTCTTCGGCTTTTTGCTGTTCTTCCTTGGACGCGTAGCCCAGCCATTGTCTGCGAGATTCCCCTTCATCGTGGACAGGACCGGGCTCCGTTGGCGCCTGAGTTTCAAGGCTTTCTGATCGAATTGTTTGCCACATGGCATCACAATGAATGGCACGGACGTTGAGGATCCGGGCGACAAAGGCTTCCGTTTGCTCGTTCACTCGTGTACTCGCAATCTTGGCTGATTCCGCTGCTCCTTGGACAACAGCACTAGCAGGAATCGCCATGGCAGTGCTCTGCCTGAACCGAGAAATACTGATGAGGCGATCTTTCAACACGTTGTAACAGGTGCTTTGGGGTACAATCATCGAAAGGAACTTCAACGCTTTGAACAGCATAGCACCAGACGCCTCAGCGAAAGGATCTTCGGACCCTTCAAGCATGCGAACATGCAGGTGGCGGAACAATGGCCGCTCAAGAGACTCGATCATCTGGTCGAGTTCCAGAAGGAACATTAGATTGATGTCCAGAGAGACGATTTGGCTCAGGAACATAGATGCGGTTCTGTACGCGCCGCCCCAAAGGCAGAGAGATACTGTAGCTACAACGCTATGCGAGAAAGAGTGCAGCAGGATCGAAAAAAGACGAACACGGCGATGTTCTCTGGTTTCGTTCGTGTTGGAGGGCATGAATCCGACACAATCTCGTAGAGTATCCCGTAGTGGTTTGGCTTCCTCGGCGTTGAGCAAAACATGGGACATTTGTTGCACGAAAGAGGCGACAAATTCAAGATCGCTCGAGAGGGGACGCTTGCTGATGTCGTTGTTCGTTTCATTGTCTCGTCGATCCTCCGACCGTATCGCCCCTAATTGGTGTTTCTTTTGCAATCGACGAAAAAATCGGTCAAGTTCGACGGCAAAAGAGACAAACACAAACTCTGGTGGTTGAAGCCTGCACATGAAGGCAATCACTCTCGACAAGTCATTGAGAAGCTGTTGATTGTAGCAGTGCAACTGAATAAGTGCAGTGAACACCTCCCTGTCTCGCGACTTGCTTTTCCTTCGTGATGGATGGAGAATATCCAGGGCAAAGGAGGCATTGGCGTCAGTCATTGGGAATTCGGCTTCATCTTCTTCCGAATGCCCATCATGAGCAAAGTCGCGTGGAGACGCCCAAGGCGGGAGATGGGTATTGAATCCCGACAAAGACACAGAGCCACTGGCAAATCGGGGGCTCTGCTGCTCGATCCGAGATTTCTCTTCACCTGATACAGGCACTGTAATCTTGGCAAGCACTTCGAGACTCTTGAATACGATCTTCTCGGGAGGATTATCCACGAGCTGATGAATAATGGGAACAATGAATTCTCGGGCGTACTGGATCGATCGGCGAAGAATCAAGTTGGGACACTGCATGTTAGGATCTCCTGCAAGTGACAAATTGTCAGCTCGAAACTTCCATTCTCTTACCTCAGCTTTCAAAGCATCAGGAACTACGCTTTCGTAGAGTACAATGATCCAATGCAAGGCGCAAAGACGGGAAGAAACCATCGATTCCTCATTTCTCTCTTTCGTGTCATTGCTGGCTCGGTACCACCCTGGACTCTCAATTCCTGTGCCGTCTCTATTGACATCTATTCTGTACAACTTGCGTTCTTCAGCCGGTGGGTTTCGAGCACTTATGCCTCCCGGTGAATCGAGTTCCTCACGAAGGGCAACAATGAAGCTGTCCAGATGCTGAACGTAAGCTTGGCCATCACGTCTGACTGCGTCACGCAAGTAGGCGTTCGTCTGTTCCGCAAGTTCGTTTGTTGTTTGGTCTGGCAGAAAGGTGTCTTTGTGTGAACCGCTCTTTGAGTTGAAATTGTCACCAATACTGGGGTGGTGGTGAACAAAAAGCGAGAGATGGTATTAGTTTTCACATTCGTAATGGGAACCAAGAAACACAAGGCCGCCTTACCTCAGCAGAATACCAGGGAGCACGTGAGGCAATGAGTTTCGCACCGATATGGAAGCGGCGCTGAATCGTGGTGGCTTTCCCTTTTCGCTTTTTCGTTCACGATCGCTACTGTCGCCATTGCCAGGATCAGGCTTGTCTTGTTCGGCGCCGCTTGGAGCATCTTTGCCAGGTTTATCGGCTGGGCTCACCCTGCCATCCGGATTCATCATGTTGGAAGATTTTTTGTTGCCTTTGGTCGCCTGGCTTCGAGCATGAAGTTCTTTCATGTGCGCCTTTACGATTCGAGACATCCAGTACATGGCAACTTTCCGAACAAAGGGATCCGGGTGCTCCATGGTGGTGACCAACGATTGTAGGATCTTGTCAAAATCTACCTTCATTCCTTCATGATCCATGTCGGCAATAGCTTCCGAATTGACAACCAACAACTTGGGCAAGACGGATTGAAGAAACGCCAGTGCAGATTGTCGAATGGCCAAGGAGGGATCAGCCACCATGTCGAAGATGCCTCCCAGGAAGAGGTGTAGGAACTCCAATATTGGCGCCCCAATGAGCTTTTCATTGAGTTCTTGCAACCATGTCAACGTCAATCGTTTGGTGGCCTTGTTCCTCATGTAGACAAATCGTGCAAAGACTGGAACACAGGCATCAGTGCTAAATGATCCCGAGTTACAGGCTCCCACAATCACTTCTTTCAACTTCTTGTCCAACAACTCGGCTCCACTCCGCACATCCACATCTACATCTGCATACAAAGACCTGAGGATCTCAAACAGAATGAAGAAATGTTGGACCGCCAAGCCTGGAATCACTTTGACTACATTGAAGAGCGATTCTGTGGCATAGTAGCGGACCCGTTGGGAGTGATCTTGACATGCGTGAACTACACTTGCCAGAATCAAGTCTCGGCATTCCATCACAGTTGCCACATCATTGGCCTTTTTGAGTCCAATGGCACAGGCAGCCAATGCCACAACACCTCCCTTGCGGGCATCCTCACTGGTGGATCGTACGTAGTCATCACTCAGCAGCAGCAAAATGGCCCGGACTCGTTCCAACTCATTTTGTTGTACCAAACTCCTGACAACTTTTTCAATCTCCATGGCTGCGAGTCGCCGTCGTTCGTATCGTTTGTGTGCCAGCGACACTAGTACTGCTGCCGATATGGATTGTTGCGATGACCGTTTGAGTGATTCTCTGGTTTCGGCTGCCATTTCATCCATATGCCTGGCATCCGACGATGCCAATTTCATCATGTCACTGTCAAACAATTGCATGGATTCAATCTTTTGTCGCATTGTCATGAGTACATCCGGTAAGACTCCACTGCTCAAGTCTTGAGCATTATTATTATTTGTCGAGTCGAGATGGTCGTCATTGTTGTTTTTGTGTGTCTGTGGTTGCTGCTGCTGTTGTTGTGAGCTGGTTGTGGATCGACCTGCGAGACTGGCTCCTCCATCAAACGATCCAGTATTGTGGAGGGCAAACTTGTTTTGACTGGCTTGACTACTATTATTGGCATTGAGACTGGAGAGTGGATTGTAGGTGGACGATGCGGCGGATGCCACGGATGCAACCGAATTGGCGGATGAGTGTGTGGTTGTGGTGATGCTGACTTTATGAGTTTTTCGGTGCTTTTTCATGCTGGAGGAGGAAGTATGTGATTGTGCATTCGAGTAAGCTGTAGCGTGGGTAGCAGCAGCCGAAACCTCATCGTCTTCTGGGATGCTAGGTTGTTGTTGAGGTGGATGATATGGGTGTTCAATGCCATCGGAAGACGACGCATTGGCGTCGGTATAGTCAGTTGATTCATTGAAAAAGGAAGTAGCATGGCCTCTGGAAGGCACACCGGTCAACAATGCCTTGTCAAATTCGGATTGTGCTTGACTGCTACGACCTTTCGACTGTGGCTGCTGTTGCTGCTGATTATTATGGGTATTTTGGGGCGTTTGACTGGCTCCTTTGGAGTTGTTGTTGGTTCGTACATGTAATGGTCTCTGTTGTTGTTGTTGTTGTTGCTGGGAAGTGGGCGAGGCTGATGCCACGTGGGAAATGCTGCTGGTGCTTTGTTGGATAAGAATATTGGGGTTGCGGGAATTGCTGCTAGGGTCGGTACCAGTAATTCTTCTGGGTGGCGGTTGCCTCGTATCGTCGTAGTCCTGCTCATCGTCGGATCCGTCACTGGAAGAACTAAAGGCATCTTCATTGGGTAGATGTCGTCGATGGCGCATGGAAGCTGTAGGACTGGCTCCTGCCGATGTCGACGAATGGTAAGATTGAGCATAGCTCTCTTTACTGTTCACGGGAGACACCTCGAGAATGTCATCGGCACTCGGGGTGATGTGCAGCTCGATATCTTCGTCTAGACTCATCTGGGACATGTGACATACAGATGGATGGATGGATGTGTCGTATTAATATATACTCGCTCTAGCTAGCTGGCACTGTTTGCTTGAGGATACCGGTAGCAGCAAAGAGTGATGGCAAGGATCAGGCGAAAGAAGACAAGTGCACTGGCTCTTCGTGTCGAGGCCTTGGCGGCAGAAGTTGACCGTTGCCCAATGCCGCCACATTAGGGTGAAGGTATACATTTCTAAACTAGCTACGACATCCGATTGCTAAGCTGGATACTAGCTAGTACCTTGAGGATCGATGATCCTACTATTATTTTATTATACCCTCCGGCAAAGTGGATTGAAGATTGACGCAGCTCGTCTTATTGCATTATTCCACCTGCGATCTCGATCCCCATCACGATAGAGGAAAGGGAACATACAAGCTAGCGATGGCGGTACCATCAGTTGTGTTTGTTGATTCTGTCTGTCGGTTACGAACCTCGCACACATCTCGCCAGTGCTAGCTAGCTTGTTGTGCTGCGTGAGTACCGGTACCACCATGTCCCTGGAAGAGCATAAGACGGGTCTCTATGTGATCATTTCAATCTACTTTTGTGTCCTGCTGGTATGTGCCGTATGGGCCAACATTCAGAATCGAAGAACGGCGAATCGCCAGACAGCTCGCAACAATGGCGTGCTGAATCTGAGTACCAACAGCACCCACGGCTCTGCGGAAGTGAGTGCTCGGAACAACATCAATGGGCTGGCATCGGGTGCATCCATCGTTTCCGCTATTGGATTTTCTCCCGCCGTCAGCGAGAATGTGGACATCTTGTACAGCCACTATTTGGGAGGCCGGTCCTTGGGGCCGGTCCTTACCACGGGAACCATCTTTGCAAGCTTTTTCAGCGGCTACACAGTTGTAGGTATGTCAAGCCAAGGAAGGTAGACAAACTGCCACAGCTGATTTCTTTATTCTTTGCCTTGATTCTTCCTGTCCTCGTTTTCCATCTAATATTTCCTTCTCCTTGAAATCTTAAATCTGCTTACTCAAATACTATCCCCGCAAAAAGGAATCCCCAATGAAGCCTACTCAAAGAACGGTTTTATGGCCCTGCGTTGGCTGGCTTCAAGCATGGCAATCATGACTGGAGTTTTGGGGACAGGCTTGAGACTACGAAAGGCTGCATTAGTGGTAAGAAAGCATCTTCCAAAGACACGATTCTTGGGCTTTGTCACTACGGTACTAACGAACAATCCAACACTCCTATTCAACTCTCTTTTAAAAAGCGAAATCACAAGACATCCGTTGACTTTATTACGGATAGATTCCAAAGCCAAGTATTGAGGTACACCGTGCTGATCCTTCAGATTGTCCCATCTATTTTCTACTTGACGGCACAAGTGGTGGCCTTGAAGTCTACTTTCAATTCAATCTTTGGGCTCGACCAGGACGAAGCATATCCAGTTTTGATCATCATGGCAATCACTCTGCTTTTGGAATGGGTGGGTGGATTGCGTTGTGTAGCCATGACGGACTGTGTCCAAGGGGGGGTCATGGCTGTGGCATACTTATGCTTACCGCCCATTATTGCAAAGCACTTTGGTGGCTGGAAGTCCATCGACCCAACTGTCTACCCGAGACCAGACTTTTATCAAACACCGACCCGTGCGGCCCAGTTGAACATGTGGCAATTCTGCATCACGCTTTTTTCCTTCTTTTCATTTCCACACATGATGCAACGAAACTATGCTGCACGAGACCTAGTCTCCCTCAAGTACGCATACGCGACAATGGGAGCTGGAGTTTGGGTTCTCATGCTCGGGGGAGTCTTCATCGGGACAGTGGCAGTCCAGATCTTAAAAGATCTTGGCAAGGATGAGACAGTGACCAATGCCTTCACTGAACTGTTGTCGGAGGTGATAGGATTGGGAGGATTCCCCAAACTGGTGGGGCTCTTAGCTGTGTAAGTCTTGGGGCAGTTCTTTAGATTCTTGGCTGAACGAGTTGACACTTCCTCCTGCTCATCTTTTCTGTTGCCAACACCAATCCATTTTGTTTGCAGCACTGCCACTTTGGCGGCCATTATGAGTACAGCCGATTCCCTACTGGTGGCCATATCTCAGCTGGTCACGGAAGAAGTAGTGTACCCCTTCTCTCCGGATGCTTCACCAGCCACCATGGTTTGGGTTGGGCGGGCTGTGTCCTTCTGCGCTGTTGTCATTTCTTCTCTGATGGGGTACGTTCCTTGTTGGGTGTTTGCATGCGTGTGAAATGTTCGGTTTGCCCCTTTTTCTCAAAATATCGTATCGTGGTATTGATGGCGACAGCATTTCCTGGGACAAAGGTGTCAGTGAAGTTGCCAGTATCAACTTTCAGCTATCAGCGCAGTCTATATGGATCTTTCTCATCGGCTTGTTTGCCAAGGAGGACTATGATTGTCATCCGTGGATCCTGGCTTTCAGTGCCATGATCACATTCGTTTATGTGTTTGCCATTTACTTCGGTTACATTGCATCCGCAGGGGCTGATGTTGCATTGGACGCGGGGGTCTCTGGGTTGGCCATACAACTGGCTTTGATTGTCGTCCTCGAATCGATTCGCAGAAAGTTCTTCCCTGAACGAAGGGATTATCGGCCTGCACCCATGATGTCATTGGATCGCAATCAACAAGCTGCAACTCAGCGAGATCTGATCTTCAACAGACCCAAATGGGACGTCCCTCGTAGATCTCGATTTGGAGAGAAGCCCTTGACTCCGGACCTCCTTTGGAGGATGATGAACGGCGTAAAGGAACCGATGACAAATGCTTGGTACTCCTTGCTCATGTTCTTCGCCATCTTGTGGTCTACCCCATGGGTCCTCCCAGGTGTTCCCGACAACATTCAAAACCTTGGCGAAACTCTCTTGGGGAGTCTTCCTTGGTGGGTCGTCAACATGATTGCAACCCTCCTGATCCCAACCGTTATGATGTATTATTCAATCTACGTAATGCCTAATCGGTTCCCACGCTATGTTCGACGAACACCGAAAAGGACAAGGAGCGGAAGTGCCATTTCTCTGAATCCGGCGCCTGCCCCTTCACCTATAATGTCAACCCCAGATATGGAAGAACCAGACCCCGACGTCCTCGAACTGACTCCCGAAGAGCTGGCACATCGAACTGCTTACGACGAGCGAAACGATTTGGTGTACAAACGGCGGCGTCAAATCCTTGAAAAACTTGGCATCCCTCCAACGGAGATTGATAGCATTGTTGCTTCAACACAACAGCAACTGCAAAACTACAATATACAACCGCATTTGTGAGACTGGAGTTAACCACGAGAGGCGATCTGGTGATTTGGCTTTTTCCTTGACTGGAAGTGAATTCTGTCAAAGCTTGGGTTGTCCTTCCCCAAGCAGGAAGACAACCAATTGATATTTCGCCGAACAATACTGCCTTACGCCACAGGCAAGAATATGGTTGTGAGCCATTGTGGTCGTCATTGTTAGTCCTTTGGCACCGCGAGACTGCTCCTTAATTGGTCGGCAATGTCACGTTCTGGGGTATTCTAGGATAGACACCCAGTGCTTCCACTGTTTTGTTTTATCAGCTGCCCAGACAGGACATAGCCATCACCCAAGCTGGCAGCTAGGAATTGGATCCGTGTGATTTGGTCTGCTGGGTGTTGACATTCCGGTACCGTGTTGCAATGGACCCATCCAAGGAATGCTCCGCTACACTGGTCAACCAAGACAATTAGTTGAGCTAGCTATAGTAGCTAGATGCAAGCTGATGTTTATCCTCCCTTGAAGGTTTCGTCTTATGAGCTTTGAGATGGATTGGCCATCCATGCAGATCAATGGAATCGAATTCATTCAAATCAATCGATCGAAGCATTCAATCGATTAAAAGGGTCCGATCGAGTCAGTGTCTGAGTCGGTGGGTTATTGCCGTGCACTCGTCTTCCCCATCGTTATCCAAGCCACAAGTATTTCGATGGGTACGGTAGCAGGGTTCTTAGAAACAAACATTCAATGAACCAACGCGGTCAAATTCAAAGCCCAATGGGAACATGTACATGTAGTACCGGTAGCAGAGAATGAGAATCCGTCCAATCGCGATCAAATGCGCACCTCCAGCTTTTTTTGTTTTCTTTATATACAACAAAATTGCATTCAAGCAGTGGCACGGTCTTCGGACCGTGCATTAAACAAACGCTTTCACATACAGAGAAAATTAGCATGGTCTCTGAGCAAGAATGACACGCGTAATTTGAAGAGTGAAGCACCTTTTTTTTGTTAGTTGACCCCTGATCTCTGCAGTGATGATGATTGCATTGGTTGGAGCTGGCTACGGTAGCTACATGTAGTATTTGTAGAACAGTAGAGCAGACTTTGCAGAGGTTCTCACACTGCAGTGTTGAACCGGGAAGTAATGGGGCTGGGCATCAAATAGGGGTGCCCAACCTCATTGCTTCCTCTGAGAGATGTGACCAACAAACATTCGTTGCCACAGCATCGCCCATACCGGTACAGTAGTCTAGCTAGCTAGCTGAGTGCTTCACAGCTTCAAAGGAGCCAGAGAGACGGACGTGACAAAAGAAGGAAAAAGTGAGACTCCAAGTCGGGGCCTCGGCCTCAACACTCAACATTCGATGGGTCCAAAAGTGGTGCGGCCGGAGTGTGCTTGGCTCGTAAGGCTGGCTGCAACAATAAGCTAAACTCTATGCTTACCGGTACGACACCGGAGCCAGCCAACCAAGAGGGAATCTTTGAGAGGGGAAGTATCAAAATTGCTACCGTATTAGCTAGCTGACCATCTAGAGTTACTAGCTAGTAGTGTTTCTGCTAAGTTGGATACCCGCACTCTTTCCCTTGCTTGCCGTTTACAGTGACGAGAGGTTGGCAGCTTTTCTCCATGATTATTTATTTACCCAACGAAACGTCAAAGAACGAACATACCAACACTTCGCCGACGTCATGCGTCTCCTCTACGGAAAACGCAAGTCAGATTCATACGCAAGACACTTCGCCAATGAATTCCAAAACTTCGCATATCCTTCACCATTCCGACTTAACGGCGACATTCAAAGGAACAGCATCGAAATTAGCATCCTATGGCAAGGCAACCCCATCAGCACTGTCAAGACCTTCGGGACACGACACTGCAGCCTATGCAACAGGGAGCGACTCGAGATACTGAAACGATCCAGAGAATCGCCAGAAAAGCTGATCAACTCCTGCAACGAAATATACGGAGCATGCCGACATAAACCTCGATTTCATAAGTACCACAATAGCCCAAGCACTGATGATTCCCAAGGGGGATGAAAAAGTCAAACAACCGAAAAAAGTTACCACAGAGTGAAAGCTCGTGTTTTAGCGATTCGGCAGTTTGTGCTGATTAAAACCTACTTAATTCAGTCACTTTTTGCTAAAATCGTATGATTATTTATTTGGCTTGATCATCCATCATAAGCTTTAGCAGTGGAGCTGTCATGAAAGTAATTGGACGCCTCACGACGCATTGCTTCGTCATGCGCCTCTTTCCCCCGCTGAATATCCGCGTCACTTGGATTTGTGGGCAACCTTGGTTCCAAATCAAAGTATTCACTCATCAATAATTGTCGCTTTGCTGCATTGGAAGTTCCATCATCCGTATCGTCATCAATCCACGTAATGCACTCTCGGACGGGACCAGTTTGTCTCACGTCGTGTGCGATATACCGCAGTGCCAATCCCACCCTTGCTTTTGTGGGGTGCAGATTGTGTCCCGACTTGTGAATGGTATAGAAATGATGCAGTGTAGCTTCGCCTGCTCGTAGTGGAAGAGAGATCCAATTGCTATCCAGCGTTTGAGGATCATACAGTACGCGTTGTCCTCGACTGAGCATATTGTCGCCATTATTATTGTTGGTTGTCCCATCATCCTCTTCGAAATGTGGCAATTGTCCCAATTTGTGCGATCCTCGTAGAAAAGATAAACACCCCTCCTGGATGCCCACCGGATCGGACAAGGCGACCCACACTGTCAAACCACGATGAGCTGGCTGCAATCCAGTATAGGTAGCATCTTGGTGTTCGCTAAAGTACTGCTTTGAATTCGGTGCTTTAATGTTGAGATCCGAGGACCACAGAGCAATGGACTCTGTCTGCAGCGCTTGCCGTACCGCTTGGATCAAGGTAGGATGGTGCACTATGCGACTTAATTCTGACAAAAAGAGATGGATTTTGAATCGATCATTCCCTTGGAGTTCCTCGAGAGGACGGTCGTTTCCAAAATGTGTTCTTATTTGATCGAGGGCATTGGATGCCTCACTCTCTGTGATAATGGCAGGACAAACAGCAAATCCATTCTCTTGAAAATTGTCAACACCAAAGTCATCCCGTGTCGTCGTCTTGTTCTCGATATCCATACCGTATTGGTAGCGCTGAGTGAAGGTTCAATGTATGCATACATGTATCAGTCAGGCTGGTGTGTCCGATATTTGGATGAGTGCAAGTGAGGGTTCTCATCGCATGGGTCGAATCTTGTGTCGAGTTTGCTTTCGTCCGGCGCCAATCAACGTCCTTCCTTCGTCCGTCCCTGTTGAAGGGGGACCATGACGGTCGGGGTCGAGGGCACTTTTGCGCTTTCGACCGCACAGCACAGTACTAGGCTCTTGTTACCGCCGAGTTGGAGAAAGGATCTTGGCCAGGGGTGTTGATATTGTTTGGATTGATTATAGTGTGATAGACTTTTTCGAAACCATGTCGAACGCACGGAAACTTCAAAGTAAGCACAATGGCGGTGGTTGCCGAACATCTAGCTAGATCGTTAGTAGTGCGTCTCTTGCTATTCTGGGAAGATGTGGAGATTGGAATAGAGACTGGAGGCGTCGTGCCATGGTGGGGTTACTATTGTTGGGCACTATCTATAGCGTCTTTTCGAGTGGTCATCGATCGAATGAATGAATGAATGCATGATTGTGCGGATGTTTTTGTAGAATTTCCTCGTTGGCTGTCTGACCTTGTTGCCTTTTCTTTCTTTTCCTTTTCCTTCTCACAAAGCCGAGATTGATCGGGTGATGAAAAAGGTCGATGAGGGTGTGCTGCTGTTTGACGACATTTGGGAAAAGGTCTACTCGGCAGAGCAGCAGAACCAAAAAGAAAAGTACGAGATGGATCTGAAAAAGGAAATCAAAAAGCTGCAACGACTGCGAGATCAAATAAAGACGTGGATTGGCAGTTCGGACGTCAAGGACAAGGAACCCCTGATAGATGCTCGAAAACTCATCGAAACCAAAATGGAACAATTCAAAATTTGCGAAAAGGAAACCAAAACAAAAACATATTCCAAGGAGGGACTGGCACGAGCCGAAAAACTAGATCCAGCCGAAGAAGCAAAGTTGGCATGCACTACATGGATTGGTGAGTACATTGAAAAACTCAATCAGCAAGTCGAAGACAAGGAAGTGGAAATTGAACGATTGTCGGCTGGAAAGGGAAAGAAAACCAACAAACACACCATTGATGAATACAACACTCATGTCCTCAACCACAAGTTCCATGTCAGCAAGCTCGAGGGAATCATGCGTCTCGTCAACAACGATAGGTTGGATGTGGATACCGTCGACAGTATAAAAGAGGATCTAGATTACTATCTCGAGTCATACGAGGACGAAGATTACGCACAAGCGTACGACGAAGACTTTTTCTACGAAGCCTTGGGGCTGGAAGAGTTGGATGTGGTCAATGTGGACAGAGTCACGCATATTGCGGCTCCTGCAAAAAAGCCCGCTCAGGACGATGCGGCTTCCTCGGGCTCCAAAGGGAGCAAGGACAAGAAAAATTCGAAAAAGACTGGTCTCTCCTCAGTGATCCCCATGACCATTGGCCGAGCACGGGTGTCCAGCGCTGGAGCTCCAAAGGAGAAAGAAGAGAAAGAAAAGGCCACTCCCTCCAAACTGGGAAGAGCCAATTCGACATCAGCGGCTCCTCCTGTCGCTACCACACCGACCGTCGTCGCAGCCACCACTGTACCGCCAACACGAGCATCGGCACCGCCGCACCCAACGGGGGCCAGTATGGCAGCAATTTTGAAACGAGAAACGGAGCAGCAAGAGAAAGAACGGCAAAAGGTGAGTGACAGTCAACCAATGGTGCGGTGTTGGACTAGACTCGATTCGTGTCGTTTTGTGCTTACGATGGCCCACCTTTCCCGTTATCGTAGCTTCTTCGAGAGCAGCAGGCGGCTCGTGCTCAAGCAGAGCAGTTGCGCCAACAACAGCAGTTACAGCAGCAGCAACAACAACAACAGCAGTTGCTACAGCAAAAGCAACAACAAGAAGCGCTACGGCAGCAAGAGGCATTGCGACAGCAGCAGCAGCAACAGCAGGCTCAACAAGAGGCGCTGAAGCAGCAACAGGCCGAAGCGTTGCGACAACAGCAAGAAGCGGCGAAGCAGCAACAGCAGAAGGCGGCACAACTTCAGGCACAACAGCAAGCGGCAGCCGCAGAGCAAAAGGCGCAAAAGTTGCAGCAGCAATCGCAACAGTTGCAGGCTCATGGACAGGGTGGCGGAGGAGGAGCTCTGGATATCTTGTCATCCGGCCTTGGAGGATTGACACTCGGAGCTTCGGACGCCTCAGGAGGTGGCCCCTTGGGTGCACCTGCTAGCGCACCAGCAAATGCTCCAACGGGTGGTGGTTTCGATTCTGGCTCGTCGTATCTCACGGCATTGAATGACTCGTTTGCGAACATGCCCAACCACGGCGACAATGAGCGCTCACGGCATTACACTCCGCAGAACCCATACCCCACTCCGGCATCTTACCCATCGACGCCGTCTCCCATCTTTGAGAACCCTGCTGTCTTTGAAAAGCTCGGAACAGACTGCTTGTTCTTCATCTTTTACTATTCGCAAGGAACGTACCAGCAGTACTTGGCTGCTCGCGAGCTCAAGAAACAGAGCTGGCGTTTCCACAAGAAGTACATGACTTGGTTCCAGCGTCACGAAGAACCAAAGGTCACCACCGATGAGTACGAGCAAGGCACTTACGTCTACTTCGACTACGAGACTGGCTGGTGTACGAGGATCAAGACCGATTTCAGGTTCGAGTATTCGTTTTTGGAAGACTCTTTGCAGTAAATTGGTTTGCTGGAGTGAAAAGAAGGTGAAGGTTTAGTATGAACTGTAGCACAAATTAACCTACTAGGAGAACGGGGACTTCCGAAAATTCACAGATGCCAGTGGCATGCTTAGAGCTAGCTATCAGTACGGTACGATAGCTACGGTACAGTATCAAGTCAGAATTGTCATGGTATATTTTTGATTAGAATGAATGCCCAGCAGGAGGTGATTATGAAGGTTGTTGCTGGTTGTCGTTATTGGGCTGCGATGAGTCCCTTTGCTGTCGTCTAGCTGTGACCCCACCTCCATTGCCGACAGGTTGGCCTTCAAATTTTATCACTAAAGTTGTCATGTTGTCTTTGCTTCCCATGTTCAAGCACGTGTCGCACATCTGCAACAAGCAACAATTATTAATTTTGATCAATTCTTTGAGAAACAGGCACAAAACGAGGCAGCAGCAACACATCGAACTCGTGAGAAGAGTGCCACTACTCACCTCTTCGCAGATCAGCCCCAAGTTAGATTCACCCTCTTCAAACATCTCCGCAACCGATTTCACCGCCTCATAATTTGTCTGCACATCCCAAATACCATCGCAAGCGACAATGATGAATTCATCTTTATCTGCGCTACGGTTTTGGATGATGACGTCTGGAACTGGAGAAACTTTCTGATCTTCCGGTTCGACCATTTGATCGCCTGAAGTCTTGTCCTTTTGGCCGGTTGCTCCAGCGAGCACTGTTGCCATATTCTTAAATCGAAAGTCACCTAGTCCTCGACTGACAGCTAGATCACCCTCCACACGGCCCCCGGCCACATATCCCCCAGCGGCTCGGATCCGTCGTTCCTCCTCTTCGTCATCGGGTTTGTGGTCGTAGCTGAGTGGCACTGCCTTGTGCCCATGCTTGCTAAACACGGACCTGGAATCACCAGCATTGGCACAAACCACCCATTGAGGAGCTACTACTACGACACACGCCGTCGTTCCGGAATCTCCTTCCTTGTCCAAAAGCTGGAGTGTGGAATCGGCTTCCGACAGAGCGTCTTGTTGCGGGTCACCGCTGGTGTCCATTCCTGCTGGTCCACCGCCATCACCTTGTGGTTTTTCTTCATGGTATGGTTGATCCGCCTCCGGAATACGTGAGCCCTGGAGTGCCGATGCAATCTCCATGTCCAATTCCACAAAGGTGTCTCGCAATGCGCCTTCTATGTATTCCAAACCAGTGGTAATGTATTGCACTCGTTCTCTGGATTTGGTCAAGAGCTTTTCTTTCTCGGCACGCTCCTCCATAAATTTCGCATACTTTACAAACTTGGGCTGACGAGAGAGGACTCGACAGAGATTACGCCCAGAGTATTGAGCAGCAAATGTTCCACCGTGGCCGTCAAAGACAGCGAAAATGGAGTGGCCGGGTAGCTCTATGTGTTTGTAGGTCTTACTGTTGCCATCTTTTGGTTTGGTTTCGCCATTGGTTGCACCAGCAGTCTCCTCCAGCTCCGCCGCGTATAAGCGACACTCTGCCACATGAGCATCCTCCATATGAATACGCCATCCCTGCATGGACGACACACCGAACTTGAGCCCATCCTCGGATTCACCAACGTGGGTTTCCTTCTCTGTCACTGGTGCTCCCAAAAGATTGCCCATGGTGAATCCAAAATAATGCGTATAGATATAAAACTGCGCGTGCTTTCCACAAGCAGCAAGAGGCAACGAAGGAGGGAAGAGCGGGACACAATGCTGCTGCTCGAAAGGTCGCTCAGCTTGTTATCAGCGAAGGAAACAGCGCAGCGATCGAGGAATGGAGAAGGCTAATGAGGATCCATATACCGGGCAGACCCCGGTGATCTCTGAGGCCATTTATTGTGGTGGTGGTGGGCTTTGGTTGGTTGGCTAACCTTAGAGTTAGTGTTTTCTCTAATGGACTTCAGCCCCCCTTGGGCCCCCGTTTTCCGAATTCCTTGCACTTTCTCATAATGATACAACGGATCCCAATATTTTCCTCACATCGCACACTTCTAAACTCCCTTAAGCTTCCAAGTCACTTTCTCACCCTCCCACGCACTCCAATGGCAGGTGCTCCCTTTTCCCTTTCTATCCTTTCTCACAACTCTCTACCCATCACTTGCTTGTCTTACTTGTTTGTGGCGGCGTAGATTGTGTTGTCTGTGTTATTATTGAAGAGGAGCTCGGGAGGTCCAATACGTCGATGAAGATGTTTCGGATTGCAGTGACAGTTTCATTTCTTCTTTTGGGGATCCAACCGAGCCGTGGCTTTTCTCGTTCCATTACCAATCTTGAAAGAAGAAGAAGAAGCTGTCCAGTCCCCAAAGAATGCAATGGCAAGGGTGACGAAGCCGTACTCCGCTGCAAGACGGTACTCTGTGTTGCACAGCAAGGAGCACAAGAACGACGAAAGGCTGAGAGTTTAGAGCGAGGACATCATCCCCTAATGTCACTAAACTTGAACCTGGACTCGTTAGCGCAAGGCGGAGCTGCTCCAAGAGCCCAAGAACTTTTGGAACGGATTCAAGCTCTTTATCAGGAAGGATATTATGCTGTCTCACCAGACGTGGTGTCTTATAATTCCGTGCTGAATGCGTGGGTTAAACGAAACGAACCCCAGAAGGCTCTGGAGCTTTTAAAGAGCCTGGAAGCACAAAGAGACAGCCCAGTGGCTGATGACAAGAATATCATTGAAGCCGATGTGATCAGCTACAATACAGTCATCTATGCCTTTGCCCAAAATGGCCTCTACAAGGAAGCGGAAGCACTGCTACGTGAAATGCAACAACACCCGGACGAAAACATCCGACCGGACTCAATCAGCTTCAATTCCGTGCTGTACGCGTATGCTCAGTCGAAAGAAACCGATGCACCAGCCAAAGCGGAAGCATTGTTGCGAGAAATGATGACTGATGAGAACGAGGCTCAGGTGGATACCGCCAGCTTCAACGTGGTCTTGCATGCTTGGGCCAATTGCAAGAAAGTAAAAGCGCCCCATCGAGCGCAAGAACTCTTAGAACACATGGAAACCCTGTCCGAGGCAGGAAACAGCCGTGTCAAGCCAGATGTATATAGTTACACCACTGTCATTCAGGCGTGGGTATCGCAGATGCGCCACCGCCATCGTCGACGCGAGAATAAAAGTCGAGGGAATCACTTTGACAAAACCCAGAAGACACTGACACAACAGGGCGCAAACACAGCGGCTGCACCTGCTGCTTACAGGCTTTTGAAAAAAATGGAAGAGCAGCAGCTACAACCAAATCAGATCACTTATACCTCAGTCATGAGTGCTCTGTGTTGGTCGGGACAGCCCGACGAAGCCCACAAACTGCTCCTGCACTTGCTAGAGAGGTTTCAGCAGCAACAAAACATGGTGGGAGAATCGACGTCGGCTGCTGCAATGCTGGTCAAGCCCGACACAATCGCTTTTTCGGCAGTTATGGATGGATGGGTCAAGAACTCCAACCATCACTCTCCCAAGGCATTGCAACGTGTCATGGAGTTGTTGGACCTCATGAAACACTGGCAGAGCGAGGGCCATGATGACATGGCTCCAAACAGCCGTACATATACCTCGGTAATATCAGCATTGGCAAAGAGCCGCACGTGGGATGCCTGCTTGAAGGCTAAGAGTATCTTGAAAGAGATTCCCGAGGGAGCAACGGTGATCCACTACAATGCAGTCTTGGATGCATATGCAAAAAGCCCAAGAGCTGATAAAGCTCGTCATGCCAAGACGTTGCTGGGAGAGATGATGGCCAACCCATCCGTTTCACCAGATATCATTTCGTTCAACTCGGTATTGAGCGCATGCGCCGGGTCCTTTGGCGATGCCGCTTTGAAGAAGGAATCATTGTCGATTGCAGTAGCCGTCTTCAAGCACATTTGTCAATCTGAAGACTTGACAGCGACGGCATACACATTCTCTATTATGATAAAAACCTTGCGAAAGCTGGTCTTTGAGGAGGCGGCACGTTATGATTTTGTGGGGAAGATTTTTCAACTCTGTTGCAAAAATGGACAAGTCAACGCGGGTGTGTGGCAGCAAGTCAAGAAGTCCATTCCAAGCGATGAAACTACCGAGCATCTATGGAATACTCTTCTGGGAGATGTTGTCTACCGCGAAGGCCTGCAGATTGCTGACCTACCAGATGAATGGAAGAGCAAGGCAAAGCTCAATTACTAGGCTCAATCAGCCGCAACCAGTACAAAAGACGAATGGAATGTTTTGCTGGCGGCAGGCTGCATGTGATGGTGATGTGAGGTTGACGTCCAGCCTGATCAAGTCTACAAACTGCCCGTCAACGCAACAATTCCCGACGTGGGAGGACACGAAGCTTCGAAGGCGCTCTGGACGATGCGACGGAAACTCCAAGGAACGCGAGGACCTTACATGACAACGATCAATCCTGAGCAACTGAGCTGTTGTGATCAGGAACCATGCCTCTCAAAACATGACAAACAAACAGAATTTCCAGAAATGGAGTTGGACATAGTACGGATTGCTCCCGCATGACCGTGGGTAGAGGACATGATACCGATCAGTGAGTAGGTGGATGAATCTATGCTTGGGCGGAGTAACGATAGATGTAGATACGAAAACTGCATAAACCAGTGAATCAACCTCCAACTTGATAGGTTCCAAACGGGGATTGGTACGACATGTGCAATCAATCTGGGTTCCTCCATCTTTTCGCAAATGAGTGGCCCATCAGGGGGACTGGACCCCTCAACGAGATAGGAGGAAGTGTGAAGATAGATGAAGTATCAGGGCAGGGCTCATGTGGAGCGATGTTAAAAGCTGTATTGTACATGTTAAGCTGTGATATATACTCTTTGCACGAGTGATACGCAGATATTTGCAAGCAATCACATGTCCTGAGCCCCACTTAGCAAATTGATAACAATAGCCAGGAACTGTGAACGCTTGGAGCCTCCTGTAGATACCGGATGACTTTCTAGTAGAGAGCTACTCTTCCTCAACCAAAAGAGTTCTGGTGAAGTCATAGTCGCTCAGAGTCCCCCCTCGGTTGACATAGTCGCGGTATTCTTTCATTCGCCTCTCCAAAAGTTGCGTCCGTTTTTGTGTCACTTCGTCAATCATGGTGATAGTCCCTCGGTAGGGATGCTGTGGCTTTGTGGGCCACTCTTTGCGTATTGCCAAGTGCAATTGGAGGGCCGTCAATAGGTCAGGGGTCTGATCGAACTCCTCGGTCCCATCCGAGAAGACTCGCTTACGGTACTTTCCAACTCTACGATAGTTTTTGTTGGGGACATGCAGTACTGTGAGTGCTCCAAACTTGTCTTTTGGCAGGACCTGCTGGACATTGCAATGTCGTTTGCCAAAGAGTTGTTGGCTGGACATCCAAACTCGCTAGGAATGAATGAAAAACAAAACAATGAGCTCCAAGTTTGAGCCTATCGATTGCCTGTGTTGCATATTAGCTGCCCCACACGTACCTGAGTCCCCTCGGCTGGTTGTCCGCCTACCCCCGGCCGATTCTTGACCACATCAAAGTTACAGTGACGTCTGTCTTTCCATGCCAGCAGCAAGTCTTGTGTGGCCAAGAACATGCCTTGATGATGGTTCTTCATGCCGACATACCGTTCTTGCAGTTTGCTATCTTGCGCTACTTGATCAATTCCATTGGGTATCAGCGATCCTTTGTAACTGGAATGTTCCCAGTAGACCCGCGTGACATTCTGAACGGCATGTCGTGTCTTGTCATCAATCACCACATTACTCGGATAATTGTATTCATATCGCACAATCCCCACATTAAAGTCCGAAGGGTGGTATTGGGTGGATCCCTCCAATAGTTGCTGCACACGATGGGTTTCCTCGAGATAGGTGGCCACCGTGCGAGGCGTGACTTGGATATCTTCTTCGGTGTAAACAAACAAATCATAGTCGTGGATGCGTTCGTAAAAGAGTTGTCGATGACAATCCACCAAATGGAGTCGAACCGAGGGTGGTTTCAATACGATTTGAATGGCAAAGTCCTGACAGGTGAATCGACTATTGAGGAGATCGATAAAGGTGACGGGGTAGGCCACGGTAGCATGCACAACGACATCGACTTTGGCCCCGGCGACGCAAATATCATGATAGGAATCGAGGATACTTTCCAGGTGCGGAATCTGGTTGAAATCAAAGGCTGTTTGTTTGTGTGTAAAGGTGAAGGAGTGAGTCAAACGTGTTAGAATTGTGGTGGTTGGTTGAGTGGAGAGAATGAAATGTGTTTGTATCATCTTTGACCTTACCTGCAATGGCCACCAATATTCGCACATTGTTCAAAGATGATGATAGAGCCCTTGAAGATTGTAACTGTGGCGATACTTTTGATCCATCTGGCGATGAATCTGAAAAGCTGGTGGCTTGGATGGCTACTGGACTGTCAGTATTGGATTCATCATCTATATGTAGTAATCCTGTTTCATTGGAGGATCCATGGTGCTGCTGCCGCAATCTGTGCAAGAGAACTTGGATATTGAGAATGGCCACTGATGAAACGATAAAGCCCAGGACAAAGCCAATGCCAATCAAGTGGAACTGTTTCTTCTTTTGCTTTGCTTTCTCTCTACTGTTGGTCATCAGATCTCTCATCTCTCCGATAGATGATCTGTTGTAGTGCTGTGAAGGTGTCTAGCTAGCTACTAGCTAAGCAAGTGCCAATGCCTTTGGTTAGTGTTTGCATGTGCTGTCAGATACTACCGGACTGCAGACGGCGGGTGTGTGAGCAAAAATGAAAATTGAATTTGGGGCACTTTGTGAAGAGGCAACAGTCATGTTGACGGTTGGGGAACGAATTTTCGACAGGCTTCCCACAATAAAGCGTCCGGACAAACGTAAAATAAAAAGATAGGACTCTTCGTTCATCGTCATTCCTCGCTCCTCACCACAATAATATCACGCAGCCGAAGATCTTGGACCATCGACACTCCTGTTGACTGTTGCTACCATAGATATTACTCAATAGTAGATCGTCACTAACCTGAAGCACAAGATAGATAATGGACAAGGCCAATAACAATAGCAAGATAACAACGCCAATGATGAGTACCAGTCGTCAAGGCGCCATGTCTCTCCGAGGTAGCTCCTTCCAACAAGGCGTGGATAAGGAGTCGCCATCGTCACACGATCCAACTCCGAGGAAGCCTCTGCAAGAAGGTTGGATAGAGCAAGCTACTAGTACTGCTGTGGATATGGACCCATCGATTATCTATGATAGAGGTTCTGGTACAATTATTAGTCGAGAAGAAGAGAGAGGAAATGTTGAACCAGATCTAGTCATTGCGACTCAATCCGCCCACGATCCCTTGCTATCCTCAGCAACAACACGAGATAGGCGGATGAAGAGTGATAACGTCAAAGCGCACAAGAAAGCCTCCAAAGCACCCAAAGCAGCAACAGACACGCCATTAATAATATCCGAAGTCACAGAACCACCCACCACGGCTCCACCTGGTGATACGACCATGCCACCAGCCAAAAAAGAAGAACCGGTCGCAGAGGATGAGACGTCCACGAAACCACCCGAAAATCTGCCAACCAAGGAAACGCTGCCAACCAAGGAAACTCTTCCAACCAAGGAGACTCTGCCAGGCGATCCCGATGCCACTCCCTCGTCGACCACCAGTGCGCCTCCCAAACAGCCACTGGCGACGCCCGAGCCCGTGGAAACCAGTCCCCCCAAAATTGCCGATACTGATTCCTCCTCCTGCAATACACTGACATGCAAAGGATTGGAATTGATGAATCAACATCCATTGCTCTACATTATTCTATTCCTCCTGGTCACTTGCTTTTGCTGTTTGCGATGCCGCAAACGACGTCCACAACGAGATACACGAGGAGAATACCGGGCCGTGGGACGCATGCTCGCCAATAACTTTGATTCCGAACTCAGTGACGATGATATCAATTTCTACGAGGAAGATTCCGGCGATGAAGCCGATGCCGTGGGATGGAGCGGTAAAGGATCGATTGAACTGGGCAGTATAGGAAGGGAAGCCAATGGAGGTTTGACGTTGGAGGAAATGAATGGATAAAAAATAGGAATGAAAAAGCTGGAGAAAATGACTATTATTAAAAATTCTAGTACTAGTAGATACTCGAGTAGTTGCTAAAAGAAGGAACTTGTCCGAAGCAGACGAACGGTAGACTTGGAAGGTTTGCAGAGGATGAATGAACCCCCCGAATGAAAGATACTGGTGAATATGTGGCGAATGAGCTGGTGACTTTTCATTAGGTCGAGCACCACACTGAAGCCAGCACTTGCAGGCTTCGTTCCCGGTACCAACTCTGAAGCCGTTCCAATATTCCAAGTGTTTTCAAACTGCATGGGATACATGATACATGTAATAAACATCAACCTAGCTAGAAGTCTTTCTCTCGTTGTCTGATACATGTAACGAGAATAGTCTGATTTCAACGGTAAAGAAAAATCCACCTTTCCTTTCTCTGCTCATCGACTGAGTCGTTGTCGCTTCCTGGCCAATCTCATTTCTTCTTTCACGCACTTTTCAAAGTCTCGGGCACGGTCCACGTTGATTTCGCCGTCTTCAATCGGCGTGGACCCATACACGTCCTGATAGCAAGCGGGAGACAGGCACATCTGCACGCAATTCATGCTCTCCTCGGGAATCCATTGAGAACACACTTGATGTTCACAAATCTTGCGAGTATCCGAAAGCATCACCTCTTGTTTACGACGTTGCCTCTTCTTCTTGGCGTTTCGTCCTCGGCCTTCTACCAGTTTGGGGAGCATAAACAGAATCAACAAAACCAACAAAATCTTGACGGCCCAAACCAAAAACGCATTGCTTCCTTCTTTACTCTTCCTCTGGACTTGACGACGACGAGGGATCGGTCGTTGGTCATGTTGTGGGGTATCAGTCGCCATGGTGGTGTTTCGTTGTGCAGTGGCTCCCAAATCGACGAACGAAGCAGTGTATTCGACATGTTGGGTCATAATCGATCAATTCGATTCTGATTCGATCTTTAGACTAATGAAAGAGGTTTTGCCTCGCCAACAAGATTGCACGGGGGGGGGGGTAAGGCTCCTTCTGTGCAAATGTGCATGGCAAGGTTCATTGAACCTAGCTAGCTAGTCCATGGATCCTGAACTAGTGGTTGGCAATGAAATCTACTGTCCAGTCTTGCTAGAAGACCCGTGATAGGGATCTTGGGATTGGTGCAGCAACTGGAACCCAGTGTCCCTATTGGTGTTTCTGGGCGGGCAAATAGTTTTGCCGAGGGCAAGTAGAACCAACACACAGTGATAGCTGCACATCTGTGCCACTGGAATCTATGTTACACTGATTTTAAAAGCCACAGAGATCTAGACCAAAGCCAGTCTGAATGGACCATGGCAAGACAAAATGGAAGCATACCAGGGCCCGACCAGCCTTCTAGCTAGAGGAGACCTATCGATATTCCAGCAGCAGTCCTCAAACTGCCCAAATGCGTTCTGTTCGGGGAGCAGATGAAAAAGACCTTGACTCGCCGAGTTCTGGAGGGCCGAGATCGTTGATTGCTTTTCTATTTCAAAGCCTGCCAGTTCTGCACCAACATCTTTGACACGCACTGCAACGCATGTCTTTGCAGCTCCGGATTCTCATGCTCAATCAGCTTCATAACAATCTCCTTTGCACCCAAGCGCTTGACAATGGCACGCCCATTGGGATAATTCCGTACGAATTCACCAATATCGTAGCAAGCAATGGCCGCAACCTCTTCGTCAGTACTGGAACTGGCGGCAAGACTTATCAACACTTTGACAACGGCAAAGTTTCCATCCTTCCCTTCCATTCGTCTAGCATTTTCCTTGAAAAACTTTTCTGTGTGGACAATTCCCCACTGAAGATGGCCTGACTCAACTTCTGATTTGTACACGTCCCACCGGGTCATGTCATGGTAGTTCTCGTGCAACAATTTGTGGAGAATGTCCAGGTCCTCTACAATATCTGGATCGGTCCATTGACGCTCCTTCATGAGGTCGATTGATTTGATCAACCCACAGCCAATCATCTCGCCCAAGAACGTAGATCCATCTACGGTCTTGGACCCAACCGTGGGAAGTTCATCGTCGCTGCATGTTGCCAAATTGCGAAGGGATGATAGAGCAACACGGACGACCTTCTCACGAGGAGCTGTCGCCACCAGATCCTAAAGTATAACCAGAAAAGACACAAAGGTGAACCACACACCAAGTCACACACAAGTAAGTTGTGCTGCAGCCAGCAGCCAAACACGTACCACAAGCGCAAAAACGGCCTGATCTCGATGAAAGTGCCCACGCATTTCTTCCGAGGAACTGCATTCATACGTCATAATCCATAGACAAAAGCATAGTTCGTAGAGATGCTGGACGGATGCCGAGTTTTTCTTGGGTCCAGCTTGTCGGACCCTCAAGTGTCGGACGAGGAACCCGATCCCTCCCGCTTGATCAAATAGTTTTCGTGCTTCGGGGGCTGCAATGAGTACGGCCAGAGCAGGCGTGACCAATGCCAACGAAGTCGATGTGGATGACTGAAGTCGAGAAGCAATCCAGGAAACCAAAGATTGCAGGGCCTCCAAGACAGCAGGGGACTTGTCCGCGGGGAGCTTTTTGTTGTGCTGCGAAGGACAACCTTCAAACAGAATACACGCCAAACACAAAGCAGATACCCCTGAAGGAAAAAAACAAGAAAGCCTTGCTTAGATAATGCAATCAACCAACCAACCAGATTCAAGATATCAAAAATAAATATATATCTGACTTACTCTGAGCATAGGCATCCCCTGTTCCGGCACCCCCCTTCAGAATGCGAAGGAGAGGTCTCCATTCTTCAATCAAGGCTCCATCTTTGTAAAAGGTGGATAGAACGGACATTTCTGACTTTGTACTTTTTTCCTTGAGATAGAGAATGACTTCGTAGAGTTTGCTGAGGGCATAGTGGGACACGACGCCCATGGGATCGACGTAAAGCATTTGCAGTGCTTCTTCATCGTCCAAGATATCTTCCATGGTGAGTTTGGCCACCTTGTCGGACGAATTGTTGGGTCCAATGACTTGATCCAACACCTTGAGAAGCAACCGTGCATAGGCGGAAGCGTCATCTTGTTCTGCCAGAGAGTATTCCAGGACGTTGTCTTCGGCCGAGCGTAAAAGGGACTTTTCTGGGCCCGTTAGTTCCAATTTTCCAAGAGGATCCCATTGGATACCCGTAAACGCAAGATGAACCGGCGACGGGGCAAGAGATGCTGGGAATGCCATGGTCAGTCTGTACGGTTCTACTAGTAGAGTAGCTCGTGGATAGGAGCAAAGAATTGGACACAGCAGTTGGTTGGACAAAGGTTGGATGGTGATGGTCCTTGGCCTCGAACAGATCCGGAGTCCAGGGAGTGGCGAACATCAGAAGCCAAACTGCCACCAGAGCTCGCTAACGGATGCATGCTTTCATTTGACCGTTGAGAGCTAAAGGAGCAACTGTGCGAGTTGGGAAAGGGTTAAGTAAGCACGGTTTACTAAATCTTTCGACGTGGGCCAGGCACAGCTTTGGTCTCACAAGTTCTCCGGTCTGCGCTGCATCGCACCTCCTCATTCCTGATCTCATCAATTCCATCATTTTTTTACTGCACCACAAACCTTGTTTTTTGGCCAGGTGTTGATGAATATCAAGTGTTGAGCTAGCTAGCTATCAGTATCAGTATCAAACTCAGTGTTACTTGACAATATCGATGGGTTGAACTGAAATAATTACAGTATTAACCAAGGCTGCAAGAAGGAGTCCAATAGCCGAAAAATACCCAAGTTGACAAGAAAAACAAAAAAAAGCATTCCAATTCCAATTTTTCATGTCCCAGTGCACCGAGAGAAACATGCCATTTGTACGATGGGCCATTGTCGTACTAATGGCATTGGCCGTCCTGGTGTTGGGTATCTATGTCAATGATCAGTTTGGTTTTACAAGGGCAGCCCTAGGAGGAGGAGGCCAACAGAATAAACCTCTGCACAGAGTGCATGAATTGCATGGCGTTGTCAATGCCAGCATTGATCTACATTTGGACATCCCCACCATTCTGGTCCAACAAGGTCTCTACCAAAAAGACTCTGTGGCCAATGAATACGGAGCCATTGCGGCCTACTGGGATGACAGCATCAGCAACAATACCAACGGTACAACTGCAGAAAGGACTGTGTATGGTCCCTGCTATGCCTACCGCGACCGACAAATCAACTGGAAAAAGGCCATTGCGCGTTACAAGGCAGACCATGAACCATGGTACAATGACGACCGTCGTTCCAGACTAAATCCTTCAGATCTTCAAGGATACTGCCGTCCTGGATTCCTCATTATTGGTGAGTTGGTTATGCGGTAGCTTGCTTTGAATTTTCTCTTCATAGAGTTTGCTTGTATTGTGTTCTCACCACCTCTTTGTTTTGATACAATTTTATGATTATCTTGACTTGTGACAACAGGAGCGGGAAAATGTGGGACTTCTAGTCTCTACCATTACATTGCTTCTCACCCAAAAGTCCTCCCTGCATCTCAAAAACAGATTCACTATTTCAAGGTCAGTCCTTCCTTGCTTGCTGTGTTTTTATCCAAGGTTTGCCCAATTATAACTCAATGCCCATCATCTTTGTATTTCATTCTGCAGTACCACATGCATGAACCACTCAAGTGGTACTATAATCATTTTCCTAGCACAGAAAGCCTTCTCGCCGCGGGGGCGTTGATGAGTGGAGAAGCCAGTCCTGGATATCTGCCGTATCCGGATGTAGTCATTGACATGAAACGGAGTATGCCCATGCCTCGTCTTTTGGCCATTGGCAGAAATCCCATTGAACGATCGTACTCATCGTACAAGTACAACTATGTGACACCCACGGGGACATACCTGTCCAAGGGTAAAAACCCAAACATCAAAGGACAGCAACCGATCGAATATTACCAACAATTTCTCTACTCCTTTGAGGACATGATGAAGGCGGAATTGGCAGTGCTGAAAGAGTGCTTTGCACCCGAAAGCGAACCACAAAAGCAATCCAAGAAACGATGGGGCCACGTACCGTGGATTCGCAACGAGTACGAACGGCGCCAACAAAACAATCTGCCCCCACTGATTGACCTAGATGGTTTCTGTTACGGAGGCAAGGTCAGCAAGGAAGTGCTGCGCAAGCAATGGGCCCACCTGGTGGAAGAACAGCCTGACAAGTTCATTCTCGATCGCAATCTACACCTTACGCAAGCTTTGATTGGTCGAAGCCTTTATCTGTTTCCTCTGGAATGGTGGTATGCCGCCTTTCCTTCGGAGCATGTATACTTTGTGTGTACGGAGGAACTCAAAGATTTCACTGGCGAATCAATGAACGGGGTGGGACGGTTCCTGGGACTACCTCGGTACGATAATTTTTCCGAGGTGGTCCAACGGGGTGCCTACAACGTGGGAGGCCACCGTGGATATGACCATGAGGTATCTTGGAAAGAAGTCCAAGCAGAGCAACAGCAACACGATGACATTCCACTCTCCAAAGAGTTTCGGAAGGAGCTTGAGGACTTCCTTCGTCCGTACAATGAAAGGCTCTTCGAGATGACTGGTCGTCGATGCGATTGGTAAAATTAGAGAGACTGCCATCTACGCGAAGGTGTTGGGTGAACTCTCATCCTTCCTCAATGCGCCCAGCAACATATAGAGTCGCCTAGTCGGACGGCTCGAGAACGCACATCAGCATCAGTTTCTAGATACCGTTGCGACAAAGTTTTGAATGTTTTGTTCACACCCAAATCCGCTGATTGCGACCCTGGCTGCCATCGTTTCACCGCATGAGCTGTAAGTCAATGACCGAGCTTCTAGCTAGCTAGGCCTTTTCCACCAAATATTCAAAAAGCTGCTGGCCCATTACACTCCTGGTGCTAGCTTTCTAGTTTGTCTTGGAACACTACTAGTACCGTATCATTTTCATCTGGAGGTACTCAGTCTATCCGGCAGCAAGCACCATCGGTTGGGTCTGGTTATTTGATGGTGCCTAGATAGCAGGCAGCTGAAGCTTCTATGTACATGTACGTGCCGTACCACTCTGGCTAGCATTGTGCCGCTACTTAAAAACTTCATTGCAAGCGCGATCATTACATGTATCGTTTCCCGCACCTTTGCAGTTCTACCGAGAGGGGAGTGGGAACGATGATACCAATCGATCGCCGCAAAAGCTTTCTTTTATGCTACCCAGCATCAAAGTATCCATGGATTGTCGGGGAGGCATCGCCAAGTTATATATCTAGCTTGCAAACTGTACGGTACCGGTATCTCTAAGCCAGATAGTATAATACCTAGCTAGCTAGATGGCAAGTACTGAAGTTCTGTTGCTACAACAGAAAGAGGCCACTTATTGTGGTCCATCAATCGCCACACAAGGATCAACTATGGTACAGTCGTACCCCGGACCAAAACATAGGGGGGGCACAACCATCGCTGACCCTCCGGCATGGTTAGGCTGCCTTGAGCCAGTGGCGTACTACATCGTACTAGCTAATAGCTGCTAGCTAGGTACTAGTATTTGCAAATGCATGGCGTTGACACGAGGAGCGGCACAAAAGCCTCTGGACTAAATAACTTAGGAATTTGGGTCAGTCACGACCATTGGCGAGGTCATGTTCCGGAGTTATGAAACCGTTGGAGTGGTCTCATTCGAGTTTGAAGCCCTCAGATCCTCAGATGGCTCCTGTGCTGCCTAATCTGGTTGGTCTTGACCTTTGATGATGGCCGAATTCATTTCTTCCTCATCTCGGCAGAGAAGTCCATCTCTGTTGGTAGTTGTTGAGGTACCACTGGCCCAATCATTCAGCGTGTCATAAAAATTTTAGAAAGGAAAAACGTTGCAGTTGATGGGCCGAACCGAGCAATCTTCTGTCACACACAACACGGTTTTTGTTCCACAGAAACAGAAAGTAGGTTCATCACTAAGAGAGCAGGCACATGAACTATAGTAGAGCGCTTTCTTGTGTCATGATACAACGACTACATTTATGATAGCTGAGTTTGCTCTGGTTTGAATTCGATAGCGCCACATTTTTGCTGAGTTCAAGATTGTGAAACTCGGATATCGACAGAGGTACTAGCCAGTAGTGTCATGGGAGCCCATTTGAGCGTCGAAGACAACAACGAGATGTTCTTATCCAAGGAACGTCATGTTCTAGGCGGCCGAAAGCAGAAGAAACGAGCTGAGCAAGGGGCTTGCTTCTTTGGAGGGAGGATACCTGGACTGAAGCCGCTCAATAAGTCTCCCATATCGACCGACTCCTGCGCTACAACGATGGCGTCCACTGCAAAGAGCAGAGATCATTACTGTCCCAGCGCTTCTAAGGATGACCCATGTGATATCTGTCGTGGAGAGTTTGATTCCTCTAGATCTGGCTTCACCGAACCGACTTCATCCCGAAGGAGCTCTGAACGATGTTCCATTCGTCATCTGGATGGGTCCAGTCATCGTGATGAGATGACGGGTTTCTTGCGCGAGGTATTCCAAGGCTTTGAAGAGGAAGAATCATCTCCTCAAGGTGCTTCTTGTGGCCACAGACGCCAGAGAACGCATGAAGTCAACGACCTGCTGCATCAAATAGATCCGCAACTATCTACGCAGCTGGTTACCCCCATCTCGTCGGCAGAGGACTTGCAAGAGGATGCAGTGTACCCGGAGCCTGCTGGAAGGCTACTTGGATGCGACAGCCTGTCAGATTCAGAAGACTCTACACCATGCTCTTCTCCTGTCTCACTTAGCGGCATCAAAGAGACGCAGCCAGTTGGTCACAGTGAGGAGGATCACCAACCTCAGCCAGTCGTAGAGCAAAGCTGTACCCTCAAAGCGTCAGCGGCATTGTCTGATCCCGACTCGTCAAACATCACTGGCACGGCCTCGCAAGAGCACTTGCAAATGGAAAGGTGTCGGTATCAATACTGGGGTGATCGGTTAGAACAGCAAGGGAGACTGCAAGAGGCTCTTCACTACTACGGACTTTGCTTTCAGCTAGAAGAAGCACTCGACACTTCTCTAGACGACTCAGCAGCTATACATCTCAAGATTGGGATCGTCTATTGGAAGATGAGTGCCTATCAAGAAAGCCTAAACGCTTTGTACTTTGTCCTTTCAATGTACGAAGACGCCTTGGGCCCCACGTGGCTAGAGCAGTCGCCCAACTTTCTGAATGCCACCACTCTTGCGGTGTCAGAGACTTTTTTGCTCTTGGGGCGGGTGCATTTGTCCCTTGGCGAGAGCGACGAAGCTAGGGATCATGTAAAACAATGTCTCTCTGTTCTCTCTACCTCCCACCATATGGAAGACGACTTGATCCATCCTATATTTGCTCGTGCCTTGCACAGTCTTGGGATGACGTATGAAGCTTGCGGCCGCCATTCCAAGGCTCTAAAGTACTACTACGAAGCCTTGAACATGCAACGACAAGTGTATGGGAATTCGCATGTAGATGTTGCTGCCTCACTAGCATCGATTGGATCTCTCCAAGAGAAGCTGGGGTCATACGACATGGCAATGAAGTGTTTGGTGGATGCGTTGGCTATCTACGAGTCCCAGCCTACACTAGAGGGCTGTCAGGTAGATATCGGATCAATCCTGACCCTCATCGGATGGATATGTTTCTTGCAGGGCCACGATGAATCAGCCATGGAAGCCTACCAAGAGTCAGTCGACAACTTCACAGCTGTGCTGGGCCCCAATCATCGCAACGTGGCATCGGTTCGTGTTCAAATTGGAATGATTCACAATAAATGCGGACGTTGCGAAGAAGCCCTTGCAACCTACAAAGCAGCCCTGACACTTCAACGTCGGGCGCTTGGTGACGTCCACGAGGATGTAGCCATTACCTTGGATGCGATGGCAACGAGCTATGATGGCCTGGGCAAGTACCGAAAGGCCATTTCAACCCTAGATGAGGCACTGCACATTCGGCGCGGGGCGCTTGGAAAACGACACCTTGACGTCGGGAAAACCTTTGCCAACTTGGGAGATCTCCATCTGAAGATACAAAAGGAGCAGCTTGCAAGGCAATGCTATTCGAACGCTTTTAAGATCTTCCAGGCAAATGAAGTGCCTTCTGACGACATGAGACTCCAGGCCGTCTCTAGGTCACTTCAGACATTGAGTCCCAGGCGCTATGCATGAGTCCAATCCACCTCTCCATTCCATGACAAGCTAGACTTTCATATCGTAGATGAGCCCAGCCTCCTTGGTTCGTGTATACTAATATACCAATTCTTCAGGAGTTGAATGCTTATTTCAACTGCTTTAGCCTAGCTAGTAGCCGTGCTGATAGCAGAGAGCTCGTCCCCTCTTCTGTCGAAGTCAGCAACTGATCCGGTGTTCCCGTTTGGCTGTGCTTGAGAACTGGTTCTTTTTTGGTATCAGCACCCTTATACGGTGTGCATCTCTTTCCTTTTATCAAATGCAGCCGGAGATGAAAAGAGAAATAAATGAGAATGGCCAATTTGGAGAGGAAAGGAGACAAGGGCTGGGGAGGGTTTCACGAAGAGCAACATTGTCATCTCTCAGATGGATGATCAGAGCAATACACAGTTCTTAGTCTTGGTCGGCTCCTGCTAGCTACCTACCGGTATCGAGTCTCCTCTACAGTGTATATGTGTGGCAATGACGGGTCAATTGTTGAAAGGTGTACCGGTGCTTTTCTTTTGATCCATTCTTAGCCCTCCTTCCATGCTACCCTACCACCTTTGGTTTTTGTGCAGGCAGTTGGTCTGCTGTCTCGGCTGTCCGGATCACACTCTTGCATCCTGCCCTCATCCTCTGGAGTTCAATCCCACCCATAGTCCCATTTCACCCCATAGTAACATGTATTGAAGAATGTAAAGCAGGATGTTAAATGGATACTGAGAGTAGACCATAGTTTGTGGAGGCAACACAATGATGTTCGTACCATAGCAGCCACAGAATATGTCATATTTATGAGCCATTCAACCACTTTGTTTCCAACTGCACCCACAATTGCTCTCTGGGTCACACACTGGATCTTTCCAGTTTGACTGAACCGAAGTTCGGAAGAAGTTCAAGTAGATCAATGCTGCGATCCAACCAAGCATAATATAAGTTTCAACCTGCGATACAATCCTTGATTCAAGTTGCATTGTCACATGACTTACTCGTCAAGATGAAAAGACACCAAACTGCAGTATTATGAACCAGCGAGCGATAGGTGTCGGCTGCATAATCAATGAAAGTGGCGGTTTCATCCAAGTGCAAGGTTCCATCTTTCTGGGCAGCCTTCTTCTGTTGTCTATCATCCATCCCAGTTCCAGCCATAGCAATCGAAGAAAACTGATGTCTTTTGGATTCATCTCACCTCCTTGTGCCTGATTCTAGTATGAGTGCACATCATTGGTAATAAGTGCCACAATCAGGTTCTCAGCAGACAATGACGGACTCCCAAGGTTGAGGCATTCCAGATTGTGGTCTTGTAATGTCCGCAGCGACCACCCAGAAGACAAACCAGGCTACAAGGTCGTGCTATGGAATCCGTCTTGCAGGCTTATCGATACTATTGCCATCCCACACAGACCTTCCGACCGCCGTCTCTGGACATCTCGATCCACCTCCCACCTCGACAGCTCACAGCAACGCATTCGACAACAGCCCATTCCTTTTGATACGTTGCAGTAAGAGGCAGCCAAGAGTTTGGCGTCAATAATCATACAGTAGCCAGCACACAGCCATGACGGTCTCCCATCAACAGGAAAGTCCAGCAGAAGAGTCAGCATCGAGTAGTTCGAAAGTCACTAGCATCTCCAAGAGGATGGAACAGGAGATGGTCGTGGACAAGGACAAGGTTTCCGCCAAAGAAGACGATAGTGGTATCACGAGCAATACCAGCACGAACGGCGAGACCATGATCAGCACGAACGGAGAGGCCGCTCCTTCTGCGAAGGAACAGATCGCAGACACAGCGGCAATACCGTCCGTCGCCGAACAGACGGACTCGTTGGAACAAGAAGCACAACAACAATCATCATCACCCCACAACAATACATCTAGTAGTAGTAGTAGTTCGCAACAGCACGAAGGATCGGACGACGAACACGATGAAGAGTTCCACTCGAAATTTCTGACATGGTACAACCCCATTCGATACCGATGCGGTCTCATTGTCAATGATGAACGATTCCAGTTCTTTATTGTCTTTCTCATCATGCTCAATGCACTCCTCATGGGACTCGCCACCTACGACTTTGTCGAAAAAAATCCAAAAGTTCAAAAAGCATTCGAGTTGACCGACACGATATTCTTGATTGTCTTTACCATTGAATGTGCACTCCAACTGGGATACCACGGCTATCAAGTCTTTTACGATGGATGGTTGACATTTGATTTGGTTGTGGTCCTCATGAGTTGGAGTCTCGATCAAGTCCAGGTCTTTCGTGCGGTCAGAATTTTCAGGGCATTTCGACTGGTGGCCCGACTGTCGGTATTGAAAGACCTGGTCAATGCCATTGTCGCCGTCTTGCCCCGAATTGGATCCATCATGATGCTATTTAGTCTGGTACTCTACGTTTATGCCGTCCTATGCACCATCCTTTTTGGAACACATCAATACGGAGAAGACAATGTCGACTATTTCGGACGACTCGACTATGCACTCTTTACGCTATTCCAGTTTGTCACACTCGAAAATTGGGGAGAGATTTCCAGAGAAGTCATGGCCATTTATCCATGGGCGGCACACATTTTCCTTTCCTTTCTCATGGTATCATCCTTTATTCTCTACAGTCTCGTCGTGGCTGTCGTCTGTGATGCGGTGGCTGTAGTGGAGCACCCGGTAAGGAACAAACAAACAACAACGCACACCACAAATTGGAAGTGAATTGATGTGTATGTTTGCTCATGTTTCTTTTTGTCGTTGTTCCGATACATTAGGACATTGCATTGAAAAAATTCGAGGACAGAATGATCAAGGAAAAGAAAGAAACCAAAAATCGAGTGAAACGGCTCAGAGACCACCTTGGGGACTTGTCGCAACAACAAATGGAAATGCTCACTGCCACTCAAAATAGATTGATGGCGTTGGACACGTTCCGAAAAGATGCCGAGGAAAGTCGGGTCTTGTAGGTAAGACGTACTCTTTGACAACAAAACAAACAGTCCAGCTCCCACACAAAGGAGATTGGCAAGACGCTCAGTCAACGTGCGTTGCTGCAAAGCTTTTGGTGCGATACTGGACACTGGCGGTCCTACAGTACAGAACGAAGAACAAACGCTTGCTTCAATCCACCGGCTCCAAATAATGAAGGAGGTTGTCTTGTGAGAATCTTCTGGGAACAACTCGTTACCCTCTGCAGGGGGGCAGCTCGAAGTGTTGGAATGGAATGGACCAGAGAGTTGCCAGAAATGATAATCAGCGCTTGCAACGAAATCAACGGAGCTTCGTGAGTGCAATGAAAGCACCAAGCGCTGATGGGTCTCATGTGAGATGAAAAGTCATCCCAAACAACCAGAAGATTAGAGAGGCACAGGATTCATTTCAGGGGTTGAACAGTTGTTGACACCGTTTCAATACAATTTACTTGCCGCTGTTGCTGAAATGATCAACCAAGAGCTGCTTTTTCTTTCCTGTAATCTTACATGTGTGAAGCTGCCTTGTGCTCCGTACTTGGGCTGATGAAGTACGGTACGTCAGGTTGCACGGCGGCATCATTTGTGAGCTGCGTTACCGGGTGCAGCTGCGGCTACGTGCGCTCTGTGTGGGTCTATTAGGAAAGCATGGAAGTAATACCGATCTGCGGCACATCAGTACGGTAGCAAATCACCGTTTCATTGGCACATAGTTCTACCAGTATTACTGGTATAAATTAGCTTTTACGCACGTTACTAGAGGGCAGGTCGATCGTTCGCGTACCGGTATTACATGCTCCTCCACCAACTGTCTAGTATTTTCCCCATGTAGACGAATGTTTGATCGGTGGTCCTTTGGAATCGCTGTACGACCTTGGTTCCAAATCGGTAGCTTCTGCCTGGAAAGTCTTCCGATACAGCTTCTTTAACTTCCATGACATTTGTTTGCATTTGTCGACCCACTTTGAGAGTAAAATTGTAGAACTTTTTCAAATCCAGAGCGCTCGTCTTCTTTTCGTCTTGCTTTTGTTGCTGTTGTGTTGTGAGTGCATTGTTGTTGTTGCTGTTGCGATTGTTGGATGGTGCAGCATTATTAGTATTGTTGTTTTGCTTGTTGTCGGATCCCATCAGAGACGAGGTTGTTTCGACGCATATTCGAATACTTCCAATATCCGTGACGGTAAAGTGTCCGACCTCGGAATCGATTTTTCGAATGCTGATTCCAATATTTTCCGGAGTAATGGCCGTGACCTTGCCATCGTCGTTGCCCGTGGTGCCCACTTTGGTCACGACTTGTTTGCTGCTAGTGTCCTTGTTGCTAGTATTGTCCTTGTTGTTGTTGTTGTCCTTGTTGTTGTTGTGGTTGTGGAGTGACTCCAACATATCGTCTGCTTGTTGCTGCAATTCCTCAAATTCAGGTGGTAGTTCCAAGGATGACTTTTGCTCGGTTTTGCTGTTTCTCTTTTTCCGTTTAATGGGATCCAGCACCAAATAGTGGACGGACGTGGATCCCCAACACGACCATTCCGTCTTGTGGATGAGATCGTCTTCGGGAAAGGACTTTGGTCGGGGTTGAATGCGACTGGTATTAGCAGTACTGCTTTGGTCCTTGTCCTTGTAAATCATGGTCCTGGAAGTGTAAATTTCCTTGACTTTTTGATCGGATGTGTCGTCCTCCGAATCCACATACGTGCCCAAATCCGAGGCAGCTTCCAGAAACTTTTTAATGGAACCTTCGCGGGTATCCGGTACCATGTTGGCCACTCGTTCCATACGAGCTTGATACCCATGACACACGCCAGGACTGCCCTTGTGATCCGAGTTCAACTGCAGATAACCAATGCATTTGTACCGAAATATAGAGGGATGGTACAGTTGCTCTCCTTCTTGACTCTTCAGAGTCTTTAACGCCTTGAGCCGACGAGACGACGAGTTGCCAGAGTGACTCATTAGTGCTGTGTTATTGACCAATTAGCAAGTGATCGAGCAATAGATATGATGCGGAAGCAACTGCTGCTGCTGCCAATGATGCTGCTGATAGATACTACTGATGCTGGAACGCAGAATACAGCACAAGAGAGATAGACGACGGCTTCCGATGCACTTGTACAACAACCATCTATCTCTCGTTCTTGTGCTTGTGTTTGGCAAGCTCACAGCGCCAGGTGGTCTTGATCCAGGCTCACGGTCCTTCTAAGCCCTTTTCAATCACAAGGGTTAAGGAGCACTGTCGCAAGTATTTGAAAGACGCGGTAAAATGTCTTTCTGATTGATTGAATGATTCCATGGTGCCTGGCCGATTGCACAACATGCCAAGCCTCTGCCTGCTCGGATTGATTCGATTCGAGTGGTGTGGATTGAGATCCAATCAATCCAATCATTCCACTTTGGCTGGTATAGAGCTAGAGTACAGCGTAGGTGGGTTGGCTGATTGACTACCTGGAACTAATTATCCACTACACACTGTATTTGCTATGGACATGGACTGAAGAAGACTGTGACGAGGCAAGGGCTAAAAACACATCAACTCTTCTGGTGATCTGATCAATAAGCTCATCAGAAGGAAGAATGGTCATGGCGCTGTTGTGAAACCCAACAACCCAACAGCCTTCCTCTGGGTTTAGATCTTCCTATTAATAGCTACCGGTACCGGTACCGGTACGGCTATGGTCACACCCCATCCAATATTTACCCCATCCTCATTACATGAAAATACAACCACGAAAGAAAGCTCCACGATTAAAATCGTGCAAGTTCAGGAACGACGGTCAAAGACTCGTCACTCATGACGTGGCTTGTACGAAGGACCAATCACTGCTGCGCGACAATCGCGCACAAAAGATCTTTCCTGCGAACCCCATCTCTCCTTCCTTCTTTGCTGATCCAAGGCATTTTCTTTCATTTTCTTTCCTTGGCCATCTTTCTCACTTCATCCAACCATCCAATCCCAAACCAAAAAAAGGATTGCAACCACTATATTAGTCTAGTCAAAACTCAAGATGGCTCTTCAATTAGGACTTCGACGAAGTCTTGCTGCTTCCCCATTTACAAGAATTTCTCAACACAATGCTGCTGGATCTTTTGGTACCTCTTCTTCCGACGTTTTGAGGCGTTTTAAATCGACGGATGTGGGAGATGTGATTGGGATTGATCTAGGTACCACAAACTCCTGTGTGGCCATCATGGTGCGTTCAAGGCAACGGATCCGTGAAAACAACAACCCGGTATCTCACACTCTTCCAATTCATTTTTGGACTGACAGGAAGGTCGAAATGCTCGTGTGATTGAAAACTCGGAGGGTGCCCGTACAACTCCCTCTGTCGTTGCCTTCACCGGTGATGGCGAACGTCTCGTGGGTATGGCTGCCAAGCGTCAAGCAGTTACCAACCCCGAAAATACTCTCTACGCTGTCAAGCGTCTTATTGGACGTAGATTTGGTGATAAGGAAGTCAAAAGTATTTCTGGATTGGTCCCTTACGAGATTGTAAAGAGTGACAACAATGACGATGCATGGGTCCAAGCCCAAGGAGCCAAATACAGTCCCTCGCAGATTGGTTCCATGGTTCTTGGAAAAATGAAGGAAACTGCCGAAGGATTCTTGGGCAGAGATGTCTCCAAGGCTGTTGTCACCGTCCCAGCCTATTTCAATGATAGTCAGCGTCAAGCTACCAAGGATGCTGGACAAATTGCCGGATTGGATGTTCTTCGTATCATTAACGAACCCACTGCTGCCTCCCTCGCCTACGGTATGGATAAAGCTGACGGAAAAACCATCGCGGTGTTTGATTTGGGTGGCGGTACTTTTGATGTCTCTGTTTTGGAAATTCAGGGAGGTGTGTTTGAAGTCAAGGCTACCAATGGAGATACCATGTTGGGAGGAGAAGATTTCGATGAAGAACTATTGGAATTCCTTTTGGGGGATTTCAAAAAGGAAAGTGGAATTGATTTGGGCAATGACAAACTCGCCATGCAACGTCTGAGGGAGGCTGCGGAAAAGGCAAAGCGTGAACTCGATGGATTGGCCCAAACGGACGTATCACTTCCATTTATCACTGCCGATGCATCTGGACCCAAGCACTTGAATGTCAAGGTTTCTCGTTCTCAATTCGAGAACATGGTTCAAAAGTTGGTTGACCGAACCATTGATCCCTGCAAGGTATGTTCGCAATGCGATTAGTTTGGTCATGAAGCTGTCTTGGGGCACTACTGACACTTTCCTGGCTTTATTTTCTTCCATTGACTTTAATAGAACTGCATCAAGGACGCCGATGTCAGCAAGTCCGAGATTCACGAAGTCATCCTTGTTGGAGGTATGACACGAATGCCAAAAGTCCAATCCACCGTCGAGGAGTTCTTTGGAAAAACTCCATCTCGTGGTGTCAACCCTGATGAGGTCGTGGCCATGGGAGCAGCCATCCAAGGAGGTGTCTTGAAGGGTGATGTCAAGGATATTCTTTTGTTGGATGTTACTCCTCTTTCTCTCGGTATTGAAACACTTGGAGGAGTCATGACTAAACTCATTCCACGCAACACAACCATTCCCACCAAGAAGCAACAAACATTCTCCACTGCTGCTGATAACCAACCACAAGTGCAAATTAAGGTCATGCAAGGAGAACGTGAAATGGCAGCCGACAACAAGATGCTTGGAGAATTTGATTTGGTCGGAATTCCTCCCGCGCCTCGTGGAATGCCACAAATTGAGGTCTCCTTTGATATTGATGCAGATGGTATCCTCAACGTTAGCGCCAAGGATAAGGGAACTGGAAAGGAGCAAAATATTGTCATCAAGTCCAGTGGAGGTCTCTCTGACGACGATATTGAGAAGATGGTGCGAGATGCAGAAGCCAATGCGGAAGCAGATGCACGAAAGCGACAAGTTATTGAAGCGAGAAACGAGATTGACTCTCTCATCTACTCGACGGGGAAGAGTGTGACAGACAACGCTGAAAAGCTTGATGCTGACACCAAGGCTGAAATCGAAAAAGCAATTTCAGAGGCTAAGGAGGTCAAGGACGGTGATGACTTGGAGGCTATCAACGCTAAGAAGGATGCCCTCAACCAGGCTGCACTAAAGATCGGTCAAGCAGTCTATGGCCAACAGCAAGGTGAAGGAGGCGAAGAAGAGAAGAAGGATGACAACACTGTAGACGCTGACTTCACCGAGAAGAAGGAAGGGGATGACAAGGACGAGAAGAAGGACGACAAAAAGGACGACAAGTAAATAACCAATTGTAAATTCATCTATTAATGCCAGCGCCTACCCTGTAGACGTCTGGTGCATTCGGGTATTGAGTGGCTGGGCGATTTGTGCCAAGCATGGGGCGACGTGTCTTTGTGGTGCTGGGGCTTTTCACCGTGGAAAGTCCTCGCCTCGCTTACAATCCCTTTCATGGTTAGAAGCGACCAGGGCCGTTGCATCAGACGTCGACGGATTAACGTTGGAAGCCATAGCCTCCATTGTTGTCCATCGTACGAGTACAATTGCTTTTCCTTCCTCTGTACCGACTACCGTGGTTCTTGCTTCACGGCACCTCGATCCTTTTTCCGAAACGCGAGATGCGAGAATACCGGTAGCCAGCAAAGCTACCGGTGCTGGTACTGGTACCGGACAGGCAGGCACATCGAGATAGCCACTACTATTAATAGCTAGCTAGAGGAAAGTCGGCCACGACACGTGCACCCGCGTACCCCAACAACTATGCCAAAACCATGTACAATGATACCGGTACATGTATGTCTCACAACCGACAGTGTCGGGATTGTGGATGCATCTTGGCAGCCCTTGGAATTGGAGTGCTAGTAGACTCGACTCGACTCATGTGCCGGGCTGTTTCATTCAACAGTGCTACTAGTATGGTACTGGCTACCCGGCCCCACGTCCACTGACGCCTGGAAGTTCGGCCTTCATCGTTTCTTTCAGAAAATTCGTTCTGTTTATAAAGTACTGTAATCATTTATCCCTATATCGTTCGTTCTATTGATGCCTATACCGATTAGAGCGAGCGTTCATACATACCATAAATATGAAGGTAATCGAATAGGAATCTCCTAAGAGACCAATCTCATCAATGGTCTCCTCCTCTTTAAGTCTTGGTGGAGCCCTCGAAACAGAGAAATCGACCCGCTATGCATCTAAAACATCCCACGCCTCTGAGGCAACTACAGGCGTCTTCATCACCATGAACGCCTTCACGATTTCGTAATCAGCGCACCGCACAGTCTTCGAATCTTTTTCGAGGTTTGTCATGACAGCTTGCCATCTGGGTCGCCCAGCGCGTTTGCCACTCAGTATGCCACGAGGCTCCATCGGGATAATGCGGATTGTCTGCTTGGCTTCGTCGTAATGTAACACAAAGTAGTTCTCCGAATTTTTCCCCTTCTTTGGTCGAACAACCTTGTTGTAGAAATGGACACGATCCCTTGGGTAACTCTTGACTTTTTGCTTCATGGGACCTGTCCGGCTTGCGGCGGCAGCTGCTGCTGCTGCCGCGGCGGCGTTCTTGTCGATTGGTGTGGTTGTTGCTGTGGTTGGAATGGAGGCGACTGCAGGAGTGCTGCTTAACACAGGTGGCGGACCAGAATTTCGCCGAGGAGTGGTGCGCTTTGCTATAGGCTTGCCCACAGGCTTCTTAGCTGCGACCTTTTTATCGTCCGCCTCCGCGTGCACGTCAACTGGGCCATCAGGCTGTGTTTCTTCTTCGGAAGTTTCGGTTGCGGCTGCGCCCTCGGCGTTCTGGTCTGGGTTGCTTTGATTGGAGTTCGAGCGGTCACGAGTAGTCCTTCGAGCGACTTTGGATTCCGAGGTTGTTTTTTTTGCCGGAGCACCGGCCTTGGTCTGCCCTGTTAAATCGTCCACCAACCGACGTTTCTTAGCACTGGCAGTTAACAATGCAGCTGCACTACCTGCTTCCGCGTTTCGCTTCACACCAATTGATTTGGCAGCCTTGGCCGTGCTTTGTTCTGGAACGTTGTCGCCAGAACCTCTCAGGAAGGGCAATTCAGGAGGAGACGCCGCATTGACTGCAAGTGTTGTTGTCGATGTAGCTGGGCTTCCGTTAGTGCCTCGACGGCCTCTACCGATCTTTCTCTTTGGCCCATTTTTGGTAGGTTGATCCTCAGCTGGCAAATCGGAAGTAGTTGGATCAAGCACACCTCGCTTTCCTTTTGGATGAGGTGTGGAAGTTCCGCCTAGCTGCTCAATGGTTGGTTTGTGTTCAACTTCCAACTTCATCATTTCATCCAGAAACGGCGTCTCAATTACAGCATCTGGGGGATCCTCTGGTAGCTTGAGACACATCATGTAGCTCGGCCCACCATGTTTCTGCAAGCTGGTATCAGATTCATTTGGATGTGTCCAGTGTCGATAGCCCATGATTGGTGTGTCAGGTCTTGATCCTGGCTTTGAAGGGTCCCTATCCTTCCTCTCGTAGCGACAAATCGCACCCACCCGAACAAAACCAAACCGTTCGTAGAACGTCTTGGACGCATCTGTTGCCTGCAGCACCACAAATTTGTAACTTCTCTTTGCCCGAATGCTATCCAAAGCCATACGAAGCAAGTATTCTCCACAACCTAGTCCTCCAACCAAAGAGATTTCTGCAACTGCTTCAAAAACAACTCCACCTTCAAAGGGGTCTCCCGATCGAGGCTGATGTTCCAGTTCCATGGCAAGTGATCCATCCGCGTCAACGAGGGAGGAAGTAGAGCCAGTGTTCATTGTCGGGATGCCACTCATGGCGTGGGAAGAATCCCATTTGAAGAAATGTGTCCAAGTTTAAAAGTTGGTCCAAAGAATGAATCCTTGCAGCCACCCGCCAGTTCTGTGTCGGATTTGATATCCTTGCAAAGGATCGTCAATATCCACCCGATCACGAATGTATTCCTTCGAAAGAGGTGGGTGAAAGGGTTTGTTGGATGGTATTCTCCCACGGGTTGCCATGTGTCTACGCATGGCTGCTGAAGTACACACAGCCGTCATTTCCAAGACGCTATCTTCCCATTCGGAACGCTTCTTTGGCACCCAAATAACACTCGAGTCGTCTTCAAAGGGTGTCAAAACTTCATCATCCACAAGCTCAGGACTAGTATCATCATCCTGAATCAAGGATGAAGACTGGGGCTGACCAGGCACAATCCAGCCATTGTTTGCCACTTGTGGTTCCTTGACAATGGGTTGTTTCTTCTCTTCCAAAGGCTGCTTTTGCACTACCTGAAGTTTCTGCTGATGTTCCCTAATGATAGATTGTTGGCGATAATGGAAGCGTTTGATCTTATCTTGTCGAGTGTCTGAAGGAGTTGACCAAAGAGGGAACCTGTCTAGAAAGGCTCTATTCCGCTTCACAGCTGGTACCAGCTCCATATCATAGCGCACTCGAGTCCGTTCGACGGGTACTTCCTTCTTCTTCTGCTCACGGGTAGATCGACGCTGACGTTCTTGGGTTGGAGACTTGATTATAACAACCTTCTTCTTGTTCTCCTTGCCACTACTGTTCATATCCTCATCGGAAAGGGCCGTCAACGTCTTGGTCGTCTCGGGGCTTCGAACAGGGTCGTCCATGGTGGTGGTCACTTTCTCAATGTTGACACCTGAAGATCGTGTCGCAGTAGATGTCACAGTGTTATTGCTTCGATTGGGATTCCCGTCTGCCGTAGGCTCTGGTACATTTTCTACGCCTGAATCCGGTTTCCTCTCCACTCGAGCTGGAGGAGGATTCTTCTGCCAATATCGATCCAATTGAGACACTTCGTAGTTGACGGCAAAGGTAACATTCCTCTGGGGCGAAAGCATGAGAGTTGAACTGGTCTCCGAGGGGGCCATGGTCGTCTCCGGAATTCTTTGGGTCGTCAATTTGTTCCCTTGTTTCTTTTTCTTTTCGAGTCTTTGATGTGTTTGATTTTGAGAGCGAGTGTGCGAGTGTCAAACGTGAGCTGTTAAATTCGCTTTAGGTGTGCTTTGTGGATTTACGGGTAAAAGTTACCCAAAACCCCTGGATATATTTGAAAGCATTTTGGTGGGATTGATCTTCAAAAAGCCCTTCTCGCGTCCGTCGACTCTGTGAGGAAAGGAAAAAACCCAAGAAAAATCGCAATGACAGATTGCCATTTGCCTTGGAACGAAAGGGCCCGAAATGGCGATTTACACCAAATTCCGGTTTATACTTGTGTTTCGATTTTATATTTAGGTTTCAGTTTTATATTTAGGTTTCGGTTTTATATTTAGGTTTCGATCTTATATTTTGGTTTCGGCTTGATTTTACTAGTTAATTACCATAGTAATTTGGTTTCGATTTTATATTTAGGTCTCGATTATATATTTAGGTTTCGGTTTTATATTTAGGTTTCGAATTGATCAATTTGGTTGGATTCATAAAATCGTGATTTCCGGCCCTTTCAACTTGCTGAGCATCCTGTGTACGTAGTCTATGTGGTTAGCCAACCCTAAATTGCCCATAGCGGGGCTTACCATCTACCGCCATACCACAGTTGTCACTCTAATAAACTCTAATGCTAAGAATCAAGTTCCAGTCCAATACCTTTGTCGACAATCAAAAAGCCTAAAAGAGTAAAATTTGGTCATTTCATGGCTCCCATACAACTGCCGTGGCAGCAAATGGGGGACCTTCTGAGGCGCTAGTTTTGCAATAGATTAACAACTGCACAAAAATTGTGTACCCCTTATTCATTTCTTCAAGCCTAGGCCCCTTTAGCTTTGCCCACTCTTATACTATTAATAGTAGGTCTCCCTGGGACAAGAAATGTTTGTGGCTCTGTAAGTGCCAGGTACCGCCGTGGTATCCGATCCAGAGATAGACGATTTGAATACCGGTACTATCTAGCTAGTAGATGTGGTTGTCCGAGTTGTTGGTTCCTTGTAGCTGAAGATGAATTGTAGAAGGTGGGGTATTTATATTTCTTAGAAAAGTTACCCTAGATCTAGCTACGGTACACTAATTGACGTCGAATTGATTCTGAGTTCGATTCGATTCGATTGTATGTTTCGATTTGATTCGATTCGATTCATCATTGGGGCCAAAGACTTTGTCTCGGGGATCCAAAATCCAAAGCCGATGCATTCTGTCATTTATTTTGTCACGCTGTGAGGATGGATGAACGATTGCTTGATTTAGGTGTTCCGCTTGGGGTCCAAGTGCAAGGTGGGGACGATGTTGCGATCAGAGAGGACCCTCCTGGTTGTTGTGTCATCGCATTTGACGAGTACACTCCCTATCTGTCCTTCGCGGACTTGTCAGCAGTACTTCCTTCCATTGGACACCGCTACACCTCCCTCCTTATATTTGTCAATTGTGGCGTTTGGGACCTTGAAGAAGATGAAGCCCTTCATTTAGGCACCCTGATCCAGGCCCACCTTGGAAACCTGCAGCATGCAACCTTTGATGGATATTTTGACGTTGGCCCACGTACAATTCTCGTTCAGCATCTTCCTCGACAGCTTCTCAGTCTCGCCATGAAATCGTGCGACGTACAGCAGATCACCGGTGCACTGGCTCACATACCCAGCCATTTGCCTGGATTGAAATCACTCACGTTGGAAGTCGTCGATTACCATTGTTATAACGAATCCGATACAGCTGGTATTATTTCGTCACTGTCCCGTAGCATCCAGCTGTTGCCAGATTTGGAGTCTCTGTGCATGGCAAGAGTTGAATCCATTGACTCGGGAGAGTGGAATTTGGTAGTTGGTGCAATCACTTGCCACGACAAAATCAAGGTGGCAAGTTTTCGTCAACTCTATTGTTTGGATTCTGATCGAAAATCGAATTTCTTCACTTTTGATAAGGACTGAAGATGCAATCATTTGCCATCTTGGCATAAATCGAGTCAAAGCAATGCTTGCGTCCCCAGCCAGCAATGCAGAGGATAGTGATGATCGCTTTCACAAATGGGTGGTTGCGTTGGCGGCCTTTCGCAACCAACCAGCCTGCTTGCAGTACCTGTTCAGTGCGGGGGTAATGGATGCTGGCAAGTTTGCCCAGGCTGCCCTGGATGCCATCAATCAACAAAAGAACCCCCGATATAAAACTGACCATCTTCAAAAACAGTTGGCTCGCAGAGAGGCGCAGCTGGCTTCAGGCTCGAGTGGCCAAATTGGAGAATGCGCTCAAGGCCAGTGGTATTCCATTGCCTCCTTTGGACGTTGGCCAAGAATTTCTCTTACCACTGCCAGAAGAGAAGCGACGACGCCTTGAATGGGCCCGAGTATTCAGCTACCGCAGTGCTAACTAGACTTGCCGTACCGGATGCTCTGATGAACAAGCATCAGAATGAACCAGTATCATATGTCTTGGCCTTCGGTGTTCGTTCCAACGTGTGGTCTTGTTGTAGCTGGCAAGATATCGCAGGCAACATTCTCGTCTAGCTAGCTGGTAGCTACTACACAACATTATCCATATTTACAAGCTATAGGGAACAAAAGCGCCTGTTGTGGCAAATAATGACATGGCAAGAGCCTGCTTTGCTGGATCTGATTCATTGATTGTCAGCGTTTGAACCGTTTGACAAACCGTACAACCACGTCACTTGCCTCCAGACTTTCGACTTCATTTAGCTGATGCAGCTCCCAATTCTGTTCCAAAAGACTCGCTAGATTCTCAACTGTGACCTCCTTTCTAACGACTCCTTCCAGTGCGGTAAAAATAACATGTCTGGCATCGTCGCCCAGCCGAAACTGCTCATGCTTGAGCGCGTTGATTGCACTGGACTGGACATCCTCGGTAGGGGGCAACACTGTCAATACGGAACATATCAGGTGGGCAGCGTCTCCCAACACCGCAAAGCTCAATTTGCCACACGAGCCCAGCAAAAGCATGGATATCATGCTGGGACTGACAGTCAAGACTGTTTCTTTTGAAAGTTCCTTGATGTTATCATTTGGTGACTGCGTAAGCTTGATCTTTTGATGGAAAGCAAAGAAGGCACAACTGAACGTAAGGTATCACGAAGAAGACCGTCGGCTGCTCAAGGCTGGATCGAATACGTACCATTGCTTCCAAAAATTGCATTGCGTGTTCAGCCGTTGCTACGTCCGCTTCATTGAGAAATCCAACAGCCAAATCAGTTGCCTTCCGGCTGAGCATGTCTTCGCGCCCCACCAGTCCGGGCGCACATGGCAAGTGGAAAAAGTAGGAGGGGCACCGTTCCAAACAAGTCTTGAATAGACCCAGCATGGCGCAAAACTCATCGCCGGGATGAATGTTCCCCTTTGGAACCGGTAATGTTTTGCTTTCAAATGGCGGCTGGCCCTGACCCTGCTCCTTGGCGTTTCCTATGGATGGCGCAGCAAAAGAAGACTGCAGCTCATCGACGGCTGCAAGCAGTAGATCCGTCTGGATAGCAGTGACGTTCTCGTTGCTCTCTGGTGTACTGAGGCCGTTCACTTTTTCGGAGGTTTTCTTTTCGGCTGTCTCCCCATGAACAGTCACGATTTCAGTGAGAAAACCAAAAACCGGTTGAAACTTCACCTGGCTCCCAGCCCCCTTTTTCTTCAGCATCGAAAGAGCTACTGAACACAGTTCTTTCAGCAGTGAAGTACTCCCTTTGCTGTTGCACTCTGGCGGTAAAAACTCCACCAAGAATCTACCCAAGGCCTTTGCAACTCTCTGTCAAAATAAAAGTGAGCCATGAACCGCGTTTCCACTTTACAACGAACTTCCAATGCCGACGACTTACTTCATTATTGCTGTACATTGCAGCCACGTGAACAATGGATGGCCACGCTTTTCGGATGATGACTAGCAGAGGCACAGGAATGGCGACGCGTTTCTCTGGTGCACTGTTGTGCGCATCTTCCATCCCTGAATCGTTTGCAAAGCATGCGTTCGTGAATGTTCTGGCCATGACAGTGAAGATCACAATTTCGTCTGCAACTCGGCGAAGCACTCCATTCAACTCTTCCTGCTGTTTGTCTGCTCCAGTTGTGTTGTTGGCTATTGCGGTCATTTTCTCAAAACAGTCCAGCGCCGGCAATGCTAGTGCATGAAACGAGCGAACCCTTTGATTGTCTGGGAGAGCCGCAAGGACGTGGCAAATGGCAATGCAGAGAGCTCGACGATCTTCAATTGTGATTGCATCAGGACGGTTGCACGCTGCATAGGATGCTTCCCAACCAGCTTCGCATATGAAGGAACAACGGTTCGTTTGAGACTTCCGAGCACAGCTAAAGGATGCCTCATCCCCAGACAAGTGGAATCTTACCGCCCAACGCCGTTATAGCCGAATTCGACACAAAGTACTTCGGGTGTTGACACAAGATCTCTTGGAGTGTTAAGGCGGCATCTTTCCCTGGAGATATATTGCTCTCCTGCATCATTACTCGACTAGGTTCACCGCCAGGGTAAGAAGCGGCACACAGGTTGAATGTAGAGAGCGCGAGATCCGTCGCTACGTCTAGGACTCCTTGTACCTGGCTTTCCCCGTACCATCTTGTATACTATTGTTGGGACAGTCGTTAGCGTCCGAGTCATTTAGCAGCAACCAAAGGCAGTAAACACACTTACATTTCTCAAGAAGCGGCACATTTGAGACAACGTCAATGGATTGGCCATCATGCTGGCCGGCTTTGCGGCCAATGCCGATGTGCAACGTTCCATTTGGGAAGGATGCGGAAAGGATTGATTCTCTACGGTGTCCATTGCAAGATCAGCAACTGCCGCAAGACAGAAGAGAGCTGCTTCAAGGTGTAGCGAAACTTGGCTAGATGCCGTTTCGGAACAGAACTCCTCGACGGCAGAAGTGCAAGAGTCCATGTAATTTGCACTGTTGCCCTCGTAGCAAGCACGGAGTGCTGACGTCAAAACTGTGTCTCGAAAGATCTGAAACTCCTGAAAGTTGACCCCACATATGTCTGACGCTGCCAAGTAAGGTGCACCTGAAACCACATGGTGAGGAATGATTGCGCGTCTCTGTAGTAAAGGTAACAGCTGGGGTCCGAGGGAATTCTCCAACCGAACGACATCCGCAAGCACTGCCAGAGCGATAGCACTGATGTTGACAGACGGATGAGCGGCACCTTTCATCATCAGATCGACCAAACCGGGTTCATTCTTCAAAGGATGGCCGTGATCAGCCGAAAACTTCATTGCAGCTGAGCCCAGGGAAGACGCAATCCTGACCAAACTGCGACACACATCATGATCCCCTTTGAATGTTGATTTAGTTGGGAAGGGTTAGAAGAGTAGCATAAAAATAGATCGTCTCGAAATCATCCCCTCCTTACCATTGTTTTGTCGTTCTGTAAAGCGGAACCGCTGCAGTCCTATCGCTGAGACGAGTTCATCCACGATGGAACTCATTTCCTTGGACTCGATCAGGTTCAGTTGCTCTGCGCTGAAGTTGGATTGAAAGGCATGTTCATCAACCTGCAGGAGATAGCGAACCTGTGTCATTCGCTCCTCCAAGACTGTGGGTGTATCTTGATTGTCAGAAAGACAGGCCTCAATGAATTCTGCTAACGCCTCCACCACATGTTTCGAATCAGAGTACATGGCATCATTGATGACTTCAATGAAGTTTACCTGGGAAAGCGATTTGGGTAAGGTCAGTGAGACTAGGGTGCCCGGCAAACAAGCGAAGATTCGATTCTTGGGTCGTACCTCCACTTTGCTACAAATGTGCTTGATCTGGGCGAGGCTGAGGTCCGTTGCAGCACACCATCGTTCCAATGCTCTGACACATATGGCTGCAACTTGGTTGTTCTTATCGTGCTGTGATTCCTTCATGGCACTCCCACCAGCTGCATTCGCAGAGGATTCTTCAGCTACTGCATCTAGTAACACGGGTGCCAGAACCGCAGCTACAATGGAAGCTGATAGTTGTTGCATCATGTCTTTGGTTCCAGCAGGTGCTGCTTTGCGCAGAGCCCCCAAGGCTAGATGCAGTGTCACACAAGCCACAGCAAAAGGGGGCAATGTTTTGGTAGAGGGTACAATCCACTCCGTGACAAAATGATGAACTGCCAGGGGTCCGCTTGATACAGCGTTGGAAGCCAGGACAGCACAGAAGAGTTCCATGACAGTTGGATCAGCAAATGCTGAGTGTCCATGGGGTCCGTCTCGTCTGTGGAAGCTAAAATCAAAAGCCATGGCGGCAATTCGTCCCATGACAATCTCCCTTAGTTCAAGATTCAGGTCAATCAACCACTGAGATTGCTCCGGTGTTCCATTGAATTGCGAGCCCGCATTAACCACGCAAGTAGACACCAAACTTCTGTCCACATCGGGGGCTCTGCGGGAAACTCTGAGCGCCATGGTAGCCAAAAGCTTGACGTGGCTGCTGAGGCCAGCTCCATTCTGTAGAGCATGAATCTGATGGCTTCTGGCATAGTTGGCCTCGTACCGTTCGACCTCATTCATAGCTTGATGGATGAAGTTCCAACAGCCATATGTCTTTGGTTTCGAAGGGTCCGTGGCGTCGAGCACGTAGATGGACGAAGTTCTGTCCAGAAACGAATTGGAACCCGGATCTCCCTGAAGGGCTCGACCGATAACATCCAATGCTGGCTCCATTCTGTGCTTTTTTAGGTGGAACCATCAACTGCCCTCAACAGTGCTGCCTCGAATGTTTGCTTGTATGGTGTATTGTGATGTGTGAAGTGTGCTGTGTGTTGTGTTTGTACCGATATTGATGGATCTTTCTTTCCACAGCTCAGCTCCACCCTCTTTGGTTGCTACCGGTACCCAGCTTATGGAGGTACTGGTACGATACCCCTGAACTGTCAGGAGATTGCCAGGGCTGATGCTTGACAATTCTTTTGTTTATCCCTTCGCACCGCCTTGTCCAATTGAGGGACTGTTCCTGACTTTACTTGGGAAAGAAGTCCACGATAGAGTTTCGATTGGTCGGGTTGTTGACACCAGCTATCCCGTCCACGTACTAATCAGTTTAGCGCATCATTGCGGGTTGTGTAGGTCATCAGTTGGAGGAAATGTTTGCCTCTTTATTAAGAAGTTATGGATATTTGCTTGGGTGTGTTGCTTATAACTTGCCGCTGGTTTCACACAGGTGGGTTGGGGAGCACAGGATTGAAACAGAGCCTCCCTTGCCTCACCAGATAGGAATGGCTAGCTCTAATCCCTTTTATCCACTGCAACTACCGGCACTACTTGTATGTAGTGTGCATGGCTTTAGTTTCATCTCCGCATCCAATCAAGTGCTATCTGAATCTCTGTCACCTTGTGTCCCGCAGGTCAATCCGTTTGTGCTAGCTGTCATTTTATCAGGATATTAAGACCCTGCAAAGATGCCCCTTGCATCTCTCTCCACCTTCTAGATTCGGGTTCATGCTTTTTAAAATACTATTAGACTACGGTTACTATTACTAGTACCAGCTATGTCATAGAGCTACAATAGGCAGAGCGAACAGGTAAAATTTACTTCTTAAACAAAAGGTATAGCCTGGACACAAAATTTTGTCGGCCTTGGTCGCTCAGTGGTCCCCACTCCCGCTTCAACTTTGCTTTCTCCCTGGCTTGGGTATGTGACGTAGACGGCGAGGAGTTGATCAAGTCCATTCAATTTTTCAGAGTGACTCTCGACCATGACGAGACGATGGCGACGACACATCGCCAATGCGATCTTTGGGCAGTATGCACTCCCATACCTGCCTACGGTAGCCAGATGGCCCAAAAATAGGGTCGAATGCCCTCTCCAATGCCAACCACGGCAGGCCGCTTTTCCTAGTTTGGCAAATGTTCAAAAGCTTGCACCCAAGCCCGCCCTTATCTGATTTTAATTCTAGATAACCAATGCTTCCCTGCCAACACCCTGCTAAATTGACTTGTCCCTTCAACCCTCCACTATTCATTTCCTGCCCTTACCCAGCTTTGGAATTGAAGCAATTTTCTGCTAAAGCCCCATTACACAGTCTGGGCTCGGGGGGTCTCCTGATACTTTACTGGTCACCTGACACTTCTACCTTGTTGAAATGCAAATGAAACTTGCTTGCATGTTACAGTGTACTCTTCTCTGTGCTACACTCTTCTCAACTTGGATTCCTGGAACCAGTCACTGCCCAGCTCTAGCTTGCTTCTGTATGCTGGCAAGCACAATGTGACTTCTCTGCCCCAACCCCATCACTGCGCCTCCAAGCAACCACTCTTGCTCTTCTTCGTAAAGTCACCCATCAACCCCTGGCTCTGGTCCATCTACCCAAGTATAGGTGCTTCTAATCCCTGCTGTCTCACTTTCCCTTCAGCCCCCTTCTACCTAGCAGAGCCCACCAGCCTATGCTCTGACTGGTGCTATGATCCGGGCAAAAGCAAACTTGACAAGTAGGGCTACCTAGACCAACAACACTAAAATCTATAACAGTGGTGGCTGGACAAGTTACCGAGTTAGTGCTGAATCGCTTCTGATGCCCTCATCATACAGCTTGTTGAGATCCTCTGAAGTTCTCAGCCTTCTTCTTTGCCTTAGCTAGACTTCAATAGTCGATACTGGTACACAAGATGAACATGCCAGATTCTATCAACTACTATAGAATACACAGCAATGATTTCAATTCATCAAGCCACTACTGCTGCTGTGCTGGATTAGGATTGACAATATCTCCCAGACTGCGATCAAACTCTTTAAAGTTGAGGTCATTTTCTTCTGTTACCCTTCGCTTGACAGTGTTGACAGTATCCTGTGGAAAGTAGGCTAGGAAATCATCAATAGTTTTTCTGGTGGCTTCTAGACCCTTCAGTACAACAGATTCCTTATCGGAAGACAGGCTGGAACTTCCAATCTATTTTGTTTCATTGGGACGAACAGGTTCTCTGTATGTTAGCAGTTCGTCATCCCCACAAATAAATAAATGATAGTACATAACAACACACACGCACCTTTAAATTCTGTACATCGGATGCATCAAAATATTCGAGAATGGTGTAGAGATCTTGTACGGCACTTTGTCCGACATTAACGGCAGCCACTCGTCGATCATTGCCATCGAGATAGGACGATGCTGCCACAAAGGAATCTCCCAACCTGTAATTTTCAATCATGAATTTGACGGCCAACTTGACATTGGCTCGTTGAACATCTCGAAACTTTCCCGATTTGATGAGACGGGATTCTTGTTGTGTGGCTTCTCGCACCCTCAAAATGTAATACAAGCTTTCTTCCAGAGGGACACGTCCCGCCGCGACGGCCGGGGTGGGGACAAAGAGGGAGGATGATAGTGCCGCTGTCAAGAAGAGGGATCTTCGCGAAAGTGAATGAATATCACCCTCTTGGTGGGGAGTACCACATGCTGATAGTCTACTAGTAGGAGTACCGGTGGCAGAGGCTACCCTCAGTTGCTCTGTGGTAGATACCCTCGGAATGGATGTAAATGCCTGGCAGTAGGTAGACCAGCTCACGGCAGATACCAGGAGGATTGCCAATGAGGAGACTCTAGATACTACTGCCGCTGCTCTCATGGTCAAGGATGGACAGTATCTTGTTGTGTTGTCTTCCAATGATTGTTGGTGTGGCTGTCTGGGCAGTGAGCAGAGCTGAATGGTGTCAATCACCAAAGATCTTTGTTTGAAATCTGACTCATCCTCGTGATTTGCTGAGTCACGAATCCTTGACTGACGCAAGTTGTTGACTTTCAAAATAAGACTAGTGGCCGGAGACAAGGCTGATGAGTCCAAGCCGACAGTGTGATGGCTTGATGAAGAACGAGGACTCAGCATCAACTGCACAGCTGAGCCATCTGGAATCGGTTCTCTATTCACTCGCTCCTTCTAGAGTCTGAAGACCAAGCTAGCAAGGATATCTTTCTTCTGTATACCCATACACATCACTAAAGATGAGGTTTTCTTCCGCATGCCTACTGCTGGGCTGGGCTAGTGTGATGCTCCCTGATGGATCTGCCTTTGTTCCCTCCCAACCAAGCAGATTCCAGCCACCAACTATCACTGCCACTGGTACCGGTACCGGTAGTCCCAGCTACCACCGGCATGGTCCCATCTTCATGTCTACGGCGGAAGAACAGCAAATATCCATCGACGACGTTTCGGAAGAATTACTGGGCCACAAACGCGACTTTGACGAAAAAATGGCCGAGGTCACGACATTGGCGGGGGCCGAAGCCTTGCGACGAGAATATCTCGGTAAAAAGGGGCCCATCAACAAGGTCATGGGGTACATGAGAGTCCTCAGCAATGAAGATAAACCCAAGTTGGGGGCCGTCGTCAACGAAGTCAAATCACAGGTCGAAGCCACCGTGGCAGAACGCATGCAGAAATTGGAATTTGCCGATATCGAAGAACAGATGAAACTGGAACGAATCGATGTCACCAAACCGGGTCTCATAAACTCGCAAGATATCGGAAGACGTCATCCACTCGGCATGACCCTGGAAAAGGCACTCGATATATTTACCAAACTAGGATACGATACCGTCACGGGATGCAAAGACTCGCCCGAAATTGAAACCGATTATTACTGCTTTGAAGCACTCAATTGTCCCAAAGATCATCCCGCTCGAGATATGCAAGATACCTTTTATCTGACCAAGGATCTCGAGTACATGTTGCGCACACACACATCCGCCGTGCAGATTCGACAACTCGAAAAACGCAAACCACCCCTACGCATTGTGGCACCGGGACGGGTCTACCGAAAAGACGACATTGATGCCACCCATTCGCTCATGTTTCATCAGGTCGAAATACTCGCACTCGAAAAGCGAGGAGAACTCGATTTGGGACATCTCAAAGGAACGGTAGAACACTTTTTGAAAGGCATGTTTGGACCCAACATTCAAGTACGATTCCGAGGATCCTTCTTCCCCTTTACCGAACCCAGTATGGAAGTCGACGTCTTTTTTCGAGGAAGATGGCTCGAAGTGCTGGGATGTGGCATGGTCGATCCACGAGTATTGGAAATGGCGGGCATTGACCCGGAAGTGTACAGCGGGTTTGCGGCGGGTTTTGGACTCGAACGATTTGCCATGGTGATGCATCAAATCACAGACTTGAGAGAATTCACAAAGAATGATGTGCGCTTTGTCAAACAATTCCCGCATTTCTACGATGATGGTACGTTCGTTGTGGTGGTGTTGTTTTGTCGTCTCTCTGTTGCCAAGTAAGTGGGCAGTGGGCTCAACCTTTTCATTGTTCCATTGTTGTCTATCTATATTTCTATCCACTGAAGGTCTCGAAGCGTTCTTGGAGGGCAAGGTGGACAATACGCCAGTAGTGGATCCTCGAGGTGAGACGGTCCCACAACCATTTGTCGACAGTTTGGAAGAGCTCAAAGAAAGAGGGGATGTAAATGAAGCGCCAGCGGCTGAAGAAACACCAAAAAGGAAGAAGAAAGCACCTGCACCAGCGGCAGAAATTGATGTTTCCAAATTGGATATTCGTGTAGGTATCATCCAAAAGGCATGGGAACACCCCGAAGCAGACAAACTGTTCTGCGAGGAGATTGATTTGGGTGAAGAAGGAGGACCACGTCAAATCGCATCTGGCCTCAAGGCTCATTACAACGTGGAAGATCTAGAAGGACGCAAAGTCCTCGTATTAGCCAATCTCAAAGCTCGAAAGCTTGTCGGGTTCCCCAGTCACGGAATGGTGTTGTGCGCTGTCAATGATGATGGAAAGGTTGTCTTTGTTGATCCTCCTGAAGGAGCCGAGGTGGGAGAGAGAGTCATGGTGGCAGGCTTTGATGGCGAACCTGCCACGGAGAATCAGGTCATCAAGAAGAAGATGCTCGATGCCATCTTTCCAGACTTAAAAACCAATGATGAGGGTGTTGCTACTTATCGTGGCACTCCCATCACTACCAGTGCCGGACCTTGTAAGTCAGAGCTGTCGAATGCCAGTATATCCTAATAATAATAAAAAGAGATTGTCAAACAGGCAGAAAGAGATTGTAGGAGATTGTCAATCACTCATACCGTACGGTAGCGGTGGCACTTGTGCTTGGTGTGGTCCGCCCCGCTACGGTATTAGCTAGCATGTACTAATAGAGCTCATCAGATCCAGAGATTCATTCCTCAATCGTACCAACAGCACTGTCCTCTAACTCTGCGGTATTATAAAGTACTACGTGTTGTACCAGGGTTACTCGGCATTTTGTCTGTTTAAATTTGGGAAAGTGTTTTGGCCATTAAGTGTAAATGTCTACACACAGTTAGTAGACATAAGTATACAAAGTAGACATTGTGCGACATTAGGAGACATTAGTAGACAAAGTGATACATTGGTAGACATTGGTAGACAAAGTGAGACATTGTGAGACATTGTGAGACATTGGTAGACAAAGTGAGACATTTTTGTACTGTTTTACTGTACTGTGTAGACAAAGTGAGACATTGGTAGACATTAGTAGACATTGTGCGACATTGTGAGACATTGTGAGACATTGGTAGACATTGTGAGACATTGTGAGACATCCGTAGACATTGTGAGACATAAGCCACTTTACAAAGGAGCATAGAACATTTAGGAAACTCTGTAATCAGATACAATAGCCTTAAATAGACAAAATGCCGAGTAACCCAGGTACCGTGCCACTTGCGATAAAGAATTTATTTTCAATCCCTGTCTCTCACGACTGAACGATACAATACACGCGAATAAAAAATTATTTGGAACTTTGGAACCAAATGTACCGGTGGTCCGACTGTACCGGTACTCCAGGAGTAATCGTCCCGGTCCTTGTTACGTGGACAGGACCTCTGTGGAAACTCGAGTCGTGCAACCGATCGTCTCCTAAATCCTTTTGATCGTCTCCTTTTTAAGGGATTTCGTCTCCTAAAAATAGGAGACGAAACGGATCGTCTCTTAAATCTTTCGTCTCCTCTTGAATCGTCTCCTATTTTCAAGGGATCGTCTCCTATTCTCAACGGATCGTCTCCTAAGTGTACCATGTAAACTGTATGGTATCGTCTCCTAAATCTTTAGGATCGTCTCCTATTTCGAAATTTTCGTCTCCTAATTGGAATGTCTCCTACTGAATCGTCTCCTAAATATAGGAGACGATTGCTTTCGTCTTTTAAATCCTTTCAATCGTCTCCTATGCCTCGGTGTATCGTCTCCTAAGTATTTTGCCACGAATGACGTTTCCACAGAGGTCCAGTACATGTCGTATTACCATGATACCTCCCATGTCCGTGCATGTCCAGTGTGCATCGACGAAGGTCTCAAGGATAAAGGATAACGCATGGGGCCCACATTTTTTGGTTGTCTTACGAAAAGCTTGCAGCAAGCCAAGCTTTGGAGCTCTCGAGGTAGATATCGGTACAGGTGTAAAGAAAGGTATAGACGACAGGCTAGCCAGGGAGAGTGTCAGCATGGCGTCGATTAATAGTGTCAGGACATTTGACCATGTGGCTTTCAAGGAGTGGAACACGCAAGATGGTCTGTTGATTCTGAACGATGAAGGCTTTATCTACCAGGCATCTGGAGAAGAAGATGACGAAGGCCTCAAGATGAGCAAGTCCTGGTCGCAGGTGGATTCTTCTCCCATGCTGAATCGAGGATCAGTGTCATCCGGCAAACACTTGCTAAAGATAACCATACAAGGCGATGCCTTTGTGTTTCAGATGCCCAGTAGGGAGTCTTCCGAGCGAGTCAAAGAAGAGATTAATGCTCGCAGAAGAGCGTTCAAGTATGGAGGTGCCAGCGAAACCATGGAAACCGATGACGATAGTGAAGGAACTACCAGATATGCCCCCGTGAGCTTTAGAGGGCACGATGGAGGGTGTCTAAAGTTGACGGATGAAGGTATTTCGTTCTCCAATTCTTCAAGCACTCGTGAAGTCAATTTGAAGTGGGCGTCGATCGTCATACCATCAATTCAGCTTCCCAGGAAAAAGCTCTTCTCCGCATTGTCGACTCCAGGCGATACACTTATATTTTCCAAATGACGGATAGGAAGGTCCTGCAACGAATCAGAAAAGATATTATAGATAGACGACAAGCTGCACGTCAAACACCCAAGGATGAAAACGACAAATGGCCGGTAGACAGTCGACGACAATACACTCAACTGAGGGCGACCAGTCCTGGAGCCAATAAACGCCACGGGCCCAATCGGATCAAATACGATGCCGTGAAACCAGGCTTTGGCTCGTTTCCACGCACCGTGGGGCCTGCTGCCGATTTGCGCGAGTTGGAGTACATCTCGTGCCTCCACCAGAACGCGGAACTGCTGTTACGATCGGATGGGACCATTTCTTGTACGTGACATTATACTTGAAAATTGAAAGGAATCAATCATCTATCTTACTGTATCATCGCTTACCATTCATTTGTTCCTGCCTGCCTCTCTGCCACAGCGGAAGATATCGCCCCATATCTGTCGTCGCGATACGGAGTGATTATCACTGACGAGCAAGCAATCGACATTGCATGCAACCTCTGTGGGGCAAAGACACGAAACGAGTTTTCTGCGGAAATGGACGCCCACAATGATGCCCTCCGACACCCGGAACAGAAGCAGGAGGAAGAGAAGGAAACGCAAGACGATGATTCAGCAGAATACGAGGAGGAGAAGTATTATTTTGACATTGTGCAATTGGCGTCGCTACTCGTAATTCCAGAGTTGGTTCAAATAGCAGAGCAGCACAAGAGGCAAGCCGGCTCGAACGTATTTGATACTAGTGAACCAGTAAGCTTCCGGTTTGACGATGTGGATGAACTGGCTCCAACCGCTCCTGCCGTAATCCAACTCGCTCGAGACTCCTTGTTGGAGATCTTTGATGAAGATCTGAAAAACGACCTCTGTCGAGGACGCCCGCTGGATGCAGAGTTGCTTTCAGTAATGCTCGAATCTTTTGGCGATGTCGACAGTGCGGAGAATCCATCGTTGATAGAGGAAATGTTGGAATGCCTTGACCCGGAGAGTCGGTCCTTGTCTGCTGAGAATCTGATGGTGGCACTTACCAATGATGTACGCTCACACTCAAAGCAGGCACAAGGAGGCGAGACGAAACCCAAGATGACATCAGTTTTCTTTGATTGCTTTGGCTGGAACTGGGATGATAGACAACAAAAGAAGGCTGCCCAGAAAGACGGAACCTTGAACTTGGATGAAACCGCAACTTTCATTGATTATGCAGCTGACACCTATCGCTCGCTGGTTCATAATACTGCAGTTTGGTGTCTTTTCATCTTGACGAGTAAGTCATGTGACAATGCAACTTGAATCAAGGATTGTATCGCAGGTTGAAACTTATATTATGCTTGGTTGGATCGCAGCATTGATCTACTTGAACTTCTTCCGAACTTTGGTTCAGTCCAACTGGAAAGATCCAGTGTGTGGTCCAGATAAGAATTATGGGTGCACGGTTGGAAACAAAATTGTTGAATGGATAATTAATGCCATATTCTGTGGCTGCTATGGTACCGAACATCATCACCGTTGAAATGCAAAAGCTCTGCCTCTGTTTGCCTCATCTCACCTCCTATTCTTCCATTGCTACCATTTATTCTTCTCGTCTTGCTCCTGCTCTGGCTTGTCATTCGCGTTATTGGTTACGAAAGGCGTGTTCTTTATTCTGCCTACAAGCATCGGAAACGTTACAGGTCAGAAGGCCTTGCTTTTTCTTACGCTCTTGGTAACAGCATCCTTCACATTTGCTCCATTCGCTACTTTGATATGGTACGAAAAGGGGATTCCATACAATGTGACATACGACTATGATTATCGAGTCATTTGTCCATTCGAGTGAGTGAAGGAGATTCATGTTATGTCCCCATGCGTTGCAGTACTCTGCCACTCTCACGCATCTTCCGGCAACTCTCAGCTTCAATCAAACGGAAGCGAAACTCTGGATGAATGATCCAACAACTGATCCAACACAAAATTACCTCGTTCTCGACTCTGCTTGCCATTCAGCCGTAGAATGGTGCGAGGAGCATCCAGAGGTTCAGGGCAAATACCTTGACGAATATCCATCGACGCTATCTTATGACGAATTCGAGAAGTGCTACACATTCTTCACCGAAAAGGCATACCCGGAATACGGTTTGTGGGTCACGACGGGCAACGAATGTGACCCAGATGATTTCTTCAACTCAACGTGTCCCGACTTTGGCGCCTGTGCTCGTCGTGATATGGCCGCCGACTCTCCATACATTTGCTGTCACAGTGGTACAAGTGCTTTCTACGATAAGCCAGACTTTACGTTCGATAGTGTCTGTGATATGCAACCACCTGGGTCGGCTTGCCAAGATGGCCTCATGTGCGAAAGCTACGTCTGCTCCGACACCGACAAAGTCTGCGTTTCTGCTCCACAGGATCCAAACAACAATACGAAGCAGCTTGGAGAGGCTTGCAACAGGTCCAATCTTGTCTGTCAGTCAGGCTTTTGCTGGAACGGTACCTGTCAGCCGCAACCGACAATTTGCCCTTTAGACGGCGTGGAAGTGCTGGGCGGCTTGCGTATTGATCCATTCTGTCGGACGCTGGACGATTGGTGCAATATCAACAACGTTGAGACTTTGCAATTGGGCCTGGGTCAGTGGGGGCTGGTCGACTTCACAAAGGACATATGCAGGGGAGTCCTTGACGTATTCATCGGGTTCGAACTTGTGCGAGAGTTGAATGAGTCAGAGGCTGAGCTAGGCTACACCTATGAAACGCTGCACCTAAATCCGGCTGAAGAGGTCCTCCTGGACGATTGGACATATTTTATTCTCATCTCTATCCCCATTGTTGGTTTCTTTGCTCTCATGGCAATTCTTCGTGGTCTCCTATTGAAAGACACAAACGCCCGTCCAAGAGATTACAAGATAAAGTGCGCCGCATCATCTAAGATTGGCAACTTGATCGAAAATGCTTTGAAGTGAGTAGATGAAAGAAAAAGCGAGAGGATAGTCTACTCTCAATAACCATTCTCACTCTTGCTCTACGTTTATGTTGCGTAGTATGCGATCAGTCTCAGCGGGCCGGGGACAAGTCATGGTAAGAGCCACGCCAAAGGCACAAGTAGAGGTGCCTTCTTGTGGTAATTCTCACGATTGTTCATTGCTGTTTTTAGAGAAACTACTTTCTCCACGGAGAGGAAGTCGTGGAAGTTGGCGGTCTATTCTATACTCTTGGGCTCTTGCGGTCTGGGAAGTTGGTCTCCTCTGAAGGAATAAGATTCTCCGGCAGAATTTTTGTGGGCCAAGTTGTGCAAATCATTGTTACAGTTATTGGCATTGCCTACGCTGTCGGCTGGGTGAAGTACGGAGCGCAAGTCGTAGGTTCGTGCAGGAAATTGTGTGTCACACCATATATCCAGATGAACGGCCATCTCACATGTCGCCTATTCCTGCTGCTCCCAGATGATATACGTCAAGATTTAGATCAAAACTACACTCCCGAGGAGGTAAAGAACATCTCCAATTATGAATGGGTGACCTATACACAGGACGACCTCAGAACCTCGGAACAAGAAGAAACACTCTTGGACTTATGGCCCGAGAGTTGGTAAGTCATTCAATAGCAAGCAGGGTGAACATGTTGACCTGAGTTCATTAGCTCTCAAAGTCCTCTGTTGTGGTCAGGATGGTCGAAGGTACGATTCGACGTCATTTTCGACTTCTCCGAGTGGACAAATTGTCTTCTCACCTCTCTCTCGTTTCAGTTGCTGGGTATCCCGCCGTCGCACTTGGAACCCTTGTAGCTTTGTTTTGTATCATTATCTATATACCTTCCTATACAAGCACAGTGATCAAACTCCGCAGTGGCATGATTCCCAGCCTCCACGACCCCAACTTTATGGCCTACAGGATAGCAGGCGATAACGTCGTCCAGAACATAGGCATGTCAACCATTGCTTGCCGCTACCCGTGGTATTTTGCGCTTTCCTCTCTCTCACATGGCGTTGCGTTCTGTTAGGCAACATGGTGTTCTCTTTGATGGGGGCTTCAGTATTCCTCGCGTTGCTCGTCTTCGGGTTGATTTTTGTATTCGCGTGGCCCCAAACCCGAGGAAGGGCGTTGGGCTTCCTAGCCATCGCGATTGGTATTGTGAGTAACTCTAAAGTGCTGGACGTGCCCGGTCGATTGCGCGAGGCTAACATAAGGTTTCCAAACGGGGCTCATCGCCTACTTTCAGATTTGCACGATTATTATCAAAGTGGTTGGACAGAAGCTTCTGAGAGCACGAAACTTCAGCACATTCTACCGAAAGCGTCCTCTGGCAGCCAACGCGGCCAATCTTTTTTTCGAATGTTGGTACATCGGCACTGGATTGCTGGTGGTGGTATCACGACGTAAGTTCACGGCATCGCAGCGACTAGCTAGTGCTTTGCGAAATGCCTCAAACGATAGTTTGTTGTTGCAGTCGTAATTTTTCTCGTGACCGCAGCACTCTACTTGGGTAGGATCGACACAGCATTTTTTCATCCTGACGTCAAAGTCGTTGGGAAGAACCTCGACAAGATTCCAGAGGGCTTCCGGCGAGATTTGCTGGTCCATGAAGCCCACTTACACCCTGTAAGTTCAATAATGCTGTTTTCTGAACTGAACGGCGGTTGTATCGATAGCTCACTAAGCCACGAACTTATCACTCGCACACAGTACATTGAGCGATTGGGGAGCATGTACTTGCACCGTATTCGCGACGGTGACAAGTTCGGAAGCAAAGCCGGTACTGCTTGGAGATGTCTGTTTATCAGGTAAGTCAGGAAGAAAGCGTAACACATTCCCACATGCAGCATCTCTGCTCTTCTAAGAATCACTTCCGCCCAGTGCCTTGATCCCTTGGATTGTGCGCCACCGAGTCAACACGAACGATGTGATGTCCGGTCTGAGCGAGAAACTATAACTCTGCAACCAATTAGAGTGCTGTGCTTGCTTCAATGAAGTATGGTGCTCTTCAACGGGGCCCGATGTTGCCACATCCATCACACAGAGCGACAGCCATTGAGGTGCTCCAGCCTGCGTCCCTGGCGTCTTGTCGGTGAGAGTGCAATCATTGGGTCTAAACAGAAAAATGAAACTTGGGGCAAGGCTGTGTTGGATTGGGGTATCCTACAAACCCAGGGTCCTCCCGGTCCCGGTATATTGGGAGCACGATGTTAATAGCACAGGGTCTTGACATTCTACAAAAGGTAACGATGTGAGGACGGATATCTAGATGTTTCATGTCTTAGCTTTCTATATAGATGACACGTTGCACTACATGTAATACAGTACTTGAGAAAAGGACTGCACCTCTGGGTACCATTGCTAGGGATAGCCTATGGCAATCCAAGCAACTCCTATTAGCTACGATCATAGTCATCATCATCGTTTTCCTCCATGATTGCCATGGGTTCATATCCAATCTCTGCCTCCACCGTCCAGTTCAAGTGATCGGTCACATAGTAGACGAAATCTTTGCTAATGTTGCGTTGTCGCCGAAACTGAGGAGGGTATGCCTTGCAGCGAGGCTCCACGCCGGTCCACTCGGTGATGCGATCCAACAAATCCTGTGTACCCGTGCTCAGAAGGAACTCATACTGTACCATCCAAAGATCCGCCACGCCAGGAAAGTCTTTGATTTCCATAATGTTACGAATCTTGTCGCTGCGGAGTTCCATAATGTTCTTGTAGGGTTTGCCACTTCCATCATTGCGCATTTCATAAAAGGGTTTGTCGAGCGAATGTCGATTGTCGACGGGGACATGGGGTTCAGGTTTGTGGACACAGGAAATGATATCCTTGTATTTAAAATGATGTTGGCACAACTCATCCCCCTTGAGTTCCAGATCCAAGCCAGTGCGATTCGTGGTCCACTTTTTCTTTAGAAAGGTTTTCCAACCGACGTTGGCATGAGCGGGAGCATGATGAGGCACCTCATGCATTGCCATGAGCCAGTCATAGGGGTTGCGGAACTCGGCAATCACCAGGGTATCATGGGGGTATCGCCAGTAATCACGTGGTTGGAACCAATGCTTATAGCGTGAAAACTTCTTTTCCACAGGAATGGAGTGGTTGAAACAATCTGCCAAGTGGCTATATGCAAAGAGAGAATCAACCAACACAGACACATTCCAGCCAGAGTATGATCAGAAAGACAGATAAGAGAAGCAAGAGAGCATTAGACACAATGCCGGCCTTAGATAATCATCATGAATTGAGCTGTCTGGACAGAGAAGTAACTTACGCCCACATCCATTTGGTTCCCGAGTTTCGCTCTCCAATCAAGGATATTTGTCGAATGACACCGGTGTGGTTGACTTTGGGGTTGACTTGGAAGGCCTTGTTAACAGTCTCGCCTTCGGCATTCATCATGAGAAACTGGTAGGAAATCTGATCCCACGCCAAAAAGACACAAAAGAACATGGACAATGACAACATCCAAACCAACCGATGCCCACGCAAGGATAGAGGACTTTTTGGTGGTCGTCGAATCATGAGGGGGCTTTCGCTTCTGCGGCGGGGTGCTTTGGTGGGGGTTGTCATGGTCTACTACAAGCTAGCTTTCTAATAATAGATAGTTCAATTTCAAACAATAAGAAGATTATGTGGATAGCTTTGAAAATCAGTGCCAACAATAAGATTCAAAACAGAGGTTTGTCTGTGGGAGGTTCGGAAGAAGTGAGTTTGGAAAGAAAACATTTTTCTTTGCGCGCCTTTTTAAACTAAGAGCCCTCCCGCGAGGCCGGCCCGCGCAACAAAGCAGTTCATCGTGAACGCTCCCACCACGATGGAAGCCGTGCGTTCCGACCCGATGCGGACGAGCCTCCGCACTCGGCGCCGGTATTCATTCCTGCCGTTCCGTATCTTGAAGGTCCTTCCCCTCATAATACCCACCCAGGCTGCGGGACGCTATCACGATAGATCCTTCGCACACACCCAAGAACTAGTGTTTACAAGGCTACTAGGGAAGTTACCCACCGAAGCCAACAAGCGTATGCATGATGCAACTTCTCCCAGGTTTGGTTGGTTGTGGCATCTCTTCCGCCTCTACACTGTAGCTAAGATCTACCTTGTCCTCCAAGGGACTCACAATGGCCGTGGTAGGATTCGCATCAGGAACATCAATGGCGGATATGTTTGCGGCAAGCAAGACCTCAGCTTTGGCCAGCTGGGATTTGCTTTGTTCAAGTTGGCACTCCAGCTCTTTGATTCGATAGGTGTATTGGTTCTGCACTGACATCAAATGTACAAGTTGGCGCTCCAGCTCTTTGATTATATTGGTGTATCCGTTCTGCACGGATTCTTCCTGCTTGTCGTCGTTCGTGTTTTGGCAATGCTGTCGTCATTTGAAGATTTGAAGCATGCTGCTCTTGGTTACTAGCGGACTTTTTGATGGCTCCGGTGGGACTGGCTCGTTTCTTTTGCTTCTTCGCAGGAGAGAATTCACCTGGCTGGCTACTCGACTGGTCAGTCGATTGTGCCCCTCCCCGTTTTCGTTTCTCTTTTTCTTGCTGTCTTCGTTTCCGTGAATATTCCAGTTTTTGTCCTGCATTTTTCGACGACATGCTTATTGTCAAGGACGGACGTACTCGGAGAAAGCGCTCGTGGTAGTATGAGCCTTCGTATGGACCTGCATCATTGCAATGCGCGTAACACAGGGATGAACAGAGCTGGTGAGGGAAGCAATAACCAACACAACAAAGGTGGAGGGAATTTGGCATAACCTTTACCAGTACCGGTAGGGATCTTCTTGAAGGAATATTGGTTGAGGTACTAGTAGTTGAAAAAGGATTCCAACCTGATGAACTTTCCCACTTGGGGTACGGCTTGGCACTGTGTTTGGAACCAGACTTCTCGTTGCCTTGAAGGGTGAAGGGTGGGGTCCAAAGGGCCGAAATAGGGCCACGAGTTTTGATGATGTTCTGAGACGTGCGAATGCGAAGCTACCAGCCAACAAAGCCGTCATGCATCGGGACTGCTCCTTTCAAAATCTCAACTCCTTCCAAACACCTTAATTTTTAAACTTATTGTCACCATGACAATTTTTTAAAAGGAGGTCGACAATACTTGTCTTTGTTATTATACTACAATAGGTGCAGAGGCAACAACAGTGTTAGCTCTGACTGGTCGGCTTCTGCTAGCTAGTAAATGACGGCAGACCTTCTGGAAACACCGGCTCTGCTGGGCGAATTTTAAAAGAAGGATCCATACTCTATTCTTCGCAATGAGGAAGGATAAGGGATTCCCTTCAGCAAGCTTTTTACTGGGCTTGGTGTCATCCTTCAAGAGGAAACCAAGAACATCAGATGGAGAAGAAGATCATCCGTGGTGGTGGGGTATCCTAGTAAGGGATCTGTTGGAAACGGCTATTTCATGGGTGGTGGCACTTGCTTTGGCTTGCTACCTTGGCATTCTATACCTCGCTGGAACCTCTCCCGCAACAAAGGCAATTTGGCGGTGTCCATTGGTAACCACCAATCGAAACAATGAGGAAACTCCAGGGGCACTCGATCAATTTCAGAATATCCTCAAGGAGGCAAGACACAAAAAGGAAAAATCAGAAAATGTGTTGACGGACAAGGAACTGCTACAAGTCATGTGCTCCAGCACAGAAGCACGGAGATGGGCATCCATAGCCATGCAACAGTACGAACACAAGGACAGCAAAGATTCCCTTTTGATGGCCCAGCTCAAACGAATATGGCCCCAACTACTGGAGCTACCAGCACCACCACAAAACAATTCAAAATCAAAGCATCCCTTTGAGATTAGTGTGGTCGTGCCGGCCTTTGGGGAAGATGGAAGTCGCATTCAAACCAATTTGCAACGGGCCCTCGATGCGAGCCAAAATCCCCAACGATTGCAACTGGTGCTGGTCGATGCGGGACGGAACACCCACATGGAACAAGCAACTGTCTTTGCTGGTGGAAAGCAGCAATGGGCTAATGTCAAGATCGCCACGTATTCGGGAGGAGGAGGACGAGGAGCCACGCTCAACCATGGGGCCCAACATGCGGATGGAAGAATACTGACATTTCTACATTCCGACAATTTGCTGCCCGAGAAGTGGGATGATCAAATCCTCTCCGTCTTGGGTTCTGACGAAACAACAACTACTCGTGTCATTGCCTGTGCCTTTTCGTTTCGCATCCATACCACAAACACAGCTTGTCCGCCAGGAATGGCAGCAGCACAATGGTTGGGGACCATACGAACCAAAGTATTTCATGCCATCTATGGCGATTCCGTGATATCCATGCCAACAACCTACTTTTCGTACCTTGGAGGATATCCACCACAAGCACCGCTTATGGAAGACTATGAACTCATGGATCTGATTCGCAAACGTGTCGCCGCTCGGAAGGACGAAAGCTTGTGCATTTTGCCATCCGAAACACTCGTCTCGCCACGGCGGTGGCAAGTGAACGGGGTCCCCTACGTCATTCTGTTCAATTTTCTCTGTGTATTTCTGTATGAACACAGAGGGTGGTCGTCACAGAAGCTGTTTGAGTTCTACTATAGTGGAAGATAGCTAATAGCTAGCTAGTACAAGTAGGCTCATGGAAGCTAAAAAGCCAAAAAGGATCTGTGAAATCCATTTGATCCGGGCAGAGCCAATCAGTCCTAACAGAACAGAACAGCATTACAGCAACGCTTGGCAAGTGAACCACGGCAATCGATTTATAGTTGCAGTATCTATTGATGCGCTGCATCGTGTTCTAGCTACTGGAAGGAGAGATACAAGGACTAGCCCATGCATGCATTCCGGTCAAGGGGTTATTGTAGTTGGATAGTTGGAAAGTGTTCCGACGAGATCTTCACCTTGCCATGCTCCTCCTTGTTTGAGAGATATCATGCTAAGGCCTAGCTATAAGAAGTCAAGAGTAGCAGCAACCAACACTACAAGTCATCCGAATCGCTACTAGCTAGCTATTTGGTTCCATAATCTGTGCCGTTGGATACATTGTCGCTTCTACAGACACAAGGAAACTAGACTGCCATCTTCATCTTGATGGTCTTGTGCGGATTGTATCCAATGACTTCAAAATCCCCAAAGAGAAAGTCATCAATGTTCTTTTTCTCCGGGTTGATTTTGAGTTTGGGGAATGCCCGTGGCTCTCGAGTGAGTTGTTCCTTCAAAGCGTCGACGTGATTCAAGTAAATGTGGGCATCTCCAATCGTATGAATAAAGTCTCCAGGTTTGCGTCCGGTAACGTGTGCCACCATGTGGGTCAAGAGCGCATAGGAAGCAATGTTAAAGGGCACACCCAGCCCCATGTCGGCACTTCGTTGATACATTTGACAGGATAGTTCGTTGGTTGTCGTGTCCACATAGAATTGACAAAACATGTGACAGGGCGGGAGTGCCATTTCCTGCAAATCGGCCGGATTCCACGCGGACATGATGATTCTTCGGTCTTCGGGGTTGTGAATGATTTTGTGGATGCAGTCGGCCAATTGATCGACTCCCTGTCCCGTGTAGTCGGTGTGCATGTTCTCGTATTTGGCACCAAAATGACGCCATTGAAATCCGTAGACGGGCCCAAGATCCCCCACTTCTCGTTCGGTCAATCCTCGTTGATCAAGGAATTCACGTGAACCGTTGCCATCCCAAATGTGAATGTCCTTGGCGGCCAATTCGTTGGCATTGGTGTTGCCCTAGTACACGTATAAAGGAACCAAATAATTTTGCAACGGGTAAGCACGGCATTTGTCTGCAACCACTATTAACCAACTTTCTTCAGCAGCGATTCGATTCCTTACCGACACAAACCAGAGCAACTCTTCGGCGACTCCTCTCCAAAAGGTTCGTTTGGTGGTCAAAAGTGGCAAGGTCCCATCTCGCAGGGAAAAACGCATTTGGGTTCCAAACTTGGACAAGGTTCCCGTCCCGGTCCGATCGCCTCGTTTGACACCAGTTTCCAAAATTTCCCGACACAAGTCGAGATATTGCATTTCTTCTGTATTTTTGACCACCTCGGTGGAAGATTGTGGCTTGTCATTCATTCTTTCTGTGGACGGTTTCTTCTTGCGGGTAAACTCGACAAACTCATAGGACAACCCCGAGGCGGAATCGGTCTGTCGCCTGGCATTTTCCTTGTCAAAGGGCGCACACTCCCACTCGGTGTCCTTCAAGTCGGGAAAGAAAGCGTCAAACTTTTGTGTTTCGGGCACATTGTAGACATGAGTGCAAATGACACGTGTCACCCATCCCAATGACAAGGCTTGTTCGTAGATCTGAGTTCCACCAATGACAAAGACTTGTCCCACGTGGCTCATAGCATCGAGTTGATCACAGGCATCTTGCAAAGACGATGCCACCACGACCCCTTCCGGCATTGTTTGGGATGGCTGTTGTGATTTGGTGAGTACCACGTTGATGCGTCCCTTCAAGGGTCGAAATTTGGGGGGGATGCTCTCCCAGGTTTTGCGGCCCATGAGGACCGCATTTTGACAGTCGGGAGTGTTATTATCCATGGTGACCTTTTGAAAGTGGCGCATATCACCAGGGAGTTTCCAGGGCTGTTGAATAATAAGTGATTCGAAATAATGATGAGATTGGTGAATGGTCAAGGTACCCGTATGCTACCCAAAAAAATATTGAATGCTTACCAATTCCCCTTTGTATCCAATTCCTCTGGATTGAGCAGCCACAGCCACAATGGCTGCCATTTCTTTTACCATGGCGACCCTTATCTTTGAAAATTGTTTGATGGATCTATTGATCAGATAGACTACAACTACTAGCTAGCAGTAGAAGGACGCGGCTAAAATATGACAAGCAGGAGGGGATGTGATGCATTGCTCTGTGGGCTGCCATACCGGTAGACGACGCGGCATTTTTTCCATTCTTGCCGCCAAGCGCCAGGCGGAGTGAGACACTAGTCAATTCATGATTGGATCTTTCGCCCTCCAATGACGTCAGTTGATCTTTGACACTTTTTGCTCCTCATTCGCAACTTTCGTCGTCCGCCACCCCTCATCGTTTGCGACCAACTGCATGTCGCGAAGGATAGACACAATTTTCTTCTTTTCCATGGCCATCAACTATTGATTTATTGAATAGTGCCAATGTCACCATGTCCTTCCGACTTTACCATACCGTTGCCACGACGGCTCTTCTATTAGTTTGTCTAGTAGTCCTAATGCTACCCATCCAACCATGCAAAGCTTTTTCCTCCCATCACTACTTTCATCATCCCAACCTGCATCAGCCTCAAGCATTCAGTCGGATTACTCCCGTCCTTTCCATGGGGTACACTTCCCCGGAATCAGAGCCCTCCCCTGCCACCAAAACCAAAAAGGCGGTGCTGCCCAAAGTTGGAGATATGGTCCGATATTTCGATATTGACGGAGGCCAAGACGACGGACAAGTCCTCGTCGGCAAAATCTCCTTTATCACCACTGATCTCGGCAAGGACCAGAGTTGGACTGTCGAATTGACCGAACTAGAAGACATTGGAGATGGGTACTATGCCGAATATCCATCAAGGAAACGATTGTCCAAGAAAACCACACGCAACTTGGCCAATGTCGGTCCCATCATGGCCAGTTTTGTCCGAGCGGAAAATGCCTTTAAAGTGCCACTGAACCAGCAGGGACGCCCCCAAGTACGTCAAGAACAATACGATCTCGACGAATACCAAGGACCCTTTGGCGCCAATGGAGAAGACATTAATCAAGATGTCCTGGCAGCCGATGAAGAAATCTATTCGGCGCTAAAGGGAACACTACTTCGCAATGCCGCCATTGCCGGGGCCATTGGAACCCTCATTACCGATCTACTCAAAGGAACCGAAGATGCCGTCATCTATGCCGCGGGGGCTATAGCGAGTGTCGCCTATCTATTCTTCCTCTCCGTCAAAACCGATACCCTCGGAAGTCAAGATGCCAAACTCGGAAAGGGAGTCTCCAATCTACGATTCTTAATGCCCGTATTGGTCATTGTCGGAGTGGCAGTTTACAATCTTTTACGAGGAGATGCCAATCCCGTAGCCGGCAGTGACAATCCCTTTGATCGCATCACCAAGGAACAATATGCCGCGGCGGTACTCGGATTTCTCACCTACCGAATTCCACTCTTTTTGACACAATTGTTGGAAGGACTCAAGGATGGTAGCGACGACAACAACAACGATGTTACATTGCCAGGAAGTGCCGGAGTGGCAATGCAACTCGCAGCAGCCGCCCAAAGCGAATCATCATCATCGTCGGAAATCTTGACGGGAGAATCCTTGATACCCGTCTTGGTCGTGTCGGGGCCGCAGGCGACGGGGCGGTCCGAACTGGTAGATCAACTACTACGGGAAGACGGTCGCTTTGTTCGCCCCAACCCAATTGATCGCGTCGCCGATGGAGTCACATTTGAACGACTGCAGAGTCGCGGCGAAATATTGGATTTGGATAGTTCGGGACGGTATGGAATCACCAAGGAAGGAATTCTCACTGCTGCTGCTGCCGCCGCTCAAGACGAAGCGGTAGTGGTGGTGGATGCCAACGTCGAGTTGACCAAGAAACTTACCAAAATGTCCGGCGCCCGATTGATTGGTGTCTGGATAGGATTGAACAGTGTGGCCGAGTTTGAATCTCGCATTGCGGCCATGATTGACAAGGGAGAAATCGCCATTCCCGAAGAGGAAACCAAGGAGAGTGTCATTCGAGCGAGGATTCGGGAAATTGTACAGGAAATTGAATTTGGAATCTCCAGTGGCATCTTTGAGTTTACTATCCTGAATGAAAACACAGTGGACAGTCTCAAGCAACTCCGAGAGGCAGCAGGCTATTCATTCAAATAGTAATGCCTAAACATTCTACTAGCAGCTATAAACTACATGCGCCATACATGTAAAAATATCTGCTCTGGGTGAAGTAGTGCTGGGACTAGCTAGTAGGTTAGCATCTTGACTGGCAAGCCATTGGCAAAAGTAGTTCGAAGTGCACTCTCCGTGGCTCGATTCGTTCTGAATTCATCCCATTCGGAGTCATTGAGCAGGCACTGGTCCAGGCCGGAACAAATCGCAGTTTGTTGCTGATCTGTTTGAAGTCCCGCTCCAATAAACACTACTTCTTGTCGACGATCTCCCACTGAATCACATCCGGTGTCCTGGTCATCGTGATTGGGATCGTCGAAATCAGCTAGAATTGTACTCTTTGCATCAGGAGGCCACTTTGAAAGACAAACAAGTAAGTTAGGACAAGCGTGTCTCGAACCATGAATGAATGAGAGATCCAACCTAAAAATATCAGAACGATTCTTACATACCTCTGCCCTCGAGAGTGTCGACCACCATCGGCCCAGACATTGCAATTCAAATGAGCTTCCGGCGTGGGACCAATACATTGCTGCCACATTTGAGTCTGCCAGCCAGACGAATCCCTTCGAGCGAACCACTCTTTGTAAAGCCTGTTTGGCGTCCTCAGATAGCATCAGCTCGGGGTCCTCGTCCACTTTCTCTGCTAGGCCTCTCGAGATTGGTAAGTGCCGTAAGAATGCTACAAGTCTCTGAGGATGAAAGGGTTTTCGGGCACGGTAGACAAAGGAGCCGATCCCAAGCTGGCTGAGGGTTGTAGATTGTTCATGGTTATGGCTGTGACTGTGACTTGTGTCCGTGCAATCTGGATCAGTGCATTCTTGATGATCGTGGCTGTGGGAGTGTGTGTGGCTGTTGTGACTGGTATCTGTACCATCTGGTTCGTCGCCATGCTTTTGACTATGCGAGTGTTCATGTGATGATTGGTGCGAGTGATCATCTTTGTGTCTGTGCGAGTGTTCATGTGATGATTGGTGCGAGTGATCATTTGCTCTAGTGGGGACATTCTGCTCTGCCACCTGCACAGCATCACGATGGTCGTCCACAACACCAGCCTCCACAACCCCTTTCCCTCCTGCAACTGCAAGGACACTTGGAAGCGAAATCTTTCCGTACAACGTCCTATCAATCCGCGCCTTTGGGTTCAATGCCAATACTATTTGGTTGATAGTTTCCATATCATCGGGATTCTCCACAAGGTCTCCTTTGTTCAAGAGCAAGACATCTGCAATCTCTGACTGGGACACCAACAAGTCAGCAACGGCATTGGATGCTGCTTGGCTTTGTAGATTGTTGCTGCTACCAGCCATCAAGACTTCCTGGAGTGCGGGCGGCAAATCATCCATCCAATCTGGATTTTCCGGAGGGGTTTCTCCATCGGTGTAGAACAGCTCGGGAGCCTCGTCGACGTTTGCTGCCTGCAAGCCAATGTCGGACTAGGTGAGTATATACGCACGGCCATACGGATCCGGAGGACATCGCTTCCGCCTACCTTGGAACTTTGCAAGTGTTTCAGAAAGACGCTGCAGTCAACCAATGTCACCATTGTATCCAGTTTGACTCTTTCCATGATTGGCATGTTGTAGAACATGGCCTCTTGAAACTGCGACCTCACTCCTTTTGGATCCGCAACCCCACTCAACTCTACAACAATATGGTCAAATGCGTCTGATTCTCCTCTCATGTCACTAAGAGTTACCAACTCTGCCACGCTTTTGAAAAGAAAAGAGTGAGTAATCCTGAACAACCTTCTCAGGCAGAACGATTCAATGATGCAACTAACCTTCCCAGAAGTTCATCAGCCAAGGAACAGCAAGCTGTAGTAAAGATGAAATTAGGGACGACTTTGTGGATATTGATCCACAACAGAAGGCAAATCTGATCTCTATGGTACGATAAACTTACCACAGCCATTTTGGAGTTGCACCATGCCATCGGCATTACTAGTGCCAGAGACAAGTTTGCTATCAATGTTGACCGATGCCACGTCATTCACAATCACTGCTATCCTGATACCTTCCCTGTTTTCCAGCATGTGCTGCAGGAGACTAGTTTTCCCTGGTAAGACAGAAGCAAGGAAAGAAAGAAGCCGCAATTGGAATGGAATCAGTGTCGGAGTAATTTGTTCAGTTCATCTCGGCGCACTGACAAATCCACGCGAACAGCATGGCTGCACCTACCGCTTCCCAAAAATCCAGAAATCACAGTGATGGGTATCCTTTTGGGCTGCAGTGATGGCGTTGGCGTTGAAAACGCTCCGCACAACTTCACGAACCAAAGAAAAAGAATCACATAGGGCTTCATCTTATCAAAGCATTTGTCTATACTTGTCTGATCAGGTTGGTCTTGTCCTCTATCGTAGCTCTGTGAAACTCCTGCCTCAATTGTGAAGACTCGTCACTCCTTGCAATTTGCTTCTTGCTTCTTGCTTTGGATTGAAGGACGACACGTGCTTTTGACGAATGGCCGAAGGTTGGATACAAATTTAAGCCTTAACCCTTATGACACGTACCGTACACCAACCTTGGTACCAGGTACCTCAGGTGCGTCTCCGTTGACCCGCCTCCAAAGCTCGGATCTTGTCTGTCTGTGTGCCATGGCTGAGGAGCAATCCAAATGTTTGTGCTGCTGATGCATCTGGATGCACGATTTTCTATTGCGGAGACACCATGTTTGCTGTGAGCAATTAAAAGAGCAATGGATTGGGGCGCGTGAAATTGTTAATGGCAAGTCTTCTGTTGCAGCCGCGTTGACGCGTTGATGTCAATGCTTCTCTCTCTGTCAAGCAGAAACATGGTTCCTCTGGAAGCAAGTATTGATCAACCATTAGTTTAGTTTGCTATCTCCCCACCTTTGATGGGGTGTCCATAAGGAAGTCATTGATAGTGTCAGCATAGAAGTCAGGTATGATGGTGTTCTCTGGGCTTAACAGCCTCTCTTCAGTAGTGACACCACTCAGCACCAAAACACTCTTCAATCCATTGTTGGTGCCAAACAAAATATCAGTATCCAACCTATCGCCGACCATACAGATACGTTCTTTATTCAGATCCAACTTCTCAGTGAGATAGTCAATGATCAATGGACTGGGCTTGCCCACTATGGTGGGTTCTTGTCCAGTGCATCCCTTGATGGCTCCAACCATGCTTCCGGCTCCAGCCCATTCTTGAGCATCTGTAAAGTGTCCCACAGCATCCGAGTTGGTGGCAATGAACTCAGCACCATTTTCATTAATGCACAACTGTGCATATTGGATTTTGTAGTAGTTGATGTTGCGGTCTAATCCAACAATGACACCACCAACATCTTTGTCCACAATCAATTTGCCACCCCGGCCCATTTCCGGTATTTTGTCGGAATCGGAAGGACCTCCAATGTGAGGGACACCAATCACATCTAATTCTTCACAGATACCCACTTCACCAATGACATAGATTTTCTTCCCTCTCTCCTTGAATCTTGTTTTTTCCAAGTAGGCAGCGGCGGCAAAGGAACTGGGAAAGATTTCTTCAGCAGCAACATCCAAACCCAGGGCCTCAAACTTTTTCTTGTTTCCTGCCCGTGATTTGGTCGCATTGTTGGTCACAAAGAATACCTTCTTTCCCAATTTGCGAAGCGTGTTCAGCGTTTTGGGTATGCCATCAATCAAGGAATCTCCCCTCCAAATCACACCTGCACCCAAGTGGTATGTATTCGTGGTGGAGGTTCAAGAATCAAAAAAAGAATGTGAGGCAACCAGAAACAAAAAATGACACAAGAATGGATCGATTTTTTCAATTCAGTTTCTCGTACCGTCACAGTCAAAAAGAAAAACATCCACTTGATCCAACAGCTCACTCTGAGGCTCTGACAGTTTGCGGGTACTGGCCTTGTTTTTCTGGGTAGCATAAGTTCTTATTATTGGGTGGGCACCGGGATTGTTTGTGGTAGCAGCAGCAGCAACATGAGACACAGAGGCAAACAGCCTGGATGAAGATCCGAATGGCTTGGATCGAGAGGCAAAGCCGAAAGCCAACCACATGGTCAAGGAGCATGCCGCACTCAATTGTGACGGAGACTTGCCATGGTCATGGTCGAACGCAGATAGAACGCAGGCAACAGCTCGAACTTCGAGCTTCGACGCAACAAAAATGAGACGCTCGTGAATGCACTCAGTCATTAATTCAAACACAATGTCGCAATGCAACGCGGGGAGTGCAGTCGGGGATTCATTCGAAAAAGCCCTAAACTGTAGGATACCCCACGACAACATGCTCTCGAGATGCTGCCACCTGCATGGTGCCACACTGCCACTATCAGTATCGGTAGCACTGCCAGTTGCCAGTGCAGTGCAGTGGAGATGTCACGTTTGGCTAGCAACAGCAATCACATCTTTTGCTTGGAAGCGCATACAATAAGGTACTAGTAACAATAACCGACACCAAGTCGTGATAATGGCTGCCAGTACCTCAGCTACTGCTGCTGACAAGGAAGACAAGCACCTGATGATTGTGACAGAACCCGATGATAATGATGTTTTGTTGGGGCAGGGCCACTACCGGCATCCAGGAAACCAACGCCTGAACAGTATTGTAGATTCCAAGGTATCGGAATACCGGACACAGAGCCGTCCCTTCAAAACGTACATGGCCCACGAGATTATTTCCTCTCTCCGAAACAAGGGCGCCAGGTTCCTGAAGGAGTTGGCTCCCAAGGGTTGGATCATTGTAAGAGATGACAAGGAAGCACGAGAAAAGGTTGCACAGAGGTTCCAGTACATGATGAGGAAACAGGCAGACAACCAATTCGTGGCAAAAGACGCCACGAAAGGAACCAAGAGCAAGGCAAAGGCTGCCAAGGCAGGTGGGACACCAATAGCGCCTACACCAGAGGCGAAACCATCATCCACCACAACCACGGCTCCAGTAGCACCGGTACCATCCACACATTCGACTTTGGCCTGGAATGGAGGCACTGTGAAAATCCCCTTTCTTCCTGTATTTCACCAGCTGCAAAAGTCTAGTGTGATGGTGGATGACAATGTGAATGAAGTATTCATTAGACTGCAAGATTGCTTTAGAATCATTGGGGTTCAAGAAAGCTTCAACCATGAACAAGCCAATGCCCTCTTGACGGGACCAGAGAATCAACTGAAGATACAGATGAATCTTTGGAAGCCTCTGGGTGGGAACTGTGGGGTCATTGTGGAACTGGTCAACACAGAGAGCGACCATCAACTATTTCACAAGTACAGCAGGTACATTCTGGAGGCTGCAACTGGTCTGTTCCAAAAGTACAGCCACACTCTGTTCCAAGCTAGAGGACTGGCTACATCATCTGTCCAAGAACACGTGAGCGCCTTTGCTTCCGCTTGGAGCACAGCAGACGGCAACCATAACAACAACAATCAACACAAGAAGACCCACCCAACACCAAAGGTCGCCTCTGAAGAGGGCAAAGAGGCACAGGCTGTGGTCAAACCGGGGATGGTAAGGGATCTGAGCGACCGAAGCTTACAGTCAAAGAAAGAAAAGACCAAGACAGCGACGCCGGGGTCGCCCGCTGGCAAGCAAAAGAACAAAGTAAAGCTACCAGCCAAGACAGCGAAGCGTCAGGAACAAGTCAAAATTCCTCCCCTGGCGCCCTCAGCAAAGAAGGAGGCTAACACCGATGCCAGAGCCGAGATTGACTCGACGGCACCGTGCTTTGCTTCGGCATTCACTCGGTGGGAAACAGGAGTAGCGGCTCCAAACGACACGGCAGAAGTACCTCCCGTGGCACGGCGCAGAAGACCATCGACAACAAAGGTCGTTGCGGCTACTGCTGGCACACTGGCTGACGACAATCCTTGGGAACCATTCCCAATCGACACGGCAATCTCACTATCAGGGGCCGAGCTACCAAAGGTCGAGCAGCCAGGGGAAGGTTCCGTGGTGTCCATGGCGCCAGCGAAACGCAGTCGCGGCACACCTAACGTCCAAGTCGCCACCGAAGCTGCGGGTCCTCCATCGCCAAAGAAAGCCAATTGCGGCTTCGAAACTAAAAGCAACACAACTGACTTTCCTACCAGCTCCAGCGAGGCAACACTGCCCGCTCAGCAACCGGTCGAACGATTGCCCACAGCCGATCCGTATCCTTTGGTTGGCTGGGCACGAGCTGCATCGTCAAACCAGGAGGAAATGAAGTGTGATAGCAGCGTGGAGGAAAGGTTGGACGCCGAAATGATGTCCTTGTATCACGCGACGGAGTCTATCAAGCGGCTATCACTGTCGAGCAACGATGGCAGTTGTAACGAGCCGCGCACGGTGCGAGATATCAACGAGGCATTCCCAGTTGGGCTGTTGCCGATTGGTTTATCTCACCAGGAGATGAAGTGCGACAGTAGCTTGGATGACTTGCCACGCGATGATGAAGATTACTTTCTACCAGCGGCGCAATCATTCCTCCCGACTTCCTTCTTCGGGGCGGCAAATCCCAGTGCCTTTTCTGCGACACTGAGAGTCCCCAACCCTCCATCGCCGGCACACTCTTTTTGCTCGCACGTCAGTGTAGAAATGCGCTCTTCCGAGCCATCGCCGTCGCCCTCTCCGTCGTTCACATCGCATTGCAGCATTGAATTTTCTCTGCCGTCTCCCTGTGGCTCATTCAACTCCAAATGCTCGCTTGGGTTGAACTCTCTGAAACATGTCCGGATGGACGATTCCGTGTCGCCGTCCATGCTAGATTCGGATCAATCAGCAGTGCAGGATCGGCCTCCGCCGGCATCTCCGATTCTGAAATCCCATCCCAGCGACGATTCCGTGCCACCCACTATTTTTGTCGACTCGTCTGCCGCCACAGGCGTGCCCTCTGCTTAAAAGTTTTTATCTAGCTAAAGCAAGCGCTAAGATATTGATTTCATTACCCCCAGAGAGTTGCAAACACTGCTTTGACTTGGCTTACAATAGCAATGCCAGTGTCGCCTTCATCGAGGCTGTGCCGCTTCGAAGGCACACCACCAAACGAATTGCCCGCCTGCCCTGAACTTCGACAACGGCCAGCTCACTGTGGGCCCGTTGTGGACTTGATGCAGCTTGAATGGCAACCTTCAATAAAAGCGCAGCCCCAACCACGCCTATTCCGTGACTGCAACCCCGAGCGGCGGAAAACGATGTTGCTGTGACAAACCCCACTATCTGAGGCTCGGCTTCGGTTGCAGGACAAATCTGCGCTCCTGGTCTCAAAGTTCCTGGTCCAACGACCTGCAACTGGCAAGCAATTACAGCAGGCAACGACAGGGACTGCAACAGCGTTCTACAATGCGACATATGCCTCTCCATCTCGTCGCTGGTCAGGGGTATAACATGGCAAATCTCATTCGGCTGTTTTACCCGACGCCGTTTCCTCCCCTTGGTTCCTGCGTCAGATTGTTTGGTCACGAAATTTCCACTTGCCGAAAGAGCATCTTCCAAAGGCTTGCAAAACGCTCCTCTCATCATCACCACAGCGCACTCAGTATCCTCAGTGGCATCGTGACCATCGTCGCTTGTATTATTTGCAGCGGCATCTTTTATTAGATCATACCAACGAATCTTACAGAGGCTACCACTGGACAGTTTGAGTGGCTTCTGCCCCTTTTGGCTGGGCGGTTGATGAGAACGAGCCTTGATCCTGGGGACGTCAATTCGCCCTCCTTTTTCGCCTTGCTGCAAGCACAAACGTAGTATGGTGCTGTCTACAACCGTCGTCGCTGTGCCATCACCGCTGTCGTCCGCATTGGTCAACTGCCAGAACTGGCTCCCCTCCCTTGTTTCTGGATAATCCCGCGGGAAAATGTCAGCAATGGGGGGATCACATTCCAGTTTGATATAGGCTTCCTCCGCAATTCCAATTGGACAAGCCTGCCCCTTGATGATCAATTCCACAAAGAGAACCTTGGCGATGGCAGCATCACAGTAGAGATCCCACCCGACTGCCGGTTCGTTTCGTGACAGGTTTGCCGGTCGTTGTGAGACCAGAAGGAGTTGGTCGCCTTGAATCAAGCCGTGATCCTTGTCGTCACGACAATTTGATGTACTTGGGTGGTCGAGATCCGCCGCCAAAGCCGACAGAACCGTCCCATTCGGCAGATTGCTGTGCAGTGTTTCGGAGCTGAACAAGAGTGGATTATCGTTTCGACGTTTCGTCGTTTCTGGACCACCACTACGACTCGTTTGGCGACTATCCTCGAGAACCCTCTGAACCGTGGCGGTGGCATTGATTCCTCTTAGCTTGAAACAAGCCATGCCAACATTACTTTTGTGTGAATCAGATCCTGTGGTGGCTTGAAACCCACCGTGCAGGACAGGCTTCGGCATGTCACTGGATGCTGTCCATGATGTTTCGAGCGCTTCAAACTCCTTGAGAACCACACTGTGTATTGCCGGATGCGTCCAGAAATAGCAACGATAGTAGAATTCCTTTTGTGGCTGGCCTCCCATGAGTGGTTGTGCTCCTCTTGTCACTAGCCAATGAATGGGCCCAATTGCTTGGCGAGGAAACTGATCCAGCGCATGGAGCATTCCTTTTCCAACACAAATGTCCTTGTCACATGTCAAGTTGTAATGGCTGTTTGGAGCGTCATTTATTATTGCAGCGGTAGTAGTATCAAACTGGAAACCAAACTCGGGACAGATCCTTTGGATTGCGGATTGGAGGGCTTGCTGTTGCTGTGATGCCTTGTGTTTCATTGATATTTCTGTTTTCAAGATAATGGGTTGTGCTGCTCGAGACCAAGTAACATCCTGTAGGAGAGTTTTGCCCTCTCGAATGAGCCGCAGTGCCGCCTTGGGTCCACGATTGGTATGTACAATGGGTATCTGCCATCCCCACAGCTTGGCCATGTGAAACCGTTTGCTGTGCCAAATGTGCGTGGTCATCCAATAGCAGGGAGTTGAATCTTTCGTCAATTTTGTTGTTGCTTGGTCACTGGCACCCGCTCCTGACGGCACGTCATCAGATGACAGGCACTCTCCATTAGGTGGTCCTGGTTGTTTCCACCAAGCTTCATGTGGCAAAGTCAGTGTTTCCCTGTGCTTTCGTCGCCCCCTTCGACTGGTTGCTGGCGTGTCATCTTTGCCTGCAGGAGGATCTGAATTCTCTTGTGCAGTATCAGTCTCATCTTCTTTTTGGGGTAATGCCTTTGCCTTTTTCTTGCTCGGAAGGTCTCCCTCCCGTGGATACCGATGCCGCTTTCTGGCCTTGTGACTAGTGGCACGTCGTCGCAAATGCCGTGACGATGTTTTGCATCCCGAACTCTTGAGGGGTCCAAGGCTGCCTTGGCGTAGTGTATTGGTGGTATTATTGGTGGCACTATTAATACTGTAGAGCTTTTTGAGCTCTGGAAGTCGTCGAGCTGCAAAGGTGGAAGCAGATACCGAAGCCGACGCATCCAGAAAGGCTGGAAGTTCCTGGGCTAGCTTCCATGCTGGCTTTCGGTAGCCATGATGCGGACGACGATCGCCACCATCTTGTCGGCGACGATCTTTGCGGTCCATCCTCTGCTGGTATCCAAGATTATCCTATTCTGGATCCATTTACTTTTGCCAACAGTTGGATCAACATGATCGAATGGCTTGGAGCGAACTATCGAACAGATCCCTTTTGTTTTTCATCAGCTTTGCAGGTTCCTGACACATTAACTCGGCTGGCTTGGAGCTTGCACCCCAACCTGATCCATCGTATCCCTTCCATTCATTTTCCCCCACTCTAGAGCTAGCACTCGTTTGTTACCTTTGATGATTGTCCAACAAACCAACCATGACAACAACCATGACAACCCAAGAAGCACAGCAGGAGCAGAAGCAGGAGCACATTATTCTCTTTTACAAGTATCATCCATTATCTGAAGATAAGGAACAAACCGAGCTCTACCGATGTGCCTTGGAAAAGCTATGCCAAGGCTTGAACCTAAAGGGGAGAATTTTGGTAGGGTGTTCGCAAACAGAGGGAATCAACGGAACATTGGCAGGTGATTATCTCGACCTGCAAGCATTTCAATATGCTCTCTTGGGAAAACAACGACACGAACAGGAGGGAGGAGATGATACCACCATTGATTCTGCTAGATTCTCGTCGGTAGATTTATTTTGGAAAGATGCCACCCAGTACTTTCAATCCATCCACCAACCAGTCCTCTGCATGAATTCACCAGAAGACTTCAAGTGGTCTCATGCAACACGTGCAGAGCCGTTATTCCCAGATTTGAACATCAAATGTGTCAAGGAACTGATTGGGACAGGAGGTGTGTTGTCTTCCATTTCTCTAGAGGAGACTGCCAAGGGTTACTTGACACCCCAACAGTGGCACCAAGAAGTGTCCAAAATGGTGGCAAACAACAATGATAACAACAACAACCAAGATAATGGTACCATCCTGATTGATTGTCGAAACACCAAAGAATGTGAAGTGGGCCATTTTCAGGGAGCCATTGACCCCAACACGACAACCTTTGCACAGTTTCCTCACTGGGTGGATCAGAACAAACACTTGCTCCAAGAAAAACGAGTACTCATGTACTGCACTGGCGGCATTCGATGTGAAAAGGCGTCGGCATACATTCGACGTCAAGTGCCATCGGCCAAATCAGTACAGCACTTGAAGGGTGGCATTCACAAGTATCTGGAAGCCATGGACAACAGCCATGAGGAACCCGTTTGGCTGGGAAAGAACTTTGTCTTTCACACACCTGTGGAAACCAAACTTGGCTGCAACAACAATAATAATAGCCATGCTACTACAAATAGTAGTACAAATGGGACGACAACCACCATTGTTGGAAGATGCATCTACTGCGAAGCGCCATACGATAACTTTGACCCAAAGTGCGTTTGCACGGTGTGTCGTGAGCCCTGTCTGGCTTGTCCCGACTGCCAGCAAAAGGTGACCGAGTTTCACTGCAAGAATCACTTTCATTTGCGAGATTGCTATTTCAGCAATCTGACGACAATCTCCGAGGAGGAACTTCAGAAACAGCTCCTGCAGCTAGAAACCATTCTCACGGAGATTGCCGTGGGGAAACGATTCAAGCAAAAGCGCAAGACGTTGCAGAAACAATGTAACAAAATACGACAGAGACTGCTAGAGCTTGCAGATGGAGGGGCAACAGTCGAGCCGGGTGTTGCGAAGCGTTGTCGCAACTGTGACGATACTGCCTGCACTGGACGATGCTGGGGATTCTACAGTTTGAAACGAAAGGAAGCACTGGAACAACGACAGCAGGCCAAGCAACAAGCAGAGTCGCAAGCAGGGTCCGAGAACATTGTCAAACACCAAAAGAAGATGATGAAAACTCAAGACAACAAAAAGCGAGGCGCAACCGACCGCAACCGAGATCGAATGAGCAAAGAGATTTCCGATCTGAACTTGTCGGTGCCGCCATCGGCTCATCGTGACCCCAAAACGGGAATTCGTGTTCCACCACCGTGCACTCGGATTCTACAGACAAAGATGAAAGGGAAGTGGAAAGGAAAGCCAGTGTTGCAAGTTGTCAAGGAAGAGTTTCATGAGCTGTCCAAGCCGGGGGTGCTCGACCGTCTGCTGGAACATGGTCTCTTGCGCGTCAACGACGTGCCTGTGACAACACAAAACGCGGGAACCGGGTTGATGACCGGTGATACGATCAGCCGCATAGTCCACTGGCATGAACCCCCAGTCATTGTTCCCGAAAGTATCAGCGTTCAAAAAGTTGGCCTGTCTGATGCTGTCAAGATGGAGTTTGGAATCGACAACAGCAGCAATGATTCGGATATCTACGTTTGCAACAAACCTTCTTCGCTGCCAGTTCATCCTGCTGGTCCATATCTTTCCAATTCGCTCACATTGATGATCGAGGCGCAAGAAAAGCTTGATCCTCAGTCGTTGTCGCCGTGCCATCGCACTGATCGGGTGACCAGTGGGTTGACAATTTGCTGCACCAACTCAATCGTTGCGCGGATCATTCAACGCAGTATGTGCGAAAAGCAAGTCAAGAAACTCTACTTGGCACGAGTCCATGGCAAGTTTGTTGCTTCCGAAGAGGAAGTTGGCTCTGTGCGTTGTCCAGACGACCAACGCACTCTGACCAACGTGCAGTACTCCAAGGACATGAATTGCGTGCAAGTCGATGCACCCATCGAAACGGTCGACCCTTCTAATGGGATTCGAAAGGTGACGGACAAAGGGAAGCCTGCTACTAGTCTGTTCCGTCTCTTGTCCTACGATCCTGTCTCCGAAGTATCTTTGCTCGCTTGCCAGCCAATTACGGGCCGCAGCCACCAATTGAGAGTCCATCTTCAGCTACTTGGTTTCCCAATAGTTGGTGACGTGCTGTACGGTGGGAGAGACTTGAACCAAGCAACCGCTTTGCAACGGCAGACCTCCGCCATTGATTCATTGATACAGTCAACAAGAAGAGCCGAGCCTGAACTTCGAGTCAAGTCCGTGACGGACAGCGACGGCATTGCCGCAAGAAATGCCTGTGGTCTATGCCACCCTTTCGGCCATGAGTCTGCGGAGTGCTCGATCTCAGCGGCTTGTACATCCTGTTTCTTCACCCCGGCACAACTATTGAAATCTGGGCATGCCATTGATCTGCATGCGTATAGGTATCGAGTAGACATCCTCCCAAGCAAGAAGAACGCGGAAGGATCTGGCAATGACCCAGTTGGTGTTTTGGATCTGATTGTTGCACAACCAGCATGGGCATCATCGGATCTGACAAGCAGCTTGGCGTGGCTTGATGGCCCCTCGACGATGGAATGATTCAATCCGATCCAGCATGAACTAAAGTAACCTAGTATCACAGTGTCGAGATGAGCTACAAGTATCTACCGTGTCTATGAAGTTGCATTGCGTTGTGTTGTGCAGCCGAGCAAAAAGGAAGCATCTATAGTATAGGCCACTGCACTAGTTCAGTACCGGTCGTAGGCAGCAAATAAGGGAGATCAACAGCATTGTATTTAGTGCTTGAAGATCATGTCACCATAGTCTCCGAAGAGGTAGTCCTGGGTGAAGATTCCGGCAATGGCACACATAGCCAATCGTCCGTTGTTGATTTCTTTGTTTTGGTAGTCAACCCAACCATCATCACTGTCATCGACCCAGTAGGCGGCTCCGAGCAAGTCACCTGGGACGTATCCGGGGCGAGACTTGATCTTTTCGGACAACCATTCGACAGCACCGCATCCCAAGATGAACTGCAACCAGCCAACGAATGGAAGCTGTTGGGAGGCCTCAAGAGGGTCGCTGGAGAGCTCACTGTTGAAGGCAGGGTGAACTCCAGAGGCGGTGATGTACCATCCAAGGCATGCAGCCATGGCGACACGTCCGTGCTTCAATTCGGCCTCACGGTAGGCCATCATAACCTCGTCGGACTTTCCTTTTGAGAAGCCAAGGGGATCGAAGAAACCCATGGGGGCTGTGATTCCAACAGCAGTCTCATCCACCCATGCCGAAAGTTCAGTGGTGGATGCCGCCTTTTGGGAGACAGGGGCGAAAGCGGCGCTATCATAATGGAAGTTAAGAGAGCAAGGGTAGCAGGTAAGATAACGGCATCCACAAGTTAGATAGTAACACTGTCAACCTATTTCGGGGTAGAACCCTATCGACACTCCAGGACCAACCAACCGGATGCATCGGAATTGTTTTTAATGGCTACCATTGGAGACCTGGATACCCCTGACGCATCTTTCCTGTCTCGTGGCTATTGCCTTCATCCTGATCCAACAAACGCTAAAGACACACAGGAGGGGCAACTTACGCAGAGCCGATAAGAGCGAAAAGAGAGACGGCCTTCATCATGGTGCTAAATGCAATCTGCTGGAAATGTTGATCTCTCGTGGCTTCGTGCAGCAATCAAGGAGCAGCTGCTTACGTTGGCGGCTTGATTTTCACTCAAGTTGAAATCTGGAGGTCGCGATCTTTGGGCGTCAGCCAACTTTTTGAGAGCCGCTGTGCGACTTTTAAAACCTTAAACGCTAACGCTAAGGGACATGCAAGTGCTCACATTTTCCAACCTCTGACGTAGGATCCTTCGACGACATCAACCGCAAAACAGTCGACGATTCAGATTCTGATGATCGAGCAACAGTGATGGGTGATGTCGGGTTGTGCCTCACTTACAGACAGACAGCTACTCCAATAGTATTGCTAAGCAGTGCGTGTCGTATATGCAAGACAAGAGAATAATCTCTAGACCTCCCATAAAGAAGTCCTGAACACGGAAGGAACTTATCCCAAGCAACACAAGATACTATTTGTCTTTTTCTGGTTTCACACCATGATGTTTCGACTTGCGCCAATTTTTGTGGCATTGCTCCAATGCTTGCATCATGCTCAAGCGTTTCAGCCTCTGTCAAGCCCAAGAATTTCTTCTACAAGAATCGCAGTGACATCTCAAGAACCCACAACAGCTGATCCAGTCCAAACGAATACTGAGAATGAGGAAATTGTTCCTTATGCCGTTGCCCGAGGAGATGGAATGACTGGAGGAGGAGGGCTGTCAATGCCCCATGTTTCAGAAGAAGAAGACGATGGTCTGAGGCGACCTAAAGTGGGCGCTGAAATGCCCCTAGGAAGACCCGACTGGTTCCGAGTGCCTGGACCCTCTCAAGGTGGGTTTTAGGAAATGGCAGACTGCAAGGCATTTATCCGAGTGCAATTTACGTTTGATATGCAGGAATTCTGACTCCTTCCCCCTTTTTCAACTTGCTTTCTGCGTGGTTATTTTCTTGTTTATGTTATAGCCAAGGATTCAAAATACCAAGAGGTGAAGAGATCTCTGTCGGATCTGAATTTGAATACTGTCTGCGAAGAAGCTCAGTGTCCCAATGCGGGAGAATGTTGGGGAGGAAGTCACGGCACTGCCACAGCAACAATCATGCTTCTAGGAGATACGTGTACCCGTGGATGCATGTTCTGTGCGGTCAACACGGATTCCAAGCCACCACCACCAGATCCGTTTGAACCTTTCAAGGCATGTATACATTTTCGTGTTTTGTCCGTCAATTCCTCGTTTTTCTCACACAATGATCATGGTTACCTTGCAGACGGCCGAGGCAGTCAATAAATGGGGTGTGGATTATATAGTTCTGACTTCTGTCGACCGTGATGACATTCCTGACGGTGGCGCACAGCACTTTGCGCACACGGTGGAACTTTTGAAGCACGGTAGACCCGAGCTGTTGGTAGAATGTCTGGTGTCTGATTTCCAAGGAGACTTGAGTTCTGTGGAAACCCTGGCAAAATCTGGTTTGGATGTCTATGCTCACAACATGGAAACGGTGGAACGTCTTCAAAAGGTGAGTCGATGTTTGTTGTGACGATTCGAGGACGCAACGTAGGTTCTCTTTAGATCGTCACTGACTCTTTTTACGTTACGTTGCGTTCCATGGTTGTCTCCAGTTTGTGCGGGACCCTCGAGCGGGATACAAACAGAGTTTGTCCACATTAGAGCATGCGAAAAAGGCGCACCCCCAGCTTTACACAAAGACAAGCCTGATGCTTGGCTTGGGAGAAACGGATGAGGAAGTGATTCAAACTATGAAAGATTTGCGAGCCATTGACGTGGATGTTGTCACGTTCGGGCAGTACCTGAGACCCACCGAACAACACTTGGCCGTTGTAGAATACGTTAAGCCCGAAAAGTTTGACGAATTCCGTGTGATTGGGGAAAAGATGGGTTTCAAGTATGTCGCCAGTGGTCCCTTGGTTCGATCTTCCTACAAAGCTGGTGAATTCTACCTAGAACACATGATCAAGTCAGAACGACAATCCACAGAAGAAGTTGCCGCTCCTGAAAACTAACCAGAAAGATGTAGCGCTTCTGGAGAAACAGAACAAGCACTTGCTCACGGGCATTGACAGCAAGACGAATAAAAACAATAGATTTGTATATATGATTGAACAAGACGCACTGCCTTCACTGCCCATCTGGCCAAGACTACACTGTAGTGAGTTCCCCTAATCAAGCCTTAGGATCTCTATCAAGAGGACGAAAGGAAGCATACGGTACCGGTACTAGTAGGTGGTCTTTCGTTCTTTTTGTCGGCTACGAGTCCGTCAGCTAGATGATACCGTAGTTGGGCTCTCTGGAAACATGCAGCTACTCACAACCAGCAGACCGAGGTTCGGATGTACAAACATTGGAGGGTGCGTTAGCTCTCTGGATATCTGACCACCTGAAACTGCTAATGTAAGGTTTAGAAAACTATTTGATCCTACAATCTATTTATGTGTACCAGCGTGTTGGAAGCTAAGCCTATTGCACTGCATGTAGCTCCCATGAAATTTTGCAAAAATTCCATTAGGCATTGCATGCTTTGCAATCAAAAAAGATACTTCACTACTCCTTGCTTATTGCATTGAATAATTCTCCTACAGCTGCCCCTTTGGCCGTACAATGGTTCTCAGTAGAAAATGTTTCATTTTGGAGATTCGATGACACGGTGTGATCATGACGATATCTCCCAGATTGGCCACTTCATTCTCGTCGTGTGCCATGAATTTGCGAGTATATTTGACTCGTTTTCGAATTTTGGGAACCATCCGATAGCGATCCACGGCAACATTGACCGTCTTTTGCATCTTGGTGGAAACCACCGTGCCCACCAGAGCTCCTCGCGGCATTTTGCCGGGAGGCGAGTGAATCAAATCCCACCCCGGAATCGTGCTGGTCTCCATCAATTCTTCATTGGTCATTTCGGAAAAGTTTTCCTTCAACAGAGTCCGGCTCGAAGAAGTGGCTGTGCTGGACTGAAAGCACGGGGATGTCACGGAGAATGATCTGACCGCGGCATTGCGAACGAGAGGGCTCGACGCCCGTATCGCCAATTGATGCAATTGACTGCTGAGTATTCGAAAGCTCATCATCTATCTTCAATCAATACACAGACTGATTTGATTGCTTGAGTACTGACGGGTAGAGATCTCCGGCTGTTGGCGTCGTCGTGGATCTTCGAGAGAGGCGAGAGAGAGTGCCATGGTCGCTGCCTCGTCGCAACACCGCCACTGCTTTATCCCTAAAATATTGTTTAGGGTTTTAGTCACGATCTGAGTCACGTACCGTCTTACTAAAATTTCTCTTGGCTGTCCCTTGCTTCCATCTCTGCTGCTGTTGTCCTCGAAGTCGAAGAGTTGGACGAGGCAACACCCCTCTTGTCTCTTTTGCATTTGGTTGAAACAAGCTTCACCATGGCCATCGTAAGTAACTCCGTAGTCGACCATTCTATTAGTTAGTTAGATGTGGCTGTCTATTCAGCAGGAAGCGCGCTGAAGCCAGCCTCAGCGCGGGGTCATCAGAGCATTATCCTCGAGACCAGCCGATCCGGTTGCTGACAGCGGATATCATCGCAACATCTTATACCACAATAGACTGCCTTCTAACAGTCTCCTCTGCTTCTTTTAAAAACAGGGAAAAAATAAGAGATTGACGAAGAGCAAGAAGGGAAGCCGAAAAAAGGCTGTGGACCCCTTCTTGAAGAAGGAATGGTACAAGCTGATTGCTCCCTCCATCTTTGCCGTCAAGGATGCTGGTAAGACCTTGATCACCAAGACACAGGGAACCAAGATTGCTTCGGATGGTTTGAAGGGACGAGTCTTTGAGTTCAGTCTCGCTGACTTGAACAAGAACGAAGCCTTGGCCTACCGAAAGATCAAGCTTTGTATCGAGGATGTCCAGGGATACAACTGTCTCCTCAACTTTCATGGCATGGACATGACACGCGACAAGCTCTGCAGTTTGATCCGCAAGAAGCAGTCCATCATTGAAGGTAACGTAGACTGCAAGACCACCGATGGATACATGATCCGCATGTTCTGCATCGCTTTCACTCGATCCCAAGAAAATCAAATCAAAAACACATGCTACGCAAAGTCCGCCCAAGAACGAGCAATTCGAACCAAAATGGTATCCACCATGATGGAATTGGGAACCAAGGGTGACTTGAAGAGCCTTGTCAAGGAACTCATCTCCGCCCCAATTGGAGACAAGATTGCCCGAGAGGCATCCTCCATCTTCCCCATCAAGGATTGCTACATCCGAAAGGTCAAGGTATTGAAGAAGCCCAAATTCGATGTCACAGAACTCATGGAGTGGCACAATGCTGATGAAACTCCTGCCGGAGATGTTGGAAAGCCTGTCGAAGACAAGGATGCTGGACTTGCTGGAGCTGGTGGTCGTTTGTAAGCCAACCTACTTTTAAAAATAGTCTAGCAAAAGCAACTGGCCTCTACTGTTTATCGCCAATCAGAATTATTACCTAATAGAATGTCATCCATCTATGAGTCTGCTCTGGCAAAACAGTTTGTCGGTGAGGCGCAAGGACTGGTTGTCGAGTGCAAAGCCCCTCTAGTTTGCGTTGCTTCCGTTTTCCCCATTGTGTTCTACTAGTCCCCTTAATTATTCTGCAACCTCTCGCGTTTCTTGGTCTTCTGCTTCATCTCATGCAACCGGACCCTGACACATTCGTCAACCTGATCAAGAAAGCTGAGGCTGTTGAGATACGAACCTGCACCAGTTTCTCCCAGCTCTTTTCGTTTGCGACCAGTGAAATTCCCCAACTATTTGCCTACATCTTCTGTTCGCCTCGAGTGGAAAGCGATCCATCGCTTCGTCAAACCGTATTGGTGTGGAAGGTACGACCGTATAGCAGCAATACCATCCGTGTTGCGAAAGAGGCATATCACTGCACTCCAGCCTCTCTGATCGCGCAGAGCATGTTCCATGATTGCAGTTTCATCGTCTGGCACCGTCATGGCTCTGAGGACATGCCCTAGCAAGCCAAAAGACTCCAAATTAGACTGTTGGATAGACCTGTGTTGTTTTCTCCGCTGGTAGAGAAGGGAAAAGTGAAACCGATCTCTCCCCACCAGATGCCACAACGAACCAAGCGCACCAGATCCTTTGCCTGACTCGGAACTTTATCCAGCAACTTGGCCAAGGGAGAAAGGGATCGTCGCCGATCAAGACATGGGCGAAGACATGGCTTTCAAGATTGGCAGAAACACATATCAATGCATAGCCTGAATCCTGCAGCATGCCAATGGACATCCATTCTTGAGTCTCCGCCACTGCCTCCACCATTTGTTTGAGATAGTTGAAGAAAAAGGCATAATCCTTTTAGGATACATTGTCGTCCCGTGTTGAGTGGCTGCAAAATGCAGCAACTCGTCCAAGGAAGGCCCAGCTCTAGCTAGTCTAGATTGCTTCGATAGGCGTCCAGCCAATCTACGTGCAATCATAGTGGCACCGGTGAAATACTTCAAGAAGTCAGACTTCTGGACGACAGAGGCCTCTGTTTCGTCTTGATAACTGCAAAGAGCAACATTTGGTGCACTAGCTACCTGGTAGCCATCGGGAGTAATGGGGCCGCTGGAGATTGAAAACAAGGCATGATGGACGAGAGCTGTGGGGTTTTCCACGCCGAGGATCTTTGGATATTCTGCTCCTACTGTAGGGTTCAGGCTAAATGGATCCTGGCCATTCAGACGCTCGATGGATCATAGTTTTTGGTTCCATGTTGGATGGGTAAGATGAGCTTTCCAATAGCAGCAGCAGCAAGAAGAGTAGGGAGGAGAACGGCATTGTTGTACTTGTGTCCATCTAGAATTGGCGGCGGAAACCCTCCTAGTATCAGTCCATCAACAAAATTGCATTCAACTCTGCTCCCCAGGATTGAAGGCATCCGGCAAGACCGTCCTGATTGTCCCAGGCGTTTCCTCAGTGGCAGTTCTACTGATCGTTCGGACACTGGCGAGAAGGAATTATCAGAAACGACAGATATTACTCCAGCAACTACTGAATGGATACCTCCTTCACGGCCCTTGGTGGGAGACAAAGGGTATTCTCACCTTTATCAAAAAGACGAGGAAGAAGAAGAAACAGAAGAAGAGGAGTTGGCCAGGCTGGAACGGGAATTAAAAGCTCTAGAAGAGGGCGATCTAGTGGATATGGATCAAGAGATTGACGACAATAACGAAGAAGACAACATTATGATTTCTACAGAAGAAGCCATTGCGACCCCACAACGCACCAACGTTGACTGGCTCCAGACGCGGCGACAGCGACTTGGCGACGAACCACCAGGGCAGTTTTTGACTCCCTCGTATACGCCTCCTGGACAAGACTTGCCAGTCCTCCATCATACCCTCTTGACAGCTGACGAAATCATGACTTATCTCTCATCTCTGGGAGGGATAAAACCCAATTTGGTTGCTGATAAGGCCCGGAATGAACAGGGAGATACCCGTCTCGGAGGATCCTTTCGAGGTATCATTTTTGCATCCGGCAATTCACCCTCGCATGTACGCATGATGTCCAATTCGCTGGTGGAACAATTGAAGCGACGCAAATTGCAAGAAGTGGGTGTGATGGGAGCAAGACATGGCGCCGAAGGTAGCGATGATCCAGACGAAACATGGTTCTGTATCGATTGTCACAATTACATTGTCAATATTCAGGATCACGAAACGCGGCGCATTTTAGATTTGGAAGGATGGTGGTCCACGGGCAACCCGTTGGCAGGATACAATCTCGACAATGGACTCGATAATGAAGACGCTGTCGATGAATTCGTGGCCCAGAATCCCGTGCCACCAGAGTATGGGAGGTCGACCACGATGGATTGGAATGAAAGTATCAATCAACTGGAGCAGAGACGATGGACGGCTCCCCACAAGAGGGATCGACGAAGGATAAGGAGCAGTCAAAGAGGCGGCAAAAAGAAGAACAAGAACAGGACTAGATATAGGTATTGAAAGTGACCACCTAGCAGGTCGAACTAAAAAGCGCTCGCGTTGTAATGATGCAGAGTCTAGCTTTCTACTAAGTCTAATTTCATCTATTGAATCTGAAGGGGGGAACGTTTGCTCCAGTGTCCAAAGCTGAAAGGCCGGGGCGGACCTCTATGCCTACCAACTGACCATGATGGCTGTTGTGGAAATGTAAGTAGCCGCCAGCTGGCTGATGTCACGGAGAAAGTGGTAGTCGGCGGGCACCACGCATGGTTGTTTTTGGAGAGGGTTTCACTCTCGATGCGGTGAGATGATGACATTTTCTTTCAAGGCAGTGCTTTCGTGCTGCGTCCTAGACCCATTCTTTGCAAGGCGCCACGCTACATGACCTCGCAGGATTGTTGGTTGTGTTGTCGGCTCAGCACCAAAGATAGCCACTAGATAGCAGTACCGCTGGAGAGTCATGATTGTTGCACTTTTTACCCAAGAAGAACACAACTACCTCTCCAACAAATCTTGCAACTTTTTCTTGACAGCATCTATCAAAACCTGATGTCCCTTGTAGCCCAGCAATACAGCGTTTGGCATGAGATCCTTTTTGATTTGTTTTTCATCATTGACACCACCTCTCTTGATCGTTTCGACAAAGAGATCGTCGGCATCAAAGTATACGAATTGTTGCGATGCATGCTTTTCGCAAAAGCCTTTTAGCTCTTGATTAATGGCCAGTATGGATGGCCAAATGTAGTAATCAAAATACGGCTGTTTGGCCTGTTCTTGCGCCTGTTTCAGTGCCTCGGAAATGGTGGAATGTCCTGGATCCAACTGATCGGGGTTCATTTGATCTGTCCGAAAGGACCATATATTGTTGTCTTTGAATGGTTTCTCCACAATGGGTTGTTTGTTTCGATCGAGAGCATTGCTTTGTCGAAAGGTAGATCCTCGTTTTTCATCCGTCATGTGCAGCGATCCATCTTTGTGATTGCTGCGCGGCAGTAGCCCTTGAATGACGATTTTGGCATTTGGATTTTGAAAGGCAATTTCTTCGGCCGCTCGTAGTATCCCGAGAGTGACGACATCTTCGGAACACATGGCGAGTGCCAAATCGTTGGCCCCAATGAGGAGCCACCATACTTTGGCTTTGAGATTGGTTGGCATTTCTCCATGTTTTAAGCGCCAGAGTAGATTGGTTGTCTGTTGTTTTGTTGTTGTATGTTTGTGAATTGGTTATTATTCGAGTGGGTAATAGGTAGCAGGGATGTTTTTGGTGAGATATCGCTGTGTTGGCCTCAGTTTGGAAGGAATGAATCTGAACTTACTCTATCGGTATAGATACCCAATGACAGTCCATGTATACCATCGGCTGACCGAAACGTCTGGTTAAAATATGCTGCAATTTGGTTTCCTTCGGTGAATTCGTGATCGAGCAATCTTCCTTCTCCCCACATTTGAAAGGTTTGATCACCGACAAACACGACATCTAGTTCCTCTCCTCTGTCTACCTGAGGTGTTCTTTGGATTTGATCTTTATTGCGTCGATGTGTTTCGGACCATCCCTTGAGTTCTTCTCGCGATTGTCCAAAAGTGGGATCTTCGCATTGGCAATTATCATTTCCCCCAAATAGACACCAATGATGAATATTGGCTTTTTGGAAATTGTAATCGGTGGTGATACTGGCATAATCTTTCTCCAAATGATTGCGTATCATGGGTTTCGGATGTCTGGAATGGGATAGAGGAGACCACTGTACGAGGAATAGCACTGTCAACGAGCAGCCCAATCCCAAACTGGTCCGTGGGTATAACTGCACCCACAACTTGATGTATTCTACCAGACCCTGCGCCAGATTGACACAGGGTGCTGGAATGGTAATGGGAGTAGGATTATTGGCAGAGGATGTCGTCGTCAAGGGAGTCGTGTCGTCGTGGTCGGAATAATGATCGGAATGATCCAACTCCATTTCCATTTCCAAGCAAGCCATCATCTCCACTTGGGGACGTTGCGGTGATGCTGGAATCGTCGTCTCCATCTTTCTTCTCTTGACTGACAATAAATAATACAGCACACGATGCTATAGAAACTAGCTGTAGTAGGGTATACTCGAGAGAAACAGATGTCCTCTGGCTTTTCCTTTCCTAGCTAGTATCCGTAGAAATTAAATTTTATGGCTGGAACGGGGTCTTGCAAACACCATTTTCCGCCATAATACTGCCTACAGTAGTCTAGATCTAGTATTTTTAGAAAGAAAAAGATCCAGAAGATCGCTTGAGTCTTGAGTGATTCGATTGATTCGATTCAATCGGTAGAGTCGAGTCGAGGCATTCGATTGATTCGATTGATTCGATTCAATCGATTCAATCGATTTTGTTTCTCTCGCGTGTTTGTTGCTTCCTTCTCGCTTCCAATGATCGTCCATTACATTCATTTATTTCCATCATCATGCCCACCTTGGCATTGGAGACGCCATCCCCTCGAGGAACCTCGGCTCGTCAAGCTTCACCGTCTCAGGATACGGCACCGTCGGTGACTCCAGGATCGCGCCATGACAATACTGCTGCTGAAGAAGAAGAAGAGGACGAGTGGCTCATGTCCTGCCGGACCGAAAATGGCAAAGATTTGGTCACACTGCTGTCGTCCCTACAGCACGTGTCGGCCCATCCTTCGGATGCCATGAATACAACATCCTCCAGCTTGAATGCTTCCACAACCACACAATCCACTCGGAGATCTTTCTCCTCCCAAAGCCGGCGCAAACGCCACAAAAAAATTCAACCCGTCACCATCATGTGTTCGGCCGAAGTCTTTGCGTTTCACGTCTTTGGACCGGCCAAACAGTCCGAAGCCAGCATTGAATTGCAAAGAGCGATGTTCTCGCAGTATCAAGTCCGAAAGGAAAATCCAGAACAAGAAGACTGGCAAGCCGAAGGAGATTTCTGCATCAATTTGACGTCTCTACTATCCGCCTTGCAATGGTTGGGTCCACTCGATAATCACCGAACGACTGTGGGCATGAGCTACAATCTACGGACAGAAATATTCCGAGTGGAATTGTTGCAAGATGCGGGTTCCGGTGGTACGAATGCAGGAGGAGTACTCTGTGTCACTGAAATTCAAGGACTGTTACCAGCCGAAGATGATCCCGATGGGGATTCCCTTTCCAATGCGTATAAATCACACCCTGTGGCCGCCAGAATGCATCTACGATCTAGTATTCTGAGAGAGCTATTGCCCGAATGGAGTAACGTCGCGGGAGCCTCCACTGCCGCCATGGCGTTTTCCATGAAAAAGGGACTCGAGATTGCCGTCACGGGACACTATGGGGAAACCTGGTTGCAAATTCCTGCCACGGGGGATCACATGTTGGCACCCTTGGAATTAGTAGCAGCCGATCAAGATCAAGGCAAAACGACGACAATCACACGATCCTATGCTATGCATTCACTGCTCAGTAGCATGAAGGGACTGGACCTGGCAGAAGAATCCGTCTTGTCCATCAATTCACAAGGCATCATGGCCATTCAGCACAAAACCATGGAAATACCAGGGCAAGATAAAATGTCCAACTTTGTCGATTTCATCATGACTTGTCTGGAAGATGAGGATGATGATGACGAGGAAGACGACGAAGAAGAAGGGTCCCAAAAATCCGCACAAGAGTCCATGCGTCGTTTTCAGGCTTCTCAGAGTCAAGGTGGTGGTGATGACACGGCTAGTCATAGTCGGCAATCCACCACCGCCGCCACACCCCGCCGCCGCTGCCGCGTGGAGGAAGAAGACGATGGTTCACGGACTACTACTGCTACTCCACACAACGCGACGGGGGATGATGTGGATGGCAGTGAAACAGAAGGAGAGTCTCCTCGGGAACGTCAGAAACGACAAGCAAGAGAGCGCAAGCGAGAGCAATCCTTGCAGAGTGAAGAAGAAGAAGACAATGATGAAACCACCATCAACAACATCGCCCCCTTGTTTGCGTCTGTGGTGGCATCCTCCAGCCAATCGGGGAGGGATTCACCTCCTCGACGCCGTGCAAGACGATCTACTTCACAGCGGCGACAACGACCTTTGGACTCTCGCCGGTCGGGAGGTCGTCGTTCACGGGGTAATGGCGGAGAAGACAGTGACGCTTCCAAAAACATGCTAGAGAGCAGTGATGACGAGGAGAAGAATCAGAATAGCAGCAGCGACGACGATGAGGATCATTTGGATTTGGATGCATTGGCAAATTCTCCGGTGGGAGGACGAGACAATCGAGAGCAAGAGTGTGCTTCTCCAGAGTTGGTCATCAAATAGAAGGTAGTACTATAGATCGTCTAGCTATCAAATCAAGGATAGCTATTGTACCATATCCAGATTATGCTTAGCTGCCTATATCTATGTAGCCACTTCATGACATTGTATGCTAGGTAGCTACCTTGTACATTACGACCAGTATCGTGAGACGCGAAGGCGGGAAAATCGCAGAGGTGGCGACTGCCTTTCAGGCGAGGTCCTATCCATTCTCCATGTGTGTCCTCCGTGCATTCGCGAAACACATTTATTTTCGTCGATTTATTTAGTTGTACGAATCAAGATTTTATTCCTATCCACACAGTGGTTCGCACGCACGCGAACACGAACCACCTCGAATCCCCAACTCTAACGAAAATCAAAAATCGAAAAGTGAGAGATCTCGAGATCGCTGTCATCATCAGTATAGTAAAAGTGAGAACACAGTAACTCTACCACCGTGGTTGCTAGCACCGTCGTTGTCGTGTAGTTACTCTGCCATAATGGACTTCAATGATGAGGAATACAAACAAGATGTGGCGTTGCTTCTGCAACTATCTATTCTTATGGTTGGTCTTCTACTGTGTCTACCGGGCGAATCCAGGAATCCTTCTTTTTTCGAGCAACGGTTGCATTGGTGATCGTGTATTGCCAGAAACAACAGAACACGTGGGACCTTTGCTAGACGTACTTACGGATGCGCAGAGAAATCTTTGATAAGCTGCTTTCGTTTGTAGTCGACGACCTGCTTGTTAACGAGACTCAAGCCACGCGAATGGGTTGGATCCATCATACCGGAACTGTGTCTCTACTGTACGATTCGATATTTGGCCGGCGGCTCCTACCTGGATATTACAGACACTTGATGGAATTTCCCGTAGCTCGTTCTATCGAGTACTATGGAAGACAATAACGGCATTGTGCAAGTGTCCGCAGTTGAAGATTCGATTACCCCCGTACTCAACAGGAAATAAAGACTGCAATGGACGGCTGTGCCGGGATATCGACGGTGCTGCCATACATGAACTTGTGTTGGTGTCGTCGATAGGCTATCTTATGGACAGAGTCATAGATG